TTAGCTCAGCTTGCCGGAACGACCCGCTTCTCAGAGTCTATTAACCAGGCGCCACTCCCCGACGGCCCAACCATGTCTACACTGACCGTTGTCTTGCTCAGATTCGGCGTCACGAGTATCGTCATCCCATGACTGCGATAATCAACCTCCGAAGAGATTGGTCGCCGCTGGGGAAGTGCTAGAGGGTCGGCCTGCGATTGCTGTGCAACGAAGGTCTTAACTTCCACACTGGGAAGAATTAGATGACCGGGTACTTGGGGTATTAGCATGAGCGGAAACGACCGTGTTTGTCCTTCGGAGGCGGTAAAATTCCCGCGTCGCCGGCCGCCCACAAGCCAGATATCTGTATTAGTGATGATCTCGTACATGAATTCCAACTCTGCCTGGGGCTCCCGCACATCTTCAGGGCACCATCGGCGCGTATGTCGCAGGATCAGCTCCGCACGGATAGCCTCTCCCACTGCCGCGTGAGGTTGGCTGGGAGAGATATTGTGCAGTACAAGCTCTGCGGTGTGGACTACTTGGATCTCTGGCATATCCACTGGAATAACAATTTGTCTAAGGGTTTGGGGGGGGGGTCTATCTTGAAGAGGTAAGACTTGACGTTGCTGCAGTTCCACGTTAGGTTATGTTTTCAAGATTGCAAAGTTTGCCCTGCTGTTGCGCGTTCTCACCTTGTGCCAAAGGGTCAGCCATTCTGTGACCTGTTGTTCTAACCCTCGGCCAAGCGTTCGAGTGACCGCTTGCCATTGCATTCGTTCGTAAGGGAACACGTCGACTTCTCGTAGCAGCCCTATTTTTTCCAGAGAATTTGCTGTCCATTGAGAACTAAAGGCTCCTAGAAGATGCGGCAACAGGAGGCAACGAAGGTGCGAAAACGGACTTTTCTCCAGATCTTTTTTGAATTGATCTTCGAGGGTCGCAAGGCACTCCTCGTTCAGACAACTGAAATCAACAGTTAGTCGAAGTGCACGTGAGCCACGTTCTTTGCTCTTTCCTTCAGGTTTGATCTTATAAAGTAAGGACGCAGGTTGTTTGGGGAATACGTCGAATATCTCTCCCGGCAGCATACTAGACTGAACAGAAAATGACTGGGTGCCCGGCATTCGGCAGTCAAACACTTTGAGGGGTATCATCATCGCCGGACTTATCGTAAACCTTGAAAAGAGGGCATCGTGCATGAATACATCTTGGACATTGACGCTCACCGGCAAAGTGGTCAAAACCGATTTCGCCGTTAAATATAGAAATTTTCCGTTGTCGGTCTGATACTCGATTTCTAAACGGATAATCAAGGTGCTCTGGCTTCCTTCCACTGTGTATGGTATGCCCAGTGTGGTAGAAGCGTCGGGGCCGAATTCGGAGAACTCAATATGCCCCGACGTAGCATTCTGGCGTAATTTTATGAAGCCGTTTACAATTTCCATCTCCGAAACAAGGAGCCTCAGGCCAGCCGTTGCGGGCTTTAGTCGAATGACGCCATTGTTAATCCTATTGGATCCGCTGGTTAGATTGATTTCTATTGACCTGCGACCACCCAAGTCGATGAGAGATGGATGGGAGATTTTTGCCTCGATCCCAGCCGCTCGCGGATAACAAATAATAGACGTCCGAATATTCTCGTCTGCGGACTCTCTGTTGGAAAGTTCTTTGTACGTAGGAGAAGGAGAGTCTTCAGTACTCGCACCATGTGCGAAAATAATATTCCCCACGCGCAATTCAATGCGGTCAACGAAGTATTCGCCTTGAGCTGTCGTCTGAATATATTTGTCAGATCAATCTTCCTATACCAGGCTGGGTTGTTTAATAGATATCACTTACAGGGGTCTCAAGCAAGACTTTGGTGGTTGATTCTCTGACGACAACTTGGCCTGGGGTTTCCAACCATAATTCGTTCATTTTAATGTCGGAACTATTAACCAGTCGCACTTTCACGCAATCGATTGTGATGTTTTCTGCAAGAAGTAATCTTAACGACACTTGTAGCTGAAAGCCATCCTTATCATCAAAATGGATAATCCGTGGGTCTATCGTAGGAGTGGCAAAGAAATCTCGTAGCCGGAGGGCGTAATTTTTCGGAAGAGCGCGAGACGCCTCAAAGAGCTCACTCATATATTCAGGAACCTTAGACTCTGCGGGTAGGCCAACTTTTTCACGTTTATTTTCCGGTTTAGATTTCGATATAATCGTTCCGGTATACTTTCCTAGCAATTTAAACGATGTACGAACGAAATCTTCTTTCCGACCCAATTTCTTCAGACATCGTGCATACAACTCAAGCATCACCCCTTCTAGGGCTTCCCAATTGTTATCCCCGTAAAAACTAGCTAGGTGGTTGAAATACGAAGCAGCTGTTGCGTAATCTTCTTGTCGATATTTCCATAGAGCCATATCCGCCATGGCGCTTTCAGCCGATTTGATTCTGGTTGCAGCAACATGATGGCGAAATATTTCATCGGTAAGTTTCTCGTAATATAAATTAAACTGGTCGACAGACTTCAACGCTTCCTGAAGTATTGGTGTCTCTATACCTGCCAGCAGGGGAGGGGGTTTTTGTGCTGTAGCAGGCTGGTCTCTCGATGCGGTATCCTGGTTATTCAGGGAAACTTCAATAAATGTCGTAGCCTGAGTGTCGTCTTCGTCAAAGAGTAGAGATAAGTCGTGCCAGCGTTGGTCCCATCCTCTCTTGCGGCCCAGAGTTTCGAGAATACGTCTTGCAAGGATACATAAGTCACCTCTTGCCGACGCCAATTCAATTGCACCGGCCCTCTTTATTGTAGCTTCATTCTCAATCAGAGCAGTTAATGACCTCTTCGCGGGCGATCTAGGATTAAATCCAAATGAATGGGGGGAGTCAGGTCTCGGCGAGTTCATATGGCTCGTAGGCGCGGTAATCAGCGAACTCGAACGCTGAGGCACCCCATCCCGTGATTCGCCACCAAAAGAGGTGAGAATTGATGCGTCTGCCAGATCTTTACTGGTTCTGATCGACACACGTGGAACGTCCAAAGCGCCAACAGAAGTTTGGACAAGAACTTGAGACACGGCAGCATATGACCATGAGTATACAAGATTGTCGACAACCTCTGCTACGGCATTCTCATCGTACTTTTTTTCAAGTTGTGATACCGCGTTCGCTAAATCTCTGCGCAATATCCGCGAGGCAAGAGTAACAAATTCGCTGGCACGATCACATATCTCTGCGAGAAGAGTCAAATCATGCGTCTCCTTGGATTTAGTTCCTTGCTGCCCAGAGAGGCTTGTCTTCGCTGATGATGGGACCTCAGCAGCTTTCAAGAGTAGCTGCATCTGTCTTGAAAATATGTAGGCGCGGAAATCAAACACGGAGATGTTGTTGGCTACAATCATATCACGATATGGCCTTTTGTGTGGATTGCAAGGAAAATCTTCTGGGTCTAGCTCAACAGGGTCTGAAAATGTGCTATGCTTTGATGGTGTTTCATCAGCTTCGGGGTCCTCGCCACGGTCTGCAGATGTGTTTTCAGGACCTGCAACACCCGAAGAAAGAGCAGCTTCAGCGCGGGACTTCATCTCCTCGCTGTATGCAAGAAGTGTTCCTCCATGTTGATCCCCTGCGCCAGACATCTGATCTCGAAGCGCGGCATCAAGACCAGCAGAAAGTTCATCGTAGCCGACCAGCGCATCTTCGTACAGTCCAACATTCTCAAAACCCAGTGCTAAGCCTTCTTTGAGTATGAAGAATGTGCAAAAGTTCCAACCGGGTAGGCTCCTTTGCGAATCCTTCTCTCTAATGTCTTCCTCATATTGCGCCACCCGAAGGTCAAACGACGTCAATATGGAAGATTTCAATTTGGTAACAAGATCTTCCAATTGTACAGATACTTCTGGTAGTCGTTTATTGGCATCGGGCGTAGGTATTTTCAGTTGAACAACACGGTCTATTGCGCTTTTCGAAGACCCATTGAAATCTGCCTTAAGCTTCTCAAGAACGGAGGTCGAACTGCGTCCGGGCCACTTTGCCATAGGACCCGGCTTCTCAGGGACTTCAGCACGAGATCCATTGGCCTCAACAACATGTATAACCAGCCATTCACAGGCATCATGGTTATCCAGGGAGCCGCTGCCCTTTGCTTTGACCCACTCCCGCACAAGCTTCCTCGACGTTGCCTTGTAGGTCTCGTTATCATCGCAGCGTAGCAAGTAGATTTTCAAGTAAGGTGTTCGACGTAGGCCCGGTATTTGGTGTCGCCGATGTGTAGCTGCGCCACTGGTGCCATCGCTGAGTCGCTTCCGTTCTTCGGGGGTTTGGGCTGGGACAAAGTCGATTTGTAGACATCCAATGGACCGAAGAGGCCGAGTGGGGGACTTCCAATGAAGATTTCGTAGCTGCCGAACCTCTAGCAATAGAGGCTCTACTAAGGGGAATAGGTTGGAGGGATCCGTGTATTCAACTATAGCCAACACATGTGAGCGTGATGGGAGGTTTGAGCTGGGGGAGATGAGCCTGACCAGTTACGTTGCTAGAATTCGGGCGAGGGGTGGCGTCCATGACGACCGGGATAATGATGGATATAGAATGACCATAGTATAATCTCCCGAGTCATTCAATGGTCAAAATGGAGTGGTCTGATCCACAGCATGCTTGAATCTCACAACGGCAGCTTGGTTTGGGCGCACCGCGGAGACTCGCCGCTAAGTCGTAGGGCGGCTTCTTGGCATTCCGGAGCAATTAACCAAGCTACAAAGTACCATGCCGTTCTCATCTTCACTTGTTCAAAATTCCCTCTTATTTTAATGTATTAAGAAAATAATATAAAGAACTCAGGGGTCCCCCGCTATGATGAATTTACAAGCTTCAAAGGAGTTTTGAACGCATGAACATTAGTCGTAAACCGGACTCAACACATGGCCTTCCAATAAGTCCCGTCTGACCCGAATGAATGAAAACAAAAAAGGAAAATAATTACGCTTTGAAAGAAAGACGCTGTAGGAATATTTGAGAAGAAGTTGAAGTAAAGTTACGTAGGGATAGCTTCCACCCGGCCCGTAGCGTAGCGGGTCTTCAAGAAATGGTATCCCTGCGAAGCACCTTGCCAGAAACTCGGGAAAATGTTCTGCAGCATGGCAAAAATAACAATGATCAAAAGGGGGATCTGTTTAATGATTAGTATTAGGCTACAACGAGACATATGCAGGTATCAGTGCACTTACCCAAATGAAAAATAGATTCCTGTCACTGCGAATGCGTTTCATTTTCAAGGCGTGAGCCTTTCGCAGTTGCTCCTGCTGCTGTCGTGATATGGCTTTGCGTCCAATACGTACATCACCAATGTCTTCTTTAACCTCTGTGGCTGTGGAAGAAGAAGATGATGATGATGAGGAAGCTTTAAGCTGCGCTTCGAAATGCTGATCAACAGCGGCATCAAGTGCAGCTTCAACTATGGACGATTTCTTAACCTCCTGATCTTCACTGGCTTCCTTGACCGGGTATAATTCATCATACGCGGGTGGAGACGAATTGCCTGTCAACCGATCCCAGCCATCTTTCATTAAATTTGTAGACCATGATGTGGCTGGTCGGTGGGGAACAAGAGAACTAATGCGCTGTATCATAGGATAGGCTTGATAATCTGGTAAACCAGGCAATGTAGGCATGGGAGGCAACGCTGGCAAATTCGGGAAAGCTCGGTTCACGCTTTGCTGAAACTGGTTGATTTGAGTGGCAAGCTGATCACGCCAGGCAACCAGTGCGGCCGGCGGTGAAAAGCCCCTTCCAGCTACATTCCCTTCGGTTTCACCAGCAGCCACAGCTTCTGAAGTTTGAAGGACACTCTCACTAGGGCCAGCCATAAAATATCCAGGTTGATTCTGAAGAACCGCGCTTTGCCGTCTGGAAACAGATTGGTAAAACGGCGAATCTGCATTATCATTGTTACTCTCAACGGCGTCATCGGATGATTCCGAGAGATCTGTAGAGATTTCACCCGCTTCGTCAGAAGAAGCAGATTCCCAAAAGTCATTAAGAGAGCCAGAGCTGAGCCGGCGGCGCAATGATGGAGTCGAGCCCACACTTCTTGACCGGTAGTGTCGTGAAGGGATAAGAACAGCCTGATGTACCTCCAATGAGGATGCAAGGTCCGCTGATGTAAAATCGCGCAGGTTCCGTGCAGCAACATTGGCACCGGAAAGCCGCAAACGATGAACAATGTGAGTATGTCCGCTGATTGCTGCCAGATGTAAAGGCGTATTTCCGTTGTTATCTTGAACGTCTGGATTGGCGCCTCTTGCAAGGAGCCCCGCGGCAAATCGCGTCAATCCCAACGAAGCAGCAAAGTGCAAAAGGGTTTGTCCAGCTGGTGATCGCATATTGAACTTTGGTGCACCCGGTGTATCGTCAAGATCCATGAACTCAAGGTATACAAGCATTTTTGCATCTAGTTCTGTCATGTTACAGTTGTTGCTGCCACCTCTTTGTTGTCCACTCTGGAAACCATTCTGAATATTCCACAAAGTATTCGGGTCTCCTCCCATAATCTGCTGGGCGGTTCTATAGGCATCTGCGGGGTTTCTAAGTTTTTGACCCAAAATACCCAAAGCGACGCGGTACATTTGTAGTTCTCGATCGTCAACATAGCGGAAGAAGGTCTGCTGCTTTGGTATAATTGGCGGCGTTTGTTGAACCTGGCCAAAACGTGGATGCTCATGCTTGAACACAACCGGCACGGTCCCAGGTTGTAAAGCTGGTGGCGTGAGGCAATTCAAACACTTGTCTCCCCAGAATGTAGTAGTTGTAGCTAAAGTGTCTCCAAAGACAACCTCCATTCCAGGATAGAAACCACTGCCCAACAACGTCACTTCGCTACCTCCTGTAGTTGAACCTTCTGCGGGAACAAGCTTATGGATCATGGGGGGCATTTGCTGAGGCAAGTTTGGCGGAATATTCCAAATGGGCGTTTGAGTAAGATTAGAGGCACCATTAACTACTTGTTCTGTTGCTGCGTTTCGAGAAGAGCTTCCAGGAGTACCGGGACGACTTGGGTGAGCTGAACTAGGTGCAGACAGAAGCGACTGTTGAGGAAGATTTTCAAGCGTTTGAGGTCTATCTCTAGGGCTGAAAAAGTTTGAATCGGTGGTGATCGGTGTTGGAGGGCCATTTCCAAACTGAGTTACCATAGAAGAAGGCATAACAAAAGGTTGTTCCATTTGAGGTGGAGTGGCTTGTGAAGACGGCCCGGTAGCGGCCTGCTTGGGTTTTTGGGTTGCTGAATTTGAAGCGGACTCGACTTTGGTCATAGCAAGACCGCTGGGGATTTTGCCAGGGCTATTTTGTTTTCTTCGCTTTGCCAAAGGGCCAGGCAAGTCCCTTGAGGGAGCCTGCCGCGAAACGCCACGCGGAGCGGCGACACCACCCGTTCCAGACGGGCTTTGTGACTGGCTAAAATTACCAGGAGTTAAGGGATGCTGTTGCTTGCGCAGGGCCTGTAGATCTGTGGCAGAGTGAGATAATTTGAAGGGCGCCTGGTGGATGAATTGCTTTTCCATATCAACAGGCGCGTTTGATGGGAAAAGTCTGGCATTGCAACTGGGTTCTCCGGTGGAGTAGAACTCGCGGAAGTTTGGTTCGAAGGTGTATGGGTCTTATGGTCATCGGTGATCATTATGGAGTTCGTCATTTCTTGAGCGATAAGGTTGCCTAGATAGTCTTTGATGGTAAAAATCACCCTGAATTGGTGTTTAGCAATGCCCACCCATCGAAACTTGCATTTGACTTACTGAAATCCCATCTTTTCCCCTTGATGTCGGCAATAGCAAGCAATTCGCATGGGCAATTCCACTTGCATAGATCCAAGAGGGGCCGGAGGGGTAGATGCCTCAGCGCCACTCGATGAAGTTATTCTAGGAGGGTCCACCCAATCTTTCATCTCGGTTGTATTAAATACGATCACTCGCTTGTCTTCCTCTTTCTGAAATAGCTCATCCTCCTCTGGCTTTTTCTGCTTCTTTCGTGAGGCTCTTTTGCGTTCTCTCTGAATACAGCCAGCACAAATCTTTACCTCACCCCCCTTGAGGGGGGTGTTATCTTCTTCTTGGGAGTCTTCTAAGCCATCTTCTCTCATGGATGATTGAGAGGGCAATTGTTCACCGCGTGCTCTGGCAAAAGCTCTTTCCCGTTTTTTCTTGTCCTGCATTGCACTTGTGCAGACAAGACTGACGCTCAACTCGAAGACATCGGGTGAGCGTGGTGTGTCAGGCTTCGCAAAGAACTTTGGCTTCGATATTGTGTAAGTTGGAAGACGCAGTTTCTTCACCCCAGAAGGCATGGGATACAAGGTCAGTTTGATCGGTATTTGGGTCTCAACACGGGACTTTAGGGCAGTAGGATGAACTATCAGGCGTGGTGGAATATAATTCTCGAAACCAAACGACGGATGAAACATGGCATTTGCGTCACTCATGGGGAAGACTACGGCGGGGTGATACGGCGTGGATTCGAAGGGCGACGGATATGACTTGAAATTTAGGCTGGGCGCGAGAGTGGCATGTAACGGTGATGTGCCGTTCATGGCGATGCCGCCCAGTCCTCCATCGAGATCAGGAGAAGAGGTGTTATTCCAAAATTTAAGCCCATTTGTCGACTTGGGGAAGGTAGAATATAAATCAGCGGTACGCTGGAAGATTAGTGGAGACACGTTTTGCACTGGGTACTGCAGATTGTTAGCAAAATCGGTACGAAACTCGCGAGATAGGGCAGTACTCACAGACGGATTCTGGCTACTTTCCACCTTAGCCAGGTTTGAAGTATTGAGAGCCTCTTTGGACAAGTCAGTATTCCGCTTCTCCGAAGCGGCTCGCGATGCCAAAGGGCTAGGGCTGCTCGCAGCACTTTCAAAATCAAATGCAGAATCCATCGCTTTGTTACTCATTTCAATATCTGTTTCAGTAGCGTATTCTTCTTTGACCGACAGTGACCTCCCATCTTGTGCGACAAACCTTTCTTCGGCAAGCGAGTAATCGTGAGAGTTTGGCCACGTCGGTAGAAACTGATCAGTTCCGACGCTTCCGGGGCTGAAGGCTTCCGAGGGGTTGGAAAACAAGGAGAGGTTTCGAGTATGGCCAAGCGGTGAATTCGCTGAGGATCCGTTACTCGATTCTCCAGGGGATTCTGACCGAGAGTCTGACGGCGATAATCTAGATTCGGCGGCAGGCGGATGACGATGGGTAGTTGCCTTTGAAGTCAAATCCGACATGCACGACATTGCGTCGGACATCTGTGCGGAACTAGATGGGCGAATAAAGAGATCCTCGAAGTCATGGACAGTATTGGGTCCTGAAACCTCCAGCACAGAAGGGTCAAAGCAGCGGAGATCGCCCTCCTCGTCCAGACTTCCCATATCGCTATCAACAATAAACGGCTCGCAGCCTGCAAATTTTGGAGAGGCGGATACGTTCACAGGCGGCATTCTCCCCTCGAGACAAGGAAAATGAATGATTGTAGATGGAGGCAAAGCGCAAAACTCGAAACGTCTTCCGAAGAAGAGTCGGTGTGGACTTGTCGGAGAACTGTTCACGACAAGCACGCTGGGAGAAACAGCTAGAGCGAAGAACAGGAAAAGTCTATATAGATGATTCGGTTTTATGACCGGCAGACACGACGCTGAGACGGAAAAACGCGACTGTAAGAGTGTGGATGGGAGTTTTGATAGCGCGAGTGATAACAGTTGAGATTTCGCGGCCACGCTGCGGCCTCGGCCGCCGTGCTGAATAGCGTCTATCGCAGTAATAGCAATAGCTCGACCCAAGAGACCCTAATAGACGGGTTATCCAGGTCTGAGACGAAAGACACCACTACCACGACAGGCCAGACAAAACCGAAGCGTTGTCGTGATGTTTCGACAATATGAATTATCATCAAATAAAAGGGCTCTCAGGTTCGATTTCAATCCAGCTGGCGCTAAACCGAATTTGGAAGCACGCTTTCCCCAGCCCCCGGTCTGGACTGAGCCACAGCCGAGTCACGGACGACGCACCGGGAGAGAGAGAACAAAACAGCTTGGCGGCTCGCAATCGTATCTCTGGCTCGCCCGTCTGGTTACAGAAGCAGTGAGGGGGCTAATAATTACATGGTAAAGGTGGATGAGCACACTACTCCATACATAGTGACTATCTGCTCTGGCGAACGTTGGTGAAGATGATGCATTGTGATATCAGCCGGCATCCACCGTGCGCAGAAGGTAGTTAACTAGGCGATGCGGTGGCTTCCAAGCTTCGAGCCACAAAATGCCCTTGCCGAGCACCTCCGTACGGAGTGCTCGCTTTTCTATGTACCCCTTTCATGCCGCGGGCGATACATATTTCTATGTCATATCGCGTTCGCACCCCACTTCAGCTATTATTTTATTCTCGGATTTTCAAATGCCCTTAATGAGTACTCCGTACTCCCGACATATTATCTCTACTGGAGGTATAGGCAGCTGTTCTGCCCCAACCTGTTTCTGACCTTGTTTTTAGCCGGTGAACGAAGCTCGTCATTTCAAATTACGGATTGCGGAGAACCAGCCGCTCCATTTCAGCGAACTGTCGCCAACCTGGACGGGCCAAGCGTTGTGGGGACTACGGGAAAACCCACAATGTCCTATGTATTCAATTTCCTTGTTTGAGCTGGACATGGAGTTCTCAAAAGCGAAGATGAGACTCAGAAAAAGGCCAACTTGTCATCAGCATGGACCGCAGGCACGTTATATCTTGGCATCAGCCTGCAGTGTGCAAGGAAATTTTTGTTCTTCAAAGTTTTCTCAGGATTTTGGAAGATATTGAAGCGGTTTTGCCCTCTTTATTATTATTATTATTATTATTATTATTATTATTATTATTATTATTATTATTATTATTATTATTATTATTATTATTATTATTATTATTATTATTTTTGTTCGTTTGCTCAATTTCCCCAAGGAGGAGACCAGGGCTTCACTACTTCCCTATTGGAACTCCCTGAGGCTAGAGGCTCTTCTCCACCGGAGTTCGATTACAGCACTTTACTCAGAAAGATCCTCACGGAGAGAATTTTGAGGATAGAAAGTTTTCATTTGAGCGAATAGGGGCTCGACATCGGGATACTTTCCAGTATCAACCAGATCGCCATTGGTGCATTGCGTAGAGAACAAGATCAGTCATGAGCTTCCCACCCGCTGATACATCGTGATAGTCTTCTGTGTCGCTACTAAGGCAGCCTCCAACCCGCTCGCTACAGTCCCTTTCTGCTCCGCTGCACACGCCCACAATGGTTGGCTGTCCATGCAGGTAACCCCACGTGGGTCCTCCAGACCAACCTGCAGATGCGAAGGTCAGGGATTCGAGTTCCACTCCAAGGTCAGCATGGTATTCGATTTCGAAGAAATTTAGACTAGGAATAAACATCTGCGCTTGGCCATTATAGGAGTCTACTGGGTAGCCACTGCTCGACCATGATCTACCCATATAAACGGACTCGTCTTTCCACCATCTTGTCCCCATCCAACCCACCTTTTCTCCTAGAGGTTGGCAAAGATGGCACACAACATAGTCGATTCCGGTCACGTTGAAAGTATTTTTCACCCCACGACAACGGGAGACGTAAGAACCACCGTACGGTTCCGTGTCATTTGCAAAACCCGGCGAGAATCGCATCCATCTATCATCGCCGTATCCCCATGGGAAGCAATGACTAGCTGTGAGTATAAGATCCCTTCCAACTAGCGTGCCCGTGCACCATCCCCCTTTATCGCCTTTAAAGCGTTTGAATGATACTCGGCCGACAGTATTCCAGGGATACGTTTTCAAACTCAAGATCTGATCACGATTAGCTCCGCTATAATATTCCGGGGCGTGGAAAGCAGAATTGTTTGGCTGTGGTCCCGCTTGCGAAGGGGAATTGGTCGCCTGATTCCAACGCGTCGAATCCGGATTATAACCTGGCGTCCCACCCATCCTCACTTCATCACTGGCGCCGAAATTCCAAAAGGGACTCCGATATCCAGCCGGGTCGTCAACATACAACTGTTCTGCCTCGAGAAGAGGAACATTTTGAGGGCAGGACGGCCTCGATGGCTTGCACTTCATTAACGGCGCCGCACCAGCTGAAAGAATATAGGACACAACGAAAAGAGAGACAACTTGTAAGAAATGCATTGTGAACGATAGAAGCTTAGCATACGGTTCCCTTGAGATTGTGCATCATGGACTGCGGAATATATACATGAGGCTCTTGTTCCACAGAAGCCCAGCTGGCAGGGAAAGATACGACTCCGAGAGCGCCTGGCAGAGCCTTGGGAATTGGCCATCTGAGGGAATGATCCTTCTCCCAGCGGAGGGTTGGTCTTTCCACAGAACTTCATGTATAAGCATCAAGCAGAGAGCTGCCGGTTGCACCTCGGCTCCGGACCTGTCTGCTTGCCATGGCCTCGTTTCGTCGCGGTCGGGCCGGGCTCTCAGTCTATCGGAGGCCTCCTAGTTAAACGATACTCAGCTTTCTGCCATGAGGGCTCTTCATATCATGAAGTTTCCTGCAAAACAGATATTTCTATTATTTATATATTTATATTTATTTTTTTTGAGAGAAAAAAGGTAATGTAACTTAACGAACACTGATTTTCAAGCATAAAATAGTCATTGCACTCTTCAGTGTTCCCGTGGAGGATGTGTTAACTGCTTGGTGTTATTAAATATAACCAACTAGTAGCTGTATGGAGTGCTGACTGTGACGACATGGGAAATTTTGGTGCTGCAGCCCCGCACTCAAGGCGTGGAGAAAATAAATATTTAAATATCAGCGTCAGCTATCGGAAACACCCATGGGCTATAAACACAAAGTCGGGGGCCCAAATCAATCATCTTTGTCCTCCTGATCCTTCTTGCCCTACATCTACCCTTCTTGGAGACAGCTTCGTCAAGATGTTCAAGAAAAAGCCAGCGGTAAGCTTCATCTGTCCCCGCCGCTGCTGCAAGCTCTGTTTTGGCAGCTTGCCTTGAGTTTCCCAGACCTCTTACTGAGTCAGCGAGCATAGATCAAAACGCTTGCTCCTCTCCGTTCATCAGACCGACGCAAGATCGCCGATCAGATCATCCAGCAGTACAAAGGACTGATCCCCGTGACCCCTCCTACCACGAGCGAAGACAACGGAAATTCAGAGGGCCAAACGAGTGGTACGACTATAGCTACCGTCCGCAACGCCCTGCTTCCAGAGAATACCCAATCCGCCCGATTTACTACCACTACAGGGCCGAATCTACAGTCGGTCCAGGGAACAATCTACGTTGGCACGCATCCCGGAGGTGACGAAAGAGTGTTATGGTTTCGACTCGAGCAAGGCCCCGGCACTGATGGCCGCATCTACCCCACCGTTTATACATTATGGCACAACCCCGGCATTGTTCCGTTATTACATACCCAATCCTTAGTGATGGATAAACTGTATGGCGGGGCAGATCTTATGATTCCGGGGTTAGCAAACGGCCCACCTTTCCCTGGGGGGGCGACCAAGAATGCAGTGGTTGCAGTGGCTGACATAAAGAAGCCAAGTGTACCAACCTTTGTTGGTGTGTGCGAGATTGATGTCTCTGCACTGGACAAAGTCCAAGGAGTCAAGGGACATGCTGTCAGAGGTGTACAATGGCAAGGAGATGAGCTATGGGCCTGGAGCTTGACAGGGCAGGGTGGTCAGCCCGCCCCCGAGAACATTGACGGCTGGCTTGGCGTTCCTGAAGGCTTGCACAAGGCAGTGGATGAACTACAGTTGGAAAAAGAGGACGACGAGGCCATTGTCCAAGAAGCAATAGATGGAGGCGTGTCACTGGAGGACGAAAAGGCAGCTGAAGCAGAGGGGTCTCACGAACCCGAAAGGGAACCGACCACCAAAGGTGAATGGAGCTGATACTGTTCTCTTCTTTACTACTACAGGCATCAAATTCGAGGCTAACACTGAATAGAAATCGACGAGGTACTCTTCAGAGCTTTCCTTTATGCCCTCTACAACCAGAAAGAAAAGAATCCATCCCAACAGCACCACGGCTTATCTTTTCCGATTCAACCATCCTTCTTGATTTCGAATCTCATAACCCCATTCCTACCGATATATACCCCACAGCAAGCCCAATTCTACCAGATCAAAAAGTCTTCCTGGAAAAATGTTAAGAAGTTTGTGAAGTATCTCGACAAGGAGCAACTGGTCAAGTCCAAAGATCGCAGTGGAGGGGAAACTATAATCCTGGATGTTGATTTTGAGGATAGAAGGGTGGCTATGTTTGAGCCATACAGGCTCCCACGGAAATCAGGGCCAGAGAGCAAATCAGCCTCTAAAGCGCCCGTAGAAGCACCCTCTGGACAGTCGTTTGATGTCAAAACCCTTTATCGACCCAGCGGCAAGCTCATACCGGACCTATTCCCACCTCTTGCCAATACCGATCTGAACAATTACTATTCTGCAACCGATGTATCAAAACGCCTGAGTGACTACCTTTCCACGCAAGACCCGCCCATAATTTCTCCCTCAAATCCACGCGTCATCAACCTTAATCCTTTTATCAGCAACAAGATCTTCTCTTCCAATTCCCCAAGCGACCTGGCCATACAAGCACGCGGCACCGTCTTGCGGGATGCTTTGCTCAAGAGATTGCTCGACGACACATCTCTTTGCGCACCATACCATGCGCTTCTGAAGCCTGGTCAGAGCCTAAAGGACGTGAAACCCAAAGCTGGAGCCATTCCCAAAGTTTCCGTGGTGATTGAGCGCCGGAGCGGCGCGAAGGTGGTGACAAGAATTATGGGCCTGGAGACATTCGGCGTTTCTCCTCAGACGTTGAGCGACGAGTTACAAAAGAAGTGTGCAAGTAGCACAAGCGTGACTCAAGCAGTTGGAGCTGCTAAGGGATCCATGGAGGTCTTGGTTCAGGGTGACCACCGCCGAACGGTGGATAAAGTCCTGAGTAATAAAGGGGTCAAGTCTCAATGGACCGAGGTTGTTGATAAAACGCAGAAGAAAAGCGGGAGATGAATCGTTGGGACAAGGACGGCAAGAACTGTGGGATTTCCATTGCAGCCAATGCCAAAAATGCTTACAACGATAGGCATATGAGTACGGAGTACGCGGTAATTAGGAAAAAAAAGAGAAAAAAAAAGAAAAAAAAAAAAAGGGACGGCCTATTTAATTTGGTAGAAGTCCGTCAAACGTTAAAGAAGTATGGCAAGCATTCAACACTTTGACTGCACGTCAATAGGCTGAGGATGTACTCCGTAGATCTCACCAATACACAGAGAGTAGCCGGCGTCCCTGCGGCGAAGCTCTGAGCACTCGCCCGCACGTTAGCTGAAGAATTTGGGATTGCAAACAACAAGGTTTCAAGCAGCTCGTTCTAGAATCTAAAACGTAAGAGCGCAGGGCCCGCACAGGGTTAGCAATGTGGCCAATGTGATGAAGTATTGAGTAACTTCCCAACTGCTGCTTGCGGACAGAACAAACTCTCAACCTGCCCAAGGTACAGTGTCACATGTGATTTCTTCCTAGTCGCATTCAGCTGTAGGCAGCTTTCCATAGCTTGAAGCACTTGGTCAGCCCTACCAAGATTGTGAAAACTGAAGAGCTCCCGAAAACGGGGGGCGTGTATATGCCGTACTTCTAGAAAAGGTCTTGCATAACACGGCTGAGCGGGAAGATTTGAGTTGAACGAAAGCTACATTGATTAATAACAAACATCTTTCCCGTAGCACCGAACACAGCCCCCGTGTCTGAGTTAAAACCGGGAAAAAACAAAGCAGCTTATCAACTGTGTGACCTGGAAGGTGGTGAGATAAGACCTGTGTACGACTCGAGTCGTACATGAAGCTCCCCCACTAGCGGTCTGGAAAGACGCATAAGCACCAGCTGGTCGCCGAACGCCTCGCCGTTCGAAGCCGCCGTTTTTGGTCCAAATGTTTACTTCGAACAGGTTTGTGACACAGGCGAGCCGCTATCAAACCTGGGTAGACGGTGTAACGGCCAGGCTTGCGAGAAATATTCATTTAAATATCCTAATCAGAAGTATTGCCCGAGCTGCTCAATGATTTCTTTTTCCCACTTTCTGGTATAGATATGGATAGCTGCCTCCGAATTGTTTGATTTAGCCAGACATAGCGAAACGATCATGAGTGTGTACAAAGGTCAGTCGGACGGGGCCGAAATACCGTTCCTCCGTACGAAATATACATAGAAAGCCCCAGTTACTAGACCCAGTTCGGATCACAATTCGACCCAACACAAGGGATACTGTATATTAAAAAAAGAAAAAGAAGTAATAGGCTAGCCTACCAAGGGCGGTAATAGAAAATGGTTGCTTAGATGCGGTGTGAACTTGCCATCAAGGGGGAAGTTCTAGGTGAAAAGACTTGATGGAAACAAGATTGGGAGGGTGGGGGGATGTTTCAACAGGAAAGTCGATCAGCTCTGGAATTTTTGGCATGATATGCGTTAAGAACATATAATTAGTATGAGGAATACCAATTATGACGATGACGCTGGTTCATGTCGTAGGGAGATTGCCGTGGAGAAGCCCTTGCCTTCGACTACGGCCCGTCAGTGTGGGACAAGATCCACTTTGACCATAAATTCGGCCCTGGCGCTCCAGTCTGGCCCTCTGTGCTGAGTCTGTAGGGCAAGACCAAGAAACGCAACACGCTCTCCTGGTGTTTGAAGACGGATAATCGTTGAAATCTGGCCCGGTTGCACTCAAGATTCATCCTCAGAGGAATGAATCTGTGGAACAGACTACAAGAACCGAGGCACGGGGCACTCGACCCGCTGCAAAAGGACGGTTTTATCCCAGCCTGAAGGCTGGGTTGATGTTTTGGCGAGGTTCGGCATTTTCAGCACATCGTCAAGTTGAATAATCGCAAGAGGTATGGCTAACGACGCTTTCAACATGCGGTATCCAGACGGGATAAGCTTGTATTTGAACCGGATTGGCTGCTGAAGTCCAGTCGTCTCCGCGGAGTCGCATTGAACAAAGAAACGGTAGAAGATTCCGCCTTGTTCAACCAAGTTTGGTTCTTGGGTCTGCAATTACTTCGCAGCGAAGTCATAGGTACTTCGACAGCCGTCATCGACAGGCATCGCATTTCAAGAGGTCTATACTCCATACTTGCTCTGAAGAGGAAGGTCCCCAGGCGTCGGTTTGGGCCAGAAAATATGACTGAGCATTCAAGTAAAAGATCATCCAACAGCGAGAACCATCTGACTCTTTAGGCAGATGTGGTGTTCTTCTCGTTGGGTGTGCTACCGATGATGGAGGCCGCTCCCTGCATCTCGAGTCACACGGACACAGGGAACAGGGTGTCCAACAGGTTCGATGCACACACAGTATGGAGGACAGGAAGACTTGTCCTTTGAGTGAGAATTGTGAACTCCTTGGGCACAATAACTTGCAAGCCGTGAGGGAACGGAGGATCGAATCAAAAGGGTCCTGAAAGAAGGATGCACCGTACGGAGTACGGAGTACATCCATCCAGATGTATCATCCCCAGCTCCCCCCGGATTGAGTTGGGCGATCGAACAGATGGCTTTCATTCATTTTTTGGTTGGCAAATCAGACGGAAGAATTAGCGACCGAGTATGATTTTTTGGAATCAAAACTTTCGAACATGCTGCAACAAGAAGTTGGCCCAAAAAAAAAAAAAAGGAAAAAAAAAAAAAAGAGCTTTGCGTAAAAAAGAAGCGCAAAAATGGGTGCAGTTCTCTTTTGGAGCTTGGAGTGAACGGGGTGGCATGCTGGGCCAAGGCGAGGCACCCACCACGTTCCCCCCTCCTTTTTTTTGGTTCCCTTTTTTTTTTTTCTTTTTTCCTGAGTAAAAAGAAAAGGACCTTTTTGCAAAAGTGAGAGTTACCAAAACCTTCGTGCCCGCTGACCAGGCTGGCAGGACTCCTGACAAAAAGCTCGCTGGGGCCAAACTCATTCCAGCAATAGGGTTTAGCACCGCCGTTCCAGCAAATGGGGACTCAGCATTGTTGTTTCTCGCCGCTCTTGGCGCGGCCTGGCAAACACACTTATGGAACCGCCAAGCTGACTAGAGACGCTGCCGGCGTCGAGAGCGCAGGGAATCATGGCACAAAGTCGCAGGGCTCCCTTGTCGTCCGTTACCACAGCGGTATTTTAACCTGCCGGCTGCAGCATCCCGCCCTCCTGGTGTGGGGTGAGGTTGGACCGGTTTTCTTTCGCTCTTTTTCCAGCCAGCGACTGTGGGCGACACAGCAGCTCCACTCTGAAACATCCTCCACCACCTCGGCGCTTGCGGAATAATAAGGGCAATATCGTCACGGCCAGCAGGGTAAATTTCAACTCCGTGTGCTCCGTACTGGTCCGATACGGTAAGGAAAGGTAACGGAAACTTTGGACCCTCTGTGTCCAGAGTACCAGCAAGAAAAAAAAAAAAAAAAAAGAAAAAACAGAAAACACAAAAAGTTGGTCGACTGAGAATCTGTCATGCACGAAAAAAAGCTTCGATCCTGAATGTGGTTGTTCGAATCAACCCGCAAAGTTGCGAGAAGTGGCGGTATGTAGGATGTCTGCCCGGGTTGGTGGGAATGGCAGGTGATTCGTTCCCGAGCAATGGGCAGACGCATAAGTGTCAATGTGTCGAAGAACCAGGTTGCCGGAAGCTGCGTTGCACATTCTGAAGCCTTGCCAACGTGGGCGGTAACCAGGCGAAAATACAGGAAATACAGCTGGTGCTTCGCTTGCAACCAGCGAATGATAAACCTGTCCTTGCTTTTCGTCCTAAACCCGCTTGTATCGAGTTCCATGCGGGACTGGCCTATCGCTGCTGTTCATTGTCGCCAGTGGGCTGCCCACCGTTACCGCTAGGCTTGGGCGATCACCGTTTTGGCGCTGTATTGGGGGTGTGGTCTCCGTGTGGGCTGTCGATACGGGGTCATTCCCTGATCAAAATTTCCCAATTTTTGAGTCTCCAGCCACCATGCACACCCAGAAGGAAACAATCACAGCCTGAATAATTGAGTTGAGCTATTCCCTAGCCAAGGTGGCCCAACTCTATCGAGTGGTCAATGGGGTTTGGCCCTTGGGATATCCCCCGTCTCCATATCCCCAGTCCTTCCCGTCCGGCTCTTGACAATCGAGAACTTTCAACATAAGCGAACTCCACGCTTGATGCGCTTTCTCTGATTGCAACTCCTTCAAACCTCGAACATTGCCCCCCTGGGCCTCATCTGCACACGACAAGAGGACGCAGTAGGGGGTGCTGATGCTTGATTTCCGATAGCGAAATCAGAGTCGACTTGAACAGACTTTTTCGATATACTCTCGGTTCGAATACATACGCCCAGCGAGATAGTGACGCCGTTTTAATCCATCGTCGTCATATACACAAACCATTCACCACGTTGCAGAAAAAAAGAGTGCTTTCTGTTGTTGTACGATTGTATCCGTGCGAGATTTAACTGGTCTCGTACGTCCCTCAACAGCCTATGGTATGCTGATGCAAACACCATTCCCGGTTTCTTGTCTCCTGGACAAAAGTCATCACTCGGAACGGCTGGACTGATATATGATCGGCAGGTCCGATAATTCTCTCATATTTACCCAAGGATCAATATATCCATCAACATGTCTTCGAAAGAATCGATTCTCAACCCCGAGAATGAGACGGAGAGCTCATTCGTCAGAACCACACGGGAGGGGAAGAAGCTCACATATACATTGAAGGTCATCCAGCAGCCTGAACGGGCAAGGGCATGTGGTGCTGGTGCCAAAGGTAAGGTCGTCTCTGGTGGTATATGTTGACGAGTAAACTGACAATGGTCACTGCAGCGTCTGCTGACCGCCGCCCGGTCGACCCGCCTCCTGTGGTTGAACTGCGTGTCTACGAGTCAGACCAGAATGATATGAACAAGACAGACATTACATTCGCGTACAATGCGAATTTCTTCTTGTTTACCACACTGGAATGGGCTCGTCCTATCGCCCATCCAAGAGGCCAAAGCCAAAGTGCCGCAACACCACCCGTTTTGACCGGCGTGCCGGTTGCAGGTGTCGCATATCTCGATCGGCCAGTTCAGGCGGGCTATTTCATCTTCCCAGATCTCTCGGTTCGGCATGAGGGTTATTATCGGTTGAACTTCAGTTTGTATGAAGAGGTCAAAGATCCAAAGGATGAAGACAAGGACCGTGGCGTCCCACGACCCGTTTTGCCCGCTTTGCCCAAGACCTGTGAACCTCGGGAGCCAAACGAGTACATTTACTTCCGCCTCGATGTCAAGACCACGCCGTTCACTGTTTACAGTGCCAAGAAGTTCCCTGGGCTGGCCGAGAGCACGATGCTAAGCCGCACGGTGGCCGAACAGGGCTGTCGCGTCCGGATTCGCCGTGATGTCCGTATGAGACGCCGTGAGCACAAGGGCAACAAGGACTTTAATGGTGGCTACGACGAGCGACATATGACTCCTGACAATTATCCGGGCACGCCAATTGAACGGCCACGATCGGCAAGCAATGCCTCCGTCGATAACCCTTATGTCTACTGCCCGACATCTACACCTCGCCGGGTTCCATCCGCCCAAGGCTTTTCCTATCCCCCAGCACCGTATCAACAGCCGGTGGCCATTCCTCCTCCTCCTCCAGGCCCAAGCCCTGCGCCAATGGCCCAGTCGCATCTGACATTTGGTGCTCCCCAAGTTCAATACAGTGCTCCTCCGGCTAGCATTCCACCGGTCGCCACCCAACCCCCTCCCGCCCTCTATTCTCCTCGTCCTGCATATGCGCATAACAGACAGGCCTCCAGCGGATCAGGACTCGATGCACAGGCACAGAAATATCCCCCCACCCTACCTCTAAAGCCTGACTCAACCAGACCTTATCTGCCACCCCTCTTGCCAACGATCACGTCGGCTTACAGTTCTCGTGTCCAAGACTCTCCGGTGTCTGAGCCTAAGGGATACAGCCAACTATCTCAGATGCCTCCTCCGTCTCCTCTACACAAGGCATCTTCCAGTAAACCCCAGTATAACCTTGTGCCACCAACCATCATTGCCGCAGATACCACACCCGCTCCACCATCGAATCCACCCCGAACCTTCGACTCTGCACGCAAGATGTGGGCATTCGATAAGCAGGTGTTGTCGGGCAAACGATCGCATGGCGAGACGTTCGGATCGGCTCATCTTGATCGCCGCCTGAACGATGGTGCACGGCCTGATCCACTAACAGAAGCGGATAGCTCAGATGCTGACGCTTTCTCTGGCCATAAAGTGACGTATCCACGAGCAGATGGAAGATTGGTCGAGAGAATGGCCGGCATGAATGCCTAAATGCGCATACCCGCCGTCCTGGTCAGCGTCTGGTTTCGGCTTTCTGGTCCTTTGAACTTATACCCTGGACCACCAACAAAAAAAAGAAAAAAAAAAAAAGAAAAAAAAGCCCCCAAGCGCGTAAACTCATTCTCTTTTCCTTTTTTTTTTTTTTTTTTTTTTTTTTTTTTTTGAGTTAATATTTCTTGACTGCATATGGTGTGGGATTACCTATCACTTCCACAAAAATACCTAGTTTTGACAGCTATGCAGCCGTCGTCGCCGATCTTTAAAGATGTATATCTCATTGTTGTTTTCTGTGCTTTACTGACTTCTTTCCCTTGTCGTTTGCTGTACTCGTTTTCCAGTTTTCTTTTATCTTGTCTTCAATTCTGTCTATTATTATTCTTGTCCTTTTTTCCCCCCTCAAAAAAAGCCTCGCAGTTCCGAGATCTAAGATGGTCCGGTTGTACGCCAGTTTGCACCCCTACCGAGAAGTAAATATCGAGTGTCGGGCAATGGCTGTCTATCAGAAAAAGGTCCGATAGGCCAGGGCTTACGAGTGTGAAGCTTTTTAACCTGTCAACTCTAGTTGTTGCTGCAAAGCACGTTTCTTTGCCTGCACTGTCGGACTTGACGAGAATCTTCAGCGCGAGAAAGTATATATCTTGGAGGTATGTTCGTGAAAGGGGGGAAAAGAAGGGGGTTGCGTGATTTGAACGCGAAGGGCGGCGAACGAGATATCTTGTTGACACTCCATGGCCACAGGGGACGGGAGGGATAGGATGGGCGGCGAAATTTCAACTGTTGGGCAATGATCATCAGCTCCATGTGTGGTGTTTTATTCTATTTTCTTTTTCTTTTCTCCTTCCCTTTCCTCTCATCGTTTCTATGTCGGGGGAGGGTGCAATCTGCTGGGCATTGATTTTGGTCATCCATTTATTTCTTTTATCCTTGAAGCTGGTGTCTGGCATTTTTCTTGACACCTTTTTTTTTTTTTTTTTTTCCAAGATATACCTGACCAAATTGGCCATCTGTGTATGTATTTATCTGTCTTTCCTCATTTGTTCCCTCTTCTGATTTGATAGATAATATTAGCATGTTTTTCTCGTGATTCAATTGCCCGAGATCGATGATCGTTTCCAACAGCAAGCTGTGGTGAAGAGCCAGGTCTGGTCGCGAGTTGGCGATTTCTGAAGGTTGCAGGCCAATCAGCGTTGGGGCGACCAGATGCAACTAGCGCACCCGGCGATCGCCTGGCAACCGGGTAACCACCCGACCCAATCTGACTTCACTTTATTTGCACCCGCAGGACGCCTCTGCAGAGTCGGGTTCTTTACGCTTGTTGCTGGGCTTTGTGCGCTTGCTGACACGTCCAGTTTGGTGGCCGCCTTGATACTGATATGTTTCAGATTTGACAAGAAGTCAAAAGCGCTTCGAGCTGCTTGCTGAAGCTCCATCTGTGATCCAGGCGGTTGGTGGATAAGCAAAACAAAGCAAAACACACCCTTTTTCCACCGCCGACAGAACAATTTGCGCCTTTTGAAGCTCTGTGTTCTTCATGACTTAGTTCTCTTTCCTCCTTGTGATGCATCTTTATGCCTTTCCTTGCTTCTAACAGGCGTTATTGTCGCTTTTGTCACTTTTGTGCCTTTTGTTGATATCTACCACCTGCTTTTGTTATTCCACCCAAGCTCTCAAGGCTTCGTGCCTGGATCGAGTTTCGAAACTGCCCCAGGTATTAACGACACGAAGCAGCTCTTATTCTAACCACGTCGGCTCTTCAAGCCTTCAGGAAACAATGTCGACGGCGCGGGAATCCAATGTAAGTTCTCCTATCCGGACGAAGTAGAAATCCACCGATCCTTTCTCTTCCAACACACGCGTCTCGGCTCCTCGGGTCGCTAGACTTGGAGCTGCTGTCACATACCAGTTAATGCGTTTATGCGACCACCTTTTCCGTGGGTTTCTTTTCTTTTCTTTCCTTTTTTTCCTTTTTTTCCCTTTTTTTTTTTTTTTTTTGGCACGTTCTCACCATCGTTTTATATTTGACCCACCATATCGCTATTTCATTATCAACCGGAATCCTGGAGATTTGCCCCTTCAAATTCTAATTTTCTTCCCAGGATGCCCATCTATATGATGCCGCGTGGGACAGCGTATGCGCTGCCAAGCAACTGAAAACTTCCCTTCGCCAATCTATTGGTGAAGATGATATTGGCCTTCCGAGGAGCTCATCCAAGCGTAAACTGTCGACCGCGGATGACGATAATGAGTCATCTATTTCCCACTCCGGGCTCTCCCTTGCGGACTCGTACTTTGAAGATACGGATTACACGCCGATTCCCGACACGGAGACTCCGCCGAAACGACTTAGATCCAACGATTGGCCGCTCCCAAACAAGAACTCGGTGCTGGCGGAAAATCGGGCCGTCGGGAACAGTACCCGACCTGTACTGAGATCAAAAAGAGGCCAATACGTGCATGATACGCGCTGGCCGTCTGCCATTTCTCCGGGACGTCGATCACGATTCCTAGAAGGTAGCATGCGAGATCGTGCTAGCGTAAAGCCACCTCCAGAATTTACCGGTGAGATTGATGAGGTTTCAGCGTCTTGTTTGGCAGATGAGGAGACAAATCACGAATATTCGCCGCACAAGTCGTTCTATCAGATGCGTGCAAGAACCTCGGCTCATCTAAACTCTCCCCCTTTGCCCACAGAGAATCTCAATGCAAAGGAGCCCGGAATAGTTCGCTTTGGAAAGAGATTTGCTTCTGCTTTCGGCATTCCTAGCGTATTGCAGAATGTTTCTGAAATCTGGAAGGGAACAAACGATGGAAATAAACCCTCGTCTCGCGACATCGCGATGGACAGAAAAATCCGAGCAGAGAGAGCCTATGCAGAACTTAAAGCGTCTGGATACCCTGGAACTAACAAAATGGTTTACACACACACTTACGAGCGGGCAAGAACGACGAGTCCGGTCAAATCTGAGAATAAAGACAACATCCCGGCCACGGACAAGGACCTTCCTCCACCCCCTGTGGACTTCGGATTCCTTGCAGCTCCCACCATTCGACCTTCAAGGTCGTGTATGTCCATTGCACCAAGCAGAAAGAAGGCCTCGGCCGAATGCGACTCGCGAGGTCTGCCCAAACGACCTTCGGTAAAGGATTTATTGCGGAAAGAAAAGCTGAAGGAGCGGCTGACGCGTAGGGTGAGCAAGTTAGAGGAAGAATGGGATAAAGCTCAAAGAGAACTTCGTGCCCTGTCGTCGGAAAGTGAACCCAGCTTCCCTCCTGCCCCCGTTTCTTCGGCTCGAGCCAGAAGGGCCCTCCAGCCGACGAAGCTTCCCTCTTTGCCCTCCGAGCGGCTACTCAACAACCAGAAAAGCCCAATGAAAGGAAATAATAAAGCCAAGCCCGTTATCATGGTAGATGTGAGCAAATCCAGCCGTCGCGTGGCTTCGGCGGATTCGACTCCGCGTCAAAATCTGCGAAGGAGCGTTGCAACGATTGCTGCAAAAGAAGAAAACGGTAAAAAGCGGCATTCGTCCACTTCAAGCTTCGAATATCGATGCTCACAGGAAATTGAAGAAGATAAGGAAAACGTGACTATCTTAACTGGGAGTAAAAAGCCAGAGGAAAGCGACAGTGCGCCCACGCGCCACCAGCCGCCGAGAGAGGCAAAAACCCGTAAGATGGGCCCCAAGCCGGGGTATGTTCATATCCAGAATATGTCCCATGTTTGTCTTCCTGCCTCAAAACCCAGGGACCATGGATACTCTTCACGTCTCAGATCAAAGACATCTCAGGATAAAGCATTTACTGCGACACCGGGGGAAAATGGTGTTCCTCCTGTGCCTCCACTACCAGGCAAGCTCGCTAATAGCCCCAAAAGAGGTGAGTTTGAGTGGCCTGAGGATTGTTTCTGAAGACAAATAACTATGATGATGATACTATTTCCTTTTTTGTTATTTTCCTATGTTCATTTTCCTTTGTCTTTCAATTTTGTTGTGTACCATCTGCTTGGAGGATTCAAATGAACAGCATTCGCTATAGTCAAGTGCAATGGCCCCTTTTTTTTTTTTTTTAATAGGCTGCGTCTTTCGGTCTGGGAACTCCCCAAAATGATTGCTATGACTGACCTTATGCGTTTGATGATGAGTGATGACATGATTTAAACCAGAGCAGCAGTGTGTTGAGTGAAATCTGAAAATCAAATGTTCTAGTATTCTGCAATTCAATCACCTTTATCTCTGTCTTGTTGGCTTAGTACCTGCTTGGTTCAATGGGGTAGATACAGGAAGAAAGCAAGTGGAAAATATTAAAAGGCTGCAACTCATGGTTTCTTAGGGCAACACGCTGGAATCGTGTCAATATGTCAGCCATAAAGAGCAGTGAGATGAAACTGAGGCCTAAAAATGTTGCATTTTTCCTTTTGTGAGACATCAGAAGGTCCCATGGGGTGGGAAGTAACATGGATGGAGCAATCTGCACAGGCACTCTTTTCTTTTCCCCTAACTGGGAAAAAAAAAAAAAAAAGGAAAAGGAAAAGGAAAAGGAAAAGAAAAGAAAAATAGAGTGGGAGGGTTGTGGCTGTCAGACGATGGGAAGTTTGAAATTTTACTACGCCTTTAGACATAGAAACGTCCCAGCATTGATCCGGTAATTTAACAAAGTCGGCCAATAGGCCAGTTAATCAACTCGAATGCCACTACATACACTTTGGCCGCAGCCTTCTAATACCCAATCCATGGTCGCCCATGGCAAAAAAGGAGAAGGTATTCTGAGGTAAGGGAGGGAGGAGTTTATAAAAACCATCTAAACTCCGGGGTATCCGGCCCATCTTGTAAATGTTTCGTGGGTATGTCACGAGTATCAATTTTCACTCCTTGCTTCTTGTTCCGTTGGTGGTTGTCCCAGGCCATATAGACACCAAGGCTACCCGCAAGCAACGCACCGGCAGCCCCGAATGTGCCGGTGGTGATTAACGCCGGCTTGTATTTGGGTTTGTCCTCCTCGCGGAAGATGTTGCTGCTGACAAGGCCCATGAGGTTTGCGATTGGAACACCCACGGATGTCAGGAGCATGCGCCGATTTTCATGAGCAATGTTGTTGTTATACCAAGTGCTGAGGAGAACTGAGGCTGCCGAAGTTCCCCAGGTCATCATAAAGCAGGCATAGTAGGCCAGCTCGAATTGAGCCTTGACATCGTCGATGGCAGCATAGATCATGAAACCGGTGAAACTGAGAAGAAAGCCAAAGGCAATAAAAGGGGATCGTAGACGACAGGCATCAGAAGAGAAGGCAAGAATTAAAAGCATAACAGCTCCAGTGCAATTTGGAGCCACGGTGTAAAGATTAGTTGTAACGGTGTCACGCTCGAGACGCTGGATAATCTGAGGCAAGAAGAGAGCAACGGACTGGATGGGAACACCAATGCAAACCTCAATGGCCAAAAAGATATATGAAGTAGGCTGCTTGAAGACCCTGAGAGACTCGCGGAAATTGAACTTTTCATTGACGATTGAGCTGGAGTCAACTTGAATGCGATGGAAAGCAAGTGCTTTTTCCTTCGGATCTAGGAACCTAGCTTCAGCAGGAGTTTGGGGAAGATACCAGTACGCAAAAATGGCAAAAATGACGGTGCAGGCACCCTCAATCAAGAACAGATATCTCCATTCTTTTAACTTTCCGCTTTTGACTTGAAAGACGCCAAAAGAGAGCAGGCCTGAGAAAGCATTAGCAATGTTGGAAGCGGCATAGAAGATGGCCAAGCGACGAGCCAGTTCACCGCGACGATAAAACGTGGTTAGATAGTAGATGACCAGAGGAAAAAAGGCCGCTTCGGCCATTCCTAGAAACCACCGAAAGGCAAATATGCCTCCGAAATCGTGGGTCGCCGCCGAAAGGAGAGTTAAAGAACCAAATATGAGCATCAGGATGGGTAGCATTCTCGCAGGGCCAAAATGCTTGCCAATCATGGCGATTGGTGGTGCGAAGATGACATACGGGACGAAGAAAATGCCCAAAAGCAGGTTATATTGGCCAGGTTTGAAATTGAGGTCTGGAACTTTTCATGAGAATTATTCGACTGCATGAGATGGGAGATAACTGTCGAGTACAAACCCTTGCTTAACCCCGCCGTTTGAGCGTTGCCAATGTTTCCTTTGTCCAGGGCATTGAAGAGGTCTGGAATGGAGGCAAGGCTAGTTAGCATTAAAGAGCCAGGAAGTAAACCGTAGTGGTCAACATACACATAATCGCGAGGACAGGAAGTATTCTGATATCAAGTTTGAGACAGAGAGCACATTCAGCCTTTTGATCTGTGACTCGTGCGGTATCCTCTTTCAACTCTTCATTTTCAACCATGGAATGCTTCTTGTGACAGTTGAGTTCATCGCGCTGGTGTTCAAGCCTTGAGATATCATCCACATTGTGTATATAATTACCATCACGCGTGTCCGCCATGGCTGGCAAACAAAGTCCTTAGAGCCTTGAAAACCGGCTTCACATATCAATGACTTTGGGACACCGAGCTGGAATTGATGAGCATGATTCGCAAGCCACACTGCTGAGTAGCTGAAACATAAATAATAGTTCCATCCTTTCCTCCGACTTCATGAAGCAAAGAACCAGCTGAAGAATATCAGTCTCCGCATACATGATTCTGCAAAATACGTTAATTCCACTGATTAATTCATCTCAAACAGTTTCTGGTAATGTAAAATATCTGTTGTATGCAGATACCCAGATTCTACCGGCTTCTAACATACCCCGCATTCAGCGTATGCCTTTGCATGGATATGATTGTCACCGAAGCGACTGGCCTGTATCGGTCTCGCTGAAGTAAAACCACCTCGTGTAACTGTTACATTTGGCTGTGGTTACACTGTGCAATGTCCCAAACCGCACTTAAAGGGAGCTTCCCACGGCCCGAGACCTCCACGATACCCTCGATAGGTAAGAACTGAGCATAATCATGCTCTTCCTGTTGATGCATTATTACTCGACCATATATCTCGGCGAAATGTTGGAGAACACTGAAACATCGGCATTGCAGCATGCCACGGTGCCATTAATAGCATCGCATGTCATACCTGGGAACAGAATGGAAGGGCATCTCAACATGGAATCATGTCCACATGAATCTGTACGTTCTGTTGTAAGGAAATGTGGAAACCTGGCTTTTTCTTATGAATAGGCTCAACACAAAAGAATGGCGAGAGCTTGGGGCGCATCTCGACTCGCGAAACCCGAATCCACGGTTTCACTAGTTTCAATGTTCGAGAAAAATCCCGGGAGTGAATTCACCAAAGCTCAATAAATGACAAATAACCACCGCTCGGATAAAGGGCCAGCTGGCTGTTACGGCCCACAAGGTCCTGATTAACGGTCTGCAATAGTGCCAAGGTGCCTTGCGCCAGTTGCAACAAACTTGGTCAAGCTGTTGAACAGAGCCGTCCTTTTAAGACTCAAGAGGGCTTAATTGGGAAACATACATGCAGCATTCAGTCTGATTTTCATGGTCCAGTGAGGCTACCCCCAAAGTATCACAGCTTGGCTAGTTGTCTTACTGCTTATCATGAAATGTAGGAAGCAGTATTCTACGTCGATGGGAGGCTAATATAATTTGCTCCTTAGGCTACCAAAATGGAGCGCATAATTGTTTTTGATACCCTTTCAGAATGTTCCCAGCGATCCTGGCTTTAAGATCCTTATCGACGTCTTTTTCGGACTCTTGGATAGTGATGAGAATATAAGATGGAACGAGATGTTGTGTATTCCGTAATGGCATCCCAACATGATCAGCGAGCACATCTCGATCGGCAAAGAATTCGGCTTTTGTGTCTTGATTCGGCTTCGATAATCCATGGCAAGCATATATATCATCCAATGGGTAGTTATGAAACTGGGTGTTAACGAAGCGCTTTTAGCCTTTGTCCATCTATAGCATGGCAGTGAATGCTGATGCCAACGCGCTGGGTTACTCAACTCATCCACGTATGGTGACTCAATTTTTGACGTTAAACCCAAGGGATTTCACGTCCAAGCCGCCGCACAGACTTCCCTCAACAAGTCGCGTAAGACGATCAAACCGTCTCCACCACTGCCCCAATAAATCAAAACAAAAGCCCTAGGATCCATGAAACCAAACTGCGTTCATGGGTGCTGGCGAAAGAAGAGTTCGACGGATCAAGAATTGATCCTTTCCGAGCATGAGCTTCTCGGTACTAACTACTACTTAACTAATAAAGTGACTAGTGTAACTAAGCACGACAGCCTTTAAAAAGCTCCTTATGGCTTATATGTTACCGAGTACGGAGTCCGGAGGAGTAATATTTTACTTCCGATAGAGCTTTCGGTACTACGGACCAAGGGTAAGCTGATGTGATCAATACTGCTCCGTGTCGAGGCAGTACATACATCATTCCGCGCAGAATGATCCAAGATGTGCATGTTTCCAATCAGCCCTCGACAGACAAATCAGCTAACTTGGACGACCTCGATTCGGTGATGAATTATATAATTCTTAAAATATGTGGTGCTTCGTCCCTGGCCCAGCCTGCAAAATGAACTATATACCCAACACGGTTTGATTATCAAGAATGAAGAGCAGCATCGTACTGAAGGCAAGAGCGCGTTTGACTTTCAGTTCTGTGAATCTACAATTTCGAAAACTCGGCCACGACTGGTTCACTAGAACTGTGGTGGATATACTATCACAATAGTGAAACCCTCTGTGCACTGAGTTTTGGTTCATCAACACACAACTTCGTGACATCTCTGTCCTTGGACGATTGAAACAGCTCACATGGTTGTGGAGGTATAGAAAGGAATGCCCGAAACTATTTGGCATATCACTATGAGAATCCCACCTTACACCCTTCAACCATGTATGTGATTGCTTGCCTCCCGGCCTCCAACACACCATCCATTGCTAGAAACGGATGAGGCTGCCTTTGCATCACGTGTAAATCAGTACTAACTCCGTGACGTTTCAACTTTGCAGCATACTGCTCCCCTTCTTCTCGCAACACATCCAGTTCACCCACCACTACTATCGCATGTGGCAACCCATCCCAGGTGGGAGCATCGTCGGCATACATGAGTGGACTAGCTTCAGGGTTCGATCTGTCTGATTCACTCGGCAGATAATGGTGGCGGTACCATATCATTTTAGATGCAGGGAGAGCAGGAGTGTGTTCATAGTCCTTGTATGATCGGTTATTTGATACGTCGGCGGTATTATCCATGACCGGAACATTGAGAAGCTGGACTCTCAGGGGTGGTAAATTTCGTGCGACACTACGGTGAGCCATGATGGCTGCAAGGTTTCCACCCGCGGAGGAGCCACCCACACCAATGCGGCTAGTATCGACATTCAGAAGCTCGCGGCCTTCCCCGTGGATCCACAAGACGGTTTCCCATGAGTCGTCGACAGCGGCCGGGAATGGGTTTTCGGGCGCCAGCCTAAAAAGCAAAAAAAGGAAAAAAAAGGAAAAATTTCATCAGTAAGAGCACTCGTCTAAGGGCGATAGAGACGCACCTATAATCCGTCGTAACAACGACACAATTAGCCCTTGCACATATATTTGTACACACTACATTCTCGGTGTCAAGGTTTCCCAGCACCCACCCTCCGCCGTGATAATACAGCAGGACGGGCCATCCACCATCAGGCTCTTTCTCCGCAGCAGGGGTAAAACACCGTACCCTTAAGGCTGGGCCTTCTGACTCCTGCCGCTTGATTGCGAGGTCCTGAGTCTTACCAACGGGGATCATGGGCCCCGCACCGGGAATGAGAATGCCAGACGCTCGTGATACGGCAATGGGCTGGTAGTGGACCTGTTGCTTATCGATGATGTGTTCATTGTAAAAAGCGGCGTATTCAGGGTCGATGAGGTCACGAACAGATTCGTGAAGGGGGTATGGGGGTTCAGGCATCCTCATGACCAGCTTCACAGGACGCCTAGGTGGACAGCCTAGGAAAAAATACTTGCAAAATATTGGAATATCTCGGGCGCCAGGCACTCCGCCTATTGTTCAGCGATACTATGGTATTGACATGGTCAGATGATAGGACTTAACGGCAAAACCCCCTCCTCGTTCCTCTCGCTTGTCGGGGGTGACAAGCTGCAACCCATGCAATGATTCCCCGCCCAGTGCAGGACCTCTTGTTTTCCCCGCCGCATTATTATTCGGCCGCGCCGCGACGATGGAAAACTTACTAGGTACGGCGATGGCTTCGGAGTAAAGCCTCTGTGACACAAGAGCTCGGGCCACTGCAGTAAATGACGCCACAGAGCACGGGCGTGAGACTGTGGCCGGTTGGCGGGCGTGGGGGGAGGCCAGCACCGCCACCAAATCAATTCTTGAAGCCACCCCCACACAGCACGTACATCCAGACCTGGCCAGCGGCATTTGTTAACATCCGGATGCAGGTTTTCCGTGACACAGCTCCTCCGATGATTCCAGGCTCCGGCAGTTGTCCGGAACGGCTGGTCATCCAACACCGATTTCTCCATCGAGTTACACGACCAAGCCGAGCTTATACGAGTATCCTCAAAGTTTGGACCCCGAATCTCCTCGCTTAATGCTCCACAGCGGTGTACTGGGGCAATCACCCCAGGAGCTGCGACATGGTGGCCTGTAAATTGAGGAGCTCACCGCCTATAACAGCCTGTTCCAGAGCTCGACAAACGAGTGGGGCTCACTCGCGTGGATCCCACCGTGTGGGTTGCCCCTTGTTCAGGAGCTTTGACCTCACCGGAGAATTAATTTAGCCGGCAGAAGCAAATATGTATGACCAGCCTTGGTGCCCGGGTCTGTTATTCTTGGTCCTCTGTACGGAGTACGAAGCACGGAGTGTCGATAGTCATCCCGTTTTGACCCCCTGAGGAATGACATATGCTGTCATTGTGATTGGCCCGGACACAGTTACTCCGTACATGGCTGAACGAGGCGTTTGACCAGATCTATCATGGATTTTTATACCTCAGGTAGAAGGAACATGGCGTCAGATGGCCTCACAGGTTTTCATACCTGGCAATTTGCTATTTACCCCCACAAGAATCTTGGCTTGGTGTGAACTAATTATCGTTATTTAGATACAGATACAGAGGACTCCACCGACAGAACTAAACTCTCTAACGTTCCATGTGAATGCAGTACAACAAGTTCGTAGCTACCCATGGGACCCAAGGAGATACATTAAATCCACAAATACAGGCAGGCTTTAGCTGGAAGCCCCATCCAGTCTTACAAGGAATTCTCAAACTCAACAAGCTCCCGGAACTGCTGCGCATAAACCTTCTGCTCCTCCTCTGTTGGTCGGGGAAGTGGCTTCCTCCCATAGCCTCCGTATCCGCAATGGGACATCATTGCGGACTTAATACCAACCACGCCACCTTGAATTGCAGCCCAGTCGCCCCTAGCCAGAATCTCTTGGACTTTCTGTGCCTCCACCAACTTTCCCTGACGGAACAGCTGCTCAACTTGAACGCAGGTTTTTGGAGCTAGATTACCAATACCACCAATAATCCCGACACCACCACCGATCAGGGTCTGGAGGGTAAAATCTCCCGAGCCGCCGAAACATAAGAAACCTGGAGCCGTTGGTTTCCCTGAGGAGCCTGAGGCGTCTCGACGCTGCGCAGCGACGACGCGGTTTAGCTTCCCTGTATTTCCACAGGTAAATTTGCAACCGATGATATTTGGATGTTTGCTCAGGGTGATCAGGGTGTCAGAGTCTAGATCAAGCCCGCCAACGACCGGTGGATAATTGTAAATGATAATAGGAATCGGGGAGGCGTCTGCAACGTCGTGGAAATATTGAATCACCGAGTCTGGTGTAAACAAGGTACGATAGTAAGACGCCGTCAGGACTAGAGCGCAGTCGGCGCCAGCTTTGTAGGCATCTTGACATTGCTTGATGGTTTCTCTGGTTGAGTTTGCGCTGCAGCCCGCCATCAGGGGCATGGATTGAAACCCGGCGTCGTTAAGGGCCTTTCTTGTCGTACGAATAATCTCGCTCCGTTCATCGTTGGACAAATGGACAGCTTCCCCGTTGGAGCCGTGGATTGTGAGTCCGGTTACTCCAGCTTGCGCAAGTCTCACGGCGTGTTTACCGATCGTTAAAAGGTCAAGATCCTCGGTCTCCGGATTGAAAAAGCAGAGGGTGGGTACATATATACCCGGAACAATGGGATGGAGCTGGCGGTCGCCAGAATCGCTAATACTCTCCATGTACTTTGAAGTCATGATAATGATATGTGGATAAAGTAGTATGTGTAAAGAAAAATAGTGAGATTGCGCAGGATGAAGAATACAGCTTGAGAAGTTGAAAAAAATGTCAAGAATAGTAAAAGATCAGGCCAGGTTATATAGCAGACAGTCTCTACTAAAGGGCCTCGTTGTGATTGTGTCCAGAAAAACAAATGATCGCTGTGGAGTGAAAGACGGGTGTCGTTCCAGCGAGTACGAGAACGGACGCAGTGACATTAAAAATAGCTCCGGTCCAAGGCCGGAGGTTATGTATTATCCGCGGCCACAAAGGACGTTGACCTTTCGGGGGAGGGATGCATGCAGCATTGACGAGAGAGGGGAGTGTTCCGCGTGCCTCCTGCCCTCTCGCCTTGGATAACCACCTCAGGTACGGACGCTCCGTCTGGAAATCGCACGTACGGCGTAGTGCGTCCAGCGGTTCTTGGAACTTTGTCCCACCAGCAACCAGGTTGATAGTGCGGTGGAGCCGCTGCCAGTGACGGTCTAGCGGCTTGGCAGTGGAGCGCTCGGACCAGCCGTCACAATCGATTATGTCATCTGTAATTCAATTACCAGGAGACTCTCAGCCTTATCCGTCTGGCTGGTCCTCACCACACGCTTATTCCCACAGCCCGCATTCATTAGATGCGCGCAGCTTTCTCTGTGAAATACGGAGTAGCATTGTCTTAGACCCCAAAGCTTGGAAATGTCACGCCAAGAGACATCTTCGCGTAAAATATATTGTCTAGTATCTTGGTCTGTTGTTATCGAGGAAAGGAGACGAATTTGGTCAGGTCTAGATCACGCATGAATCACCTCTCGTCTAACAACTCATTCTAGTGCTAACAGCCTGGTGATTGCTTTTATTCGACCACTATATCCAATCTCCAGGGAGTGGCGTTCCTCGGTGTTGGTGGCTTAAATATACGCTGAGCATTCAATCTCCACGTCTGTTCCTAAAGGGAGTGACTTGACCGCCACGCAAGTTCGGACCTTCATGGTGCATTGTTAGCTTCAGAATTGCTTTTAATACGGACAATGTGGCGAGATAACGTACCGGCTTTGGTTCCTGGTTCAGGAATTGACTATAGATCTCATTCATGGCGCTAAAATCGTCCATGTTCGCCAGGAAGACGTTGACCTTGATAACCTTCTCGAGACTCGAACCCGCTTTCTCAAGCACTGCAGAAAGGTTCCGGAAGATTTGGGCCTGGGATTGTGGTCGGTGTCAGTGCCCGCGTATTTTGGTGATGAAGCGGAGCCCGTGTTTTGGACTTACGGTGCGGTCCTGCACAGTACCTTCAACCATCTGTTTGGAAGCAGGATCAATGCCAACTTGACCCGAGCAGTAAACGATCCCATTGTGGATAATCCCTTGTGAAAGGACTGGGAGGGGCGCCGGGGCTTTGTCGGTCAATACCACCTGTTTAGCCGACATTGTAAGTGAATCTTTGGGTTTAAGCTGGGATACGGCCGGGCGATTGCTAGCTTGCAGTGGGAATACAGTAATGCCTCAATATTGCTTCTTTCGAGATTGCCAGTTCATGAGCAATTGACGAACGCCAGAAGAAAATATGATGGGGGCCGACGGTTCCCCCCTCCTCTGCACGCGAAGTTACCGAACTTACATACAGTACAGGAACAGAAGCCTATTACTAATATTCAGCGTGGGGGGTTTGAAGAAATGCCAAGCCAACAGCGGTCCGGAGTATTGGGGGAGGGGGGTCGTACTCCGTATGGAGGGGGTCAAACGCCCACGTCTTTTTATCCAGGCGCCAATGTCGCCCCATGATTGAGGACTTTCCCACCGAAGTTCTGAAAAAGCAAAAAAAGGAAAATAAAACAACACAAGATAATCATGTCTGGGGTCCAAAATTACCCCAATGCCTCCACGGAAAGCCTCAAGGCCCAGTATGTTGGCCGTCGGCTCCAGGATATCGATGGGCCGGCCGCCATCATAGACATTGCTGCTGCTCGACAGAACTGCCAAGTTATGCTTGACGCAGCTGAGGAGCTGGGCGTAATCTTTCGTTCTCATGTGAAGACACATAAGGTCTGTCCGTGTTGTATTATGCTTCGAGAGCCGTTCCCTTGTGCAGCTTGTAGCATGAGCCGCAAATATATATTTCTCTTTTTTGTTTTGTGAGATGAGAGATAGTGAACATATGCTGATTCCTGGGATCAGACTACTGAGCTTACTCGCTTTCAAGTTGGTGAGAAAGCTGATACCGTTCGACTAGTGGTTTCCACGCTGGCGGAGGCAGAACAATTGCGGCCATATTTAGAAGAGTGCAAAGGCAATGGAAGATCCATCGATGTCAGAACGATCTCTTAATAGGCGAGCAAGCAGGATGCTAATATTCGTTGTAGGTCATCTACGGTCTACCTGTTCAACCTTCAAACTTCGTGCGCCTCGCTACCCTCGGCAGGGATCTGGGGGAACTATGCATTACAGTACTGGTGGATTCTTTGCATATTCTCCCGTTTCTCTCTCGTTATCGAGAACTCACGGGGAATTCACTAGGGGTATTTTTCAAGTTGGATACAGGCTACAACCGGGCTGGCCTTACGCCGGACTCTCCACAGTTTAAAGAGTTACTGGGTGCCATACACAAAGTGGAGACAGAAATGCCCGAAACTATTTATTTCCGCGGATTTTATAGCCATATGGGTCAGAGCTATGGCTCAGATACCACTTCAGAAGCGTTGGATTACCTAGCGTTGGAAATTGAGCGGTGCGAAATTGCTGCCCTGCAGGCATCAAACCTGTGGAAAGATTCTAAGAGGCGCTTTATCATCACCGTAGGAGCCACCCCCACGACTACATCTGCGCAGAACTTGACCGGCCTTGAAACTACTACCTCAACAGAGAAAAGAGTCAAGGAGCTGATAAAAAGAGTCCGGCAATCATTCGACGTTGAGCTTCACGCAGGTGCATATGTTACTCTGGATTTGCAACAGCTTGCTGCGCACGCACGCCCTGCGACCAACAATCTCTCTTTCGACAATTTAGCCTTGACCGTTCTTGCAGAAGTTGCTAGCCTATATCTCCACCGAGAGAGGCCAGAGGCTTTGATTGCTTGTGGTTCACTCTGTATGGGCCGTGAACCATGCAGGAGTTATTCAGGATGGGGCGTCATAACCCCTTGGCTTCAGAACCAGGGCGATGCCGAGATGCAAGGCGGAGTGGGATGGTACGATCCAGAAGGAGACCGAACGGGTTGGATAATCGATCGGCTGAGCCAGGAACACGGCATCTTAAGATGGCAAGGTCCCGTGGAGAAGATGCGAGAGCTCCGAGTTGGCGAGAAGGTGAGGATTTGGCCAAATCACTGTTGCATTTGTGCGGCAGGATTTAGTTATTTCCTTGTTGTTGATTCTACTCGCGAGGGAGTAGAAAAGGATAAGGTTATTGACGTGTGGTTGAGTTGGAGAGGATGGTGAGCTAAACAGTATAGTTTAAACATGATGGTTAATGGTCAGGGTACCTCAGAATATTCATCGTGAGTTATAGATGATTTCCTCCTTTCCTAAGGATGCCTATAGGCAACGTCCTCTATCGTGGCCAAAACCATTGCTGTCTTATTGTCGCTTCCCAACTATTCAAAAACAAAATTCCCTCAAACATGAGAAAACACAGTACCATGTCTTAATTCTCTGTCTATACGTTTCCTGTCATACCATTGCTATCAAAATCAAGACAGACGTTTGTTCTGAGCCTTGCCAGCCTGATGTCCTTTCTGTTCTCAACTTTTTAAAGAGGCCTTCTCACTTGCAGTGTCCAGCTTTTGCCCAATGATATTACAACCCGCTTTGCATTCAAATGCGTTGAGCTCCTAGCCAACTATGATCAATCGTCTAATTCAAGCTAAGCAGGGCTTGGTCTTAGCAAAAAGAAGAAGAAAAGCCCTAACGGACTCTCTCGAAAATAATCACCTAACAAAAGGATACTGAAAGCTACATGAATCGCATTAGCCACGCCGCTATTCCATTTCCAGGCAAGGATAATGCAGTTTGTGACATCGCAGCCCAGAATCTACCAAAGAAGTGAGGCTTTCCAGGGCCCAAAGCCAGAGAACTGCAACTAACAATGAGGGTAGCTATTGGACAGGAGGCGATGATTGGTCTCGCGACTTTGCTTTCTGAAAGCGTCAAGTTGACCAGTGCCGTTGCTTAATACCTTGCTTTCAAAGTGGAAACCTTGCCATGTTGCAACTGATCAGCCTTCACAGCGATCCATCAGTTAATAACGCATGCCAGATCGAATATCAGCAATCGTTGTTTAGGAACCTTTAATACGCGACTATGGCTAGTGATATAGATTTATTTGATTTTCAGGGGCAAATGTAAACATCGATATTCGATGTAGGCGATCATGTTTCGAGGTATTTTCGAAGAATAACCCTTCATACAAATGTTCAGGGTCTACAGCAACCATGGTGCGACTGAGCACAGCTCTCGAGAGGTAAAGTGGAATCAGATGCAATTGTTACTTGCATTCTTTTAGTCCCGGCGGGCGGACAATTGTTCGCATATTGGAGACAGCAGTGTTACCGGCCCTTTGTTGACGCCGCCCAATCTACATTCGGGATAGGTACGGATTGATAGCCGTATACTCCGTACTCCAATCCTGGAATGATCCTGGCTCCACGTCTGAAAATATGGTGAGAGGCAGAAAAAATATTGTAGAATCGCCAACCGTTTGGGATTTCGCGTTTGTTCTTGGCGGCCCTTCCCCGCACTCAAATAGACCGCACCGAGGATGCGGTTAAACCTGCGGGGAACCCGGGCCCCTGCCTTGGTTCAAACGGTCGCTGGGTCACGGAAATCAGAGAATCGAAGAACAGGACTTTACCGACAATTCCATAACGCAACGTTAATACCCAATACGGACTCTATCCGTTCTGTAGAACATACCATAATTATATACTCACGTACAGGACAACTGAATAACGCTTTCGCATCCGGAGTACCCGTACATGGCCCAAAACATGAATTTCGATATCCCACAAGATTTAACCAAGTACATTGGTTCTCTCGATAAGTTTATCCAAGACACAATACTGCCTTTGCAGCAATCCGACGATAATAATCGTTTCTTTGATCATCGTCGAGAATATTCACGGACAGACTGGGATAATGGGGGCATACCACGAAAAGAATGGGACCAGCTTCTTGGTATGTGCCCACAACCCTAGACTCACCTTCATGCTACAATGTTTGACATGCATTGCGACGCAGCGAAAGCTCGAGCTCTGGCCGATAAGGCGGGCTTCTACCGCTTTGCTCTGCCAAAAGTATACGGTGGACAAGCCAATCCGAGCTCAAACCTCTGGATGTGCGCAATTCGGTATCATTTGGCTTCCCACCCCATATATGGTGGTGGTGTATCGCTGGCGAACGACCTGCAAAACGAGCACAGCGTGGTGGGCAATTTCCCAGATGTGCTCATGATTCACCACTTTGGGAATGAGGAACAACGCCGTACACTCATTCCCGCAAGGCTTCAAGGTCACTTCCGCACGACCTTCGGCTTAACAGAGCCAAAACATGGAAGCGATGCTACATATATGGAAACGAGGGCCCGCCCGGCTCGCGGGGAATATCCACCGCAATCTGGGCATATGGTGGACGGATTTGTCCTCGACGGAGCCAAGAAGTGGCAGAGCGGTGCGCATCATTGCACTCATATGCTGATCTTTGCACGGACATCAGGCAAGCCGGGCTCCTCGCGCGGAATCACTGCATTTCTAGTTCCGAGAAACACTCCTGGAGTTGAAATCGTTAGCTATGAATGGACGTTTAACATGCCTACAGATCATGCCACAATTGCAATTGACTCTGTATTTGTCCCACGTTCTGCGGTCCTTGGGGAAGTAGACGCAGGCCTTGCCATTGCACAAACATTCGTTCACGAGAACAGAATCCGCCAAGCAGCGTCCTCATGTGGTGCAGCCAAATTTTGCCTTGATCGGTCAATCGAATATGCTCGATCCAGAAACGTTTTTGGAAAGGCGCTGGCAGAAAATCAAGCCATCCAATTCCAAGTGGTCGAGTTGATGACTCAAGTGGAGATGTTACGGCTTCTCATTCTTCGAACGGGATGGGAAATGGACAAAATTGTTGCAGAATGTGGGGGCCATGCAGACGGCCCTGTTCCCACGGGAAGTAAGAAGCCGTGGGTTGAGATCGAGAAGAGGCTCAGCGACAAAGTTGCAATGTGCAACTACTGGGCAAACCGGCTGTGTTGTCAGGCAGCTGATCGGGCCATACAGGTATGCAACGTTTCTCCATTTTTTTTAATCCGCAATTGGGTACAGCTTTCTAGCGAAAGCCTCGTTGCACTCGTCTAGAATAGTACTGATACTAGTAGATCCACGGCGGTAACGGGTATTCTCGCCACCAGCCTTTTGAGCATATCTATCGACATTTCCGCCGTTATCGCATCACTGAAGGGTCTGAAGAAATCCAAATGCGCAAAGTCGCCGCGTACATCTTCGGGTACTCAGGACCGAAGAGGGCTGAGTTTGAGAAAGCTCAGGAGCAATCGAAACTTTAGGCTTGAAATGTAGTTCTGCGATGGAGGCTGGGGACGGAAGGGTAGATAGGTGTAATGTATTCCGCTAGACAAGATCAAAAGGGAATCAAATAAATTTACCCTCTACTCCGTACCTCCCAAGAAAAAGCCAAACCAGTTGTAGCGAGAATGTCCAGGCGTGCTTGGTGGAGGAGAAAGCTGCAGAAACAATCACGTGAAACCGCGTTGATTTGGCGATGGCTTTTCTCGGAGGACTAACGCGTCCCCGAACACGAGTCTTTAACTTTGAAGGGATGTGATTGCGAGAAAGCGGCCGGGAGTGCCAGAGATCGAAGCAATCGTGACTCATGCAGTCGTATTTAATTTGTCAGTTGAGCATTCAGCTGTTCATATCTCGATTCGGTGGCCCGGGCAAGGCCATGCTTAAAAGGACTTCGAAATCCCTCTTCAGGGCTGCAGCAAGAACACTTGTTTGGCCAAGGACACAGGTTATAATCAATTCAAACTCTCATTTTATTAAAAGAAAAATCAAATCTCTAGAATATCGATAGAAAAAAATGGCCAACCCAAACCCGCTCAATGCGCGTGCCATCCACCTTCGCTCACTTCATAAACCTGGAGACCCTCTGGTGCTTTGCAACGTCTATGACGGTGCCACCACACGCATTGTGCTCAAACACGGCGGCGCCAAAGCCCTTGCGACGAGTAGCTACGCTGTAGCTGCTGTGAGAGGCAAGCGGGACGAAGACCTTGACCCCGACATGCTCATTTCTGCGGCCCGTGATATCGGTAACGTAATCAACGAACACGAAGTTTCACTAAAATCCGGTAATGGCAACGCTGGCATGATCCCGCTTACCATTGACATGCGTGACGGCTGGGGCGACCGGCTAGAATATGTGGTGAGAGGACTGATCGATGCGGGCGTTGTGGGGTGTAACCTCGAAGACGAAGATGCCGAGACGGGCAAACTAATGAGTTGCGACGAGGCAACTGCACGTGTTCGAAGGGTTGTGAAAGAGGCCGAAAGGCTTGGGGTTCCGGACTTTGCGATTAATGCAAGAACGGATGTTCTAGGTCATGGTGGGACTATTGATGAAGCGATTTGCAGAGGGAAAGCTTATCTCGACGCCGGAGCGACCTGTGTATTTGTTTGGGGCGGTTTGGGAGGTAGAGGTGTGTCTGGAGCTGAAATTCTGAAGCTGGTCGAAGCGTTGGATGGACGATTGAATGCCAGGTTAAAGACTGGACCGGGATATTTGACAATTCCCGAATTGACGAAGATGGGCGTGGCCCGGATTAGTTTGGGCAAAGAGTTGCATGATATTGCGATGATGGCATATAAACAGACCGTCACTCAGTTATTAGCAGGATAGTTACATGTCTACATGTAGAAAGTCAGTAGGTTCATCGGCGCAGGCGAAGTAGCAGCTCCGAACTAGTGAGTGTTGATATTTTGCAATGATGTCCTAGTTAAAAACAAAGCCAACCCCACAGGATGAAATCCTATATTAAATCTGTTTCATTGGTAACCACTTGGCTCCAGGATTGCATAAAATCATAATACAGAATATGGTCAGAAGAAATATGCCCAACGAGAGATCACCACGTCCACCATTCTTAAAGCCACCCGATGATATCTGTTCATGCACTATTTTCTTTGGCTTAGAAGATTGCGGTCGCGTTGGCATGGGAGCTCACACCAGCTGGGGCAAGCAATAGTTAGCAGTCTGATGCAGCAGTGAGGGGGACATTTGATGGACATCACGACTTACAAGGAACGTTTGCAGGAGCACTGGTCATAAAAAAGACCCAGCGCTTTGTCTCGCGGCATTTAGCAGCAAGTCTTTCAAGATCCCACATTTCGCCCAATGGCATTCCCCAGAGAGCTAAAATATATTCGTGGAGATAGTATTCTTTTGATGTAGGCCATCTTTCAAACGCAGGAGCATCACCGACAACAGCCGAAAAGTAGGAGTCATGCAGCCAGTCAAGAACGGCATCTTCTTGAGCCACACCGGCATACCTCTGTTCGTCCGCATCGCCAATGACATGATGTCGAAGGGCTAATTGGGTGCGTTCTTCAGGGGAACGTTGATAGTAAGCATCGACGAAGCCAGATCGAATCATCAAGATGTCGCCAACTTTGATGTCACCGCCTTGAGCTTCGGGCCGGATATCAATACCTTGGGCTTTGCCGCACTTGTATAGATCATCGAACGTGATGCCATGGGAAGCGTAAGGATCATATTTGATACCATTGGCATTAGCATACGACCAATAATCGAGAAGAACACCGCGTCCAGCAATGCCATGGTCAGCCCAATGATGGATACTGCAGTTATGGTTTGCCTCTGGTCCTAGGATATCCTTTCCTTTGGTCTGCAAGTACATTAATGAGATTTTTATAGGTTAGACACGGATCAAACTGGGAAGACTTACTCCATTATAGAATGTTTGTGTGGGCAGGTGTGCAAACTATATAGGACGTGGTTAAAATCGAAGTGCTTGATGGACGTGCCCAACCGACATACATGTCTAAATCCATCCCATTGTGTGCCACTCTGAGTGTTGAGTTCGTATTTATCGTCATAGGCAATATTCTCGGTGAGAGTCTTGATGGTATGAACGAATTTTTCTCGGCCAAAAGCCGGAGTCTCCGGCACGTTAAGGGGTAGACTGATCAGAGGTTAGCAAGTGTGGGTGAGCACGGCCATTACTTGCAGGGCTTTACTTTAAAGGCACTAGTTCTCCGGTCTTGATTTCAGCAGCGGCATCCTTGACGCGTGCTGGGGTCAGGAGATTAAGTCTTCCAAGCTGGAAAAATATCAGTCAGTATATGCAGATAAAGCTCTATCACTGACCAATAGAGGCACCACAACTCACATAGTCATCTTTTCCCCAAACCCAAGCAGCACCTTCTGGGGCTCCTGGAATAGATGGTAAATTCTTACGCGTAGGCAGCTTGGTGTACTCGGGATGCCAGGGGAGCTCGTCGGCGGACTTTGAGGCACCCAAGAGGCCTGTTGTTTGAGCTAGTCTCTCTTTGACAGAAGACATTGGACTTTGATATTAGACACTAGCAACTAAGGGGGACGGGGCTCTAGAAAAGGTGATGATGCAAAGAAGATAAAATGAGGACGAGGTCAAGAGAAAGTGAATTGGAAACCACCGATAGATATACCATCCCGGCAAGCTGGTTGATGCACTCAATTAGAGCTCGCGTAGTAGGTTCAAGCTTGACGACCCCCGCATTTCTTGCGGGCTGAATTTCATTGACCTCTCAAGGGTTGAAACAGCTCGGTTAATAGTTCGAGTGCATACCGAAGCGGAGTCGATGTCATGTAAGTACCATGGTCTTAGAAATCCGGAGATCTGGCTGCAGAGAGCCGCTGCACCGAACAGTGAAATGAGACGCCGACGAGTGCCTCCTTTGGTATAGCAACTGATGTGTGAAGCGGTGCATGCCCACCATTACTCAAAAAGTCCGAACCATCCGTTTGAAGATGGCCAAATGCCCTGAATATCCAATTGGGCATAATCGAAGGATGGTGTTTGTGTTACCCGAGGTATGGGATGGTTGTGTAGGTTCCCAGAAATGTCAGCGCCTTCGTCATCTCGTTGAGAGACGCCGAAGATTATTACGGGGACGGGCTTTTAGGGCGCCACCAGTGTAGAGTGGCGACGGGTATACGGATGGTCAGGCGCTTCTCTTCCGGACAAATGAGTAATATCGAGAAGTGCAATCCCCGGTGGATGGGATTGTTGGCCAGTTTGCAAGCATGCCACGTTTCTTCATGAGTTACACCTGCATAGCTGCAGCTCAACAGCATAATATGGCTATGGCAACGATAGAAGCATTTGGGAGGACGTTTATTTGAGAGAAGCTTTATACGTCGGAAGCCGGAGAACATATCTGCTTATGGGTCGATGTTTTAAGAACGATGAATAAAACTGCTTACATTCAAGGCTAGTCTTCCCCGCTTCTAGTAGTCTTCATAGTCGCTGACTGCATAAGACTATAATGAATAATAATAATGATCCCCGCTTCTAGGGAGAACTGTAAAGTTAAACCAGCGAGCTCAGGCAAGTGTGCTCGTTAACCTCGGCATGACTCGAGCAGTTGGCCAAAAAAAAAAATATATAACAAGCAGCATTGGCAGGGAGAAGCTTTCTTCACCGCACGAATGGCCCCTTTACTAAGTTAGTTACTTTTTACAGGCAGTCAAGGCCGCTGACAGGTTCCAGGATAACATCGAACGTGGTTTCACTCCCAACCGACAGAGGCCCATAGATGGTTAATTTCGAAACAAACAGCCGCTGGCAGATATCTCGAAAGACTTTTTTTTATAACACGCCGTGTGCAGATACATACGTACAAGGCAGATAAAGTAAGATAATTGCCTCGCTCGTAGTCAAAGAATGCTGATATTGCATGTAGACGTTAGCTCTATTAATGTCTATGCTCCATGCTAAAACGCGTTAACTAGCTATTCTGTCTTCGTATTAACAACATATTGACCTTCTTCGAGGTGGCCTGAGCCCTTCACCGAGTAGACGCCAAGATCACCCGGCGCAGCATCGTCGACCATCACTGGCGGTCCCTTGAACACTTTGCGCGCGCGCACGAAATACCACACCACGCTGATTGTTGCAAAGCCCGCAAACACAACGCTCGCATAATTCATTGACGATGCCGTAACGGGCAGTGAGACTGGCATACAAAAGAGAGCAACGGCTAGGCATATCCAAAGGATAGTTGCAATATTAATAGCATATCCGAATCTACCCAGCGAAAATGGAGCGTCCCTTAACATCTTTCGTCGTCGAACGACCGAGATCAGAATTGGTAGGCCATAGGAGGTAGACAGGCAGATGGTTGCGACACCGGTGAAGGAGTTGAAAGCTGCAGAGGATCCGAAATAGATCAATCCCAGGAGGCAGTCCACAAGTGTCGATAGGACTATACCCATCAGTGGAACGTCCAGTTTGTGATTCACTTTCCGCCAAATTCTTGATGCGGGAATGGCACCGTCACGAGCGAATGCATACGTGCATCGACTAGCTGCCGTCAATGCACCAATGCCGGCAAAGATCTGGATGCCAAGGATCAGGAAAAGCATGCCGAAGCCTCCAGCAGCAGATCCGGTCACAGTCTTGAACAAAAGACCGATTGGCTGCCCGTTTGCCACCTCCAGGAGCATTTTCACAGGCGGAAGGACAAAAAGAATTGTAATTAAATACGCCAGACCTGTTATCCCCGCGGCAACAACGGACAGGACGATTGCCTTGGGCACTTCGCGGTGAGGATTTTGGGTCTCTTCGCACATCGCGGCTACCATTCCGTAACCAGTCAGAGTGTAAGCCGGTTGAAGTAAGCCAACAAAAAAGGCCCATCCCGAAGGCCTGTGAGGAGCGTCAGCCGGTTCCAAAAGCTCAAAGAAGTCAAGGCTTGCTTTAATTATAAGAGCCCGCCAGGGATGATCCATACCAGCCACTAGCTGAAGCATCGTAGTGGGTGAACACAAATTCTGCGCTTCTTCGTGTTTTCGCCATCGAGAGTAGCGTTGCCATGAGGATAATGACGCTTGTGGATGTCCAATATATGCAGATCTTGTTAATCAGGTCTAGGTACCGGGAACCAAACACGTTGATCAACGCGCATATGAGCATCAGGGCCCAAAAGGTGAGAATCGTCTGCCATTCGTTCGGCACATATTCCTCATTCCATAGTGATATGGCGCTTAGGATCAACTGAGCACCGCCAAAGTTTATACTCAACGTTACAGTCCAGTTTCCAACCAGGGTCAGCCAGCCGTCTATAAAGGACATCATTGGCGCCCACTCTCTTGTCGACAGCATTGCGCTCCAGTAATATACACCGCCTGCCGTGGGATATACGGAACAGATTTCGGCTAAGGATGAAGCAATCGCAATCGAAATCAGCGTAACGAGGATCCATCCCCAAATGATTGTCACAGATTGTCCGTCAGTCAGGGTGATGTATAGGGTTGTGCTTAACCCGTAAGGAGCAGCGATAATCGCAAAGGACCTAATGATCGTACGAGGAACAGCAAATTAGCGAATGGGTCACAAACCCTGCGCGGATAACCAAAGGAACGAATGTGCATACAATCCTAGGACACTCAACATGCTTAGATTTCGAGGCAGTTCACTTTTGTAGCCCATCCTCGCGAGGGCCTCATCGGCATTTGCGTTTGCCGACGCCCCCTCCATCTTCGTTCCATCCTTCGTCGCAGTGTCTTGCCGCATGCTCTTTACCAAGGCAAGGATTGAATCGCACTTTTTAACGATGCCCGAGGATGTTATGGTATATTTTTGGTTTTGGGACCTGCGCGCACGCAGTTGCTCGTGTGGAGGAAGTGTAACTAACAAGCCGACGGCACGGTCGGGAATGTGGGTGGCAGTTCTAGCTCCCTGAACCTTGTTTCTGCGTGCACCGGGATCAGAACACTGCTGATAATCTCTCTGAACCCGGCGGTAGGGCTAGATCGCCCTATTAAGTAGTGATTTATTGTCCGGCCAGGGGTTCAGAGTTGCTTTACGCGGGAAACCTGACAGAATGCGCACAGGGGAGAGAGTGGTAAAAATGCGGAGAAGCGGCAAATTCCATCTCGTATCAACATCCCCACGTTGAAGGTTCGGGGCTGTTCTTGGGCCTGGAAGCTGCGCACGGCCACGGTTTGCCATTAGACCGACCCCGGAGGGACCCTTGGTTCGTTCGGAGGAGTGCGAGCAAATACCGGGGTGGAACCGGGGTAGCTGATCACTGCTTGGGTGTTGAGCAGCAAACTTGCTGCCATTTTCATTGTCCAATGCTCTTGAAGGTACTCCGTATGTCCGCCGGTTTTCTGGAAACCTTCCAAGTACCGACACAGTTCACTAACTAACCTACTCCGTAGTTACCTGGTCGATTTATTTCGGGAGTTGAGTGGCATCCCGGGCGACAAACTCGGGATCATTCCGTCAACCCAAAACGTTGCTCTTGTCCGAGCCACGCGCTAAATCCAATAACATTTCGAGTTCGCGCGACTCAAAGCCCAAATACAAATACTACGGAGCACAGCGAGCCCCAAGCTACCGAACCGACTTGCCTCAGCGGAAGCCGCGGGAAGCTAAGCTACCTCACTGGCGTTTTTCACATGAAGGAGGGAGGAGGGAATGTAAGTCTTGTATGGTTTGAGCTACGGAGTACGAGTGCATCGTCAAGCATTCCAACCCTTTTTAAGGTAATTAAGCTTAAGGAAAGGGAGGGGGCCTTTCCGTCGGCTTTGGAGATCTGGGGATGCTTGAAGGTCCGCTCACATGCAGTTCGGTCGCATGCATGGGACTCAAAGGAAAGTAAGATAAGGGCGGCTTGACACCTCATTGGATGAGGACGGTCTCCAAGCTTGTTGCCATCCAGCTGGTTTCGTGTCGTGAACTCTCCCAGGCTGCTCCAGCGAACTAAGCCATCTAACTACGGAGGAGGCCCGGAAAATTAAACCTAACCAGGCCTAATTCGTCAGTTCGCCAAGCGTCAAGGTCAGGTATTATCGCATCAACAGTTTTGGAGACATCGGTCTCTTCTAACGCGTTCTTGACTGCAGGACAAGGAATTTGATCCTTTTGTCCTTCTCGCGTTGCGCAGTTAGTTAGTTACATCCTCGGGTACAATCGACTAACTAACTAGTTAATGAAAGGGCAGGCTATTTTTGGGTTGTGTTTAAGCCTTAGCCCTCACTCTCTCGCGAGATTATTTGACCACGAAATATTTTTTGTTTACGGAGTACAAGTCCTTAAATGTTATTTCCTTCTCTAAGGACGATGATACCCTTCAAGTAATTGCAGTTGGCTCCACGAGCAGCTTCTAGATCAATCGAGTTGGCCGTCTCCAACTCCCAAGGTATAGGCCTCAATAAAAGCTCAACGCCTTTTATTGAGTTTTGGAGAGGAAGCTTAATGCACCTGCAACCAAAGAAGACATGCCAATTTGCATTGTGCGCAGCACGTCTGGAGCAAAGAAAGCGGAATGATTACCCGGAATGTCTGATAGCGTTCCATTCTCCTCCGCTTCTTCCCAAATCTCCGCTGCAGTGCACCCAACAAACCAAAAGCAACAAGGTCTTCCAATCGAAGTACCCAAAACCGTGAAATCCTCGCTTGCATTGGACCTAGGCCACTCTGCCGTAAAGTCGGGTGAAAAGAGCGAACCGAACGTCTGCTGCACCTTCTGCGTCACGGTTGGATCGTTGATCGTAAGAGGGAACTGAAGAGTCGTTTCTATTTGAGGGGCCTGGATTGCACCGCTAGCCTCTCCTTCTGCCTTGATAATTCGATCGATGGACGAGAGGACTCTTTTCCTCGTATTCTCGTCGGTGGTCCTCACGTTCAGTTGAATTTCAGCCTGTTCGGGAATGATGTTTGCGGCGTTTCCAGCGTTAAAACTACCAACCGTCACGACAGCAAATTCCTGAGAGACATTGATTTCTCGACTGACTATTGTCTGCAGCCGGACAACTGTGCTTGCAGCCATCACTATCGGGTCAATTGTTCGATGTGGCATAGAAGCGTGCCCTCCTCTACCGGTGAACGTTACTTTGAGACAATCCGAAGCAGCCATCACCGTTCCTGACCTCATCCCAAACCGACCAGCTCTCTGTGGCAAGATGTGCTGCCCGAGTAAAACGTCAGGCTTGGGAACCTTGTCGTATAAACCATCGTTGACCATGCGTATAGCACCGTTTCCCAATTCTTCAGCGGGCTGATAGATAATGACCAAAGTTCCGGACCATTCTGACTTCGCTGACACTAAGATATCTATTGCAGCAATCAGACATGCCATATGCATATCATGCCCACAAGCGTGCATTGTGGGCTTTTCTACTCCATCAGTTTCGTCCCTCACGACATTCTTACTCGCGTAAGGAAGATTCGTTTGTTCTTTAATCGGCAGGCCATCTAGCTCAGACCGTAGAAGAACGGTCTTGCCATCACCGTTGCGGAAGACAGCGGCAATACCGGTGCCGCCGATGTTCTCAAATACTTCAAGGCCAGGAACACGGCGGAGTCTAGCTGCAATAGTCGCCGCGGTTTTATACTCTTGGTGGGATAACTCCGGATAGGCGTGGAGGTGCTTGTAGAGCTCTTCATAGGGCGCAAAATCTACCTCATGATGGCGGATAAGGTCGCCGATTTCCGTAGGGGTGAACTCGGGCATGATATATATAGATGCACTGGACCTTCCTGAGGAGGATTATATGTATGAAACCTGCGAGTGAGCAAAACTTTTGAAAGCAAATATCACATTGAATGGGGATCGGAAAGTTGAGCTAGCTATTTTACAGGTTCGTTAAAACACACTGTGCTGCTGGACGTGTGGGCAGTTGGATTTATGCGAGGGGCTGCCGCAACCCCGCCTTTCAGCAGCACAGGGCATTATCCCGCTGGTAATTAATTATTGGGCAAAAGTCACTAACTACTCACTCCGTCACGCCGCTTGTATGTAACTAACTCACTGATACGGCTGGTACTGGACCGAGCCAGTTGTACGTCTAACCAAAACGGGCTAGTTTGAACATCTTAATTTGACCCGCTTTCGGTCCGATCAACTTGAACTTCAGTCGAAACTGACAGGAGACATCAAAGAAAAAGAACGGACAAGTCCAAGTTTCTGATCCGATCAGTCCACCAGCTTAGTTAGTTAATAGACACAAGCCGCCCATAGTTAGCATTCGACCTGCAAAATTATGAAAACCCACTGAGACTGTCAAGTTGTCTTCTAAGCCGCTCGACTGGTGACACGCCACTCCTGTACCATTCATATCCTCGACCAACGGCCGGATTGCTCTGCGCCCATTTGTTAATATTGGTTAGAATTTTTTCTTTATTGAGCTTGAAGTGCGCCTTGACGATATTACCCCATACTCCGTTAAGCCTTTGCTGTTTTTCCAACCATGCCAGCATGCCGTATTCAATAGTCAAAGGTTGGATCTTCTGGATAGTCATCTGTGCTTCCCTGTCAGCTCTCCTTCCAACCCTGTTAGTGTTTGCTGGTTCATTCCTGAATGGATCTTCTGTGAATATCATTGCCTGGATGCTAATAAGCACGGAGAGAATGGTGGACTTTCCAGGCTGCCATTGCGCTGCGGCGTCTCCTTCCCTCCATGTACCGAGTAGCGAGAGGCAAACTGGGTTTACATGTTAGCTTTGAATCAGGTATACGAACGGGATCATTCCTTAGCTTTACAACATACCTTTCCCGTCTGGGTGGAGATTTGGATTAAGCTGACCTCTGCACTCCTGAGCGGTGCGGCATGCCATGATAGGCGGCTCTTTTGGATAAGTTTCTTTGCACAGCAAATCGAAACTGGAACTCAGAGACAAGAATGAGTTAAAAAGGTAATCCGGTGAAGCAGTTAGATAGGGCTACTCACTCAAAGAGACCATACCCATACGGGCTGTCCGGTGGTCCCATGATAAGACACCGCATCAAATCTGGGCGACTCTCGCTTGCTTTAACATATATTCCCACTGGAAGTGACGTTGCCATATTGGCAAGTTCCACCATCAATCGTTTTATCCGTCCTTGCGGTGAGTACATCATGCGTGATGCGAGGGTGTTGAACTTATGGCCCTGATCCAAAATGCTCTCATCTCGCATAAGGCAATACTGTTGATGATATTCCGCATATTTATCTACTGTCTGAGGATCGTTGACAGTCTGGTTTCTCCTCGGGGCAATGATTGCATAGACGTCAGTTATCTCTTCGCATATATCAAGCATATTTTTCCCTGCCCTCGACGTCAAACCCTCACTCTCCCTCGTACCTAATATGATATCGCTCTGTCTGGCCAGCTTTCGCAGTCTTTCAGCCACTGAAGGTATGGTCTCACCCAGAATCAAGACCCGATTGCCTCCATGGTCGTGTGCAGTTGATCTCAAAGTGAGAGACTCCAACCCAGAGGTTTGACGCTTGTGGTGGCGGAGTGTTTGGACAAGTGAAACTAACTCAGGATGAGCACCCAGCTTCTTGACAAACTGAAATGCAGCCGTGTAAACTTCTGCGCGTGATGTGATATCCTCCAACGAGTCGTTGCGTAACAGTTCCGCCAACTTGTCAATTAGAAAGCTGAGCTGGAGCATCCCTCGAAGTTCTGGCGACAAATCTTTATTCGCAGTGCTTGGTGTCAGTTCTTTCACCACGTGAAATGTTACAGTTAAAAACCTATCAGACTTTGAATCCGAGCCATGGAACTCGATGGGGCGTGATAAAGCTGACGGAGGTCCGCCAGGCCCACCATGGAACAAATTCGCCCAGGGATTATAGTTACCACGGTCAGCGTATCCGATGCCCCTTGAATCTTGAGTGTCGCTCGCCCCTCTCCTGGGCAAGCGCCTTCTCAGGCCTGGGCCATCGGAATTCGAGCTGGATGCTTGGAATTCCAACTCAACTTGGTCATACCTAGCCAATAATGCCCACATTCCAAACATCCTTCCTTCGCGGCAACACCAATCGACATAATACCCGTTAATTTGATGAGGCTGCTTGTTTCTGCGTGGCCTGTGGCCGCAACCAAGGCAGGTGAGGACTCCACACTCGGGGCAAGTCGCAGAGCAAAAAGTAGCGGCGTTTTCGGGGCGATTATTTGCTCTCTGAGACCAGTTGCGGATCCAATTCCTTGCTGAAAACCCGTCCGTCAGACCTGAGCCGCACTTATGGCATTTTTTTGCCATTCGTGCTGCGGCGAATACCTGAACGGTGTCGAGGCTTTGCTGGATGTCTGGAGGATATCCTGTAAGCTGAGAAGCATTGGCACTTCGTGGTATGTGCATATAATACTGAGACTGGGCACTAGCGCGGCTGGCTCGCTCGCTCTGGTCATATTGACCTCGACCTTTCCTCCGGTAGAGGGACATGACGGAGAAAGAACGTATAGCGCCGGTGTAAGATCCTCAGGAGAAACAATGTTGATTGAGGTTCGATAGCGGATCTCTTATTTTTTTGATGGAGCGAATGCTTTTGTTGTGTATGGCATATAGAGCAAGACCATGAAAAGAAGCCGCACCTGGTGCCTTAAATCTTTGAGATTCTGCACTTTTTGTTTGGCACACGCCATTTTTTTAAGGTGTGAATACCATTGTTATTCACACTGAATATTGAGGCTTGTGGTTTGCCTATGTATGTGCTATACTAGAAATTTGTTCGTGTGATCAAAATTTCATGTAAGAATGAATACCTTCACCATAGGGTAATTTCCCTCAATTCACTAACATGGGCAGCATTGGACTACTATTCTTATCTGATGCTGCACTAGTCATGATACTGATGCAAAGCTAGGAGGAGTTTTGGGGCACTTTAGCCTAAGAGAAATAATATCTTATTAATGATTATAAAAAGCTATTTATGTGAGAGCTCCTCTTGATTTATATTTTTGTCCATTCAATATCTCAAAGCTACTATAGAACGGGCGGAGAGAAAACAAAGGGAAATATCAAGTGTCGGGAGGTGTTACAAATTCCCTCCACCTTGCCTTAAGAAACAGGCGCTTATTTTCCCACCCATCTCCTTTCCTTCTCGCCTTTCCTCTGTGAGATGCAGCCTCAGGGCAAGGCGATAACGAGAGAAGAGAAGTGAAGGGAAAAAGCAATAAAAGTAAAAACAACCAACGGGTCCCAATACAGATAGGACAAAAGATTCTTATTTAAATTGGGAAAGGGGCGAGGGTACAGACAGGACATGAAGAAGAGGGGCTTTTTTTTATATCGAGGGTGATATCATCATGTATCATCGCACAACAACCTATAGTTAGGGTGCAGTGAGAGGACAGAAGAAGATGAACAAAGGAGATAGGGGATAGAAAGGAGACAACAAAACACCACCCAATATGTGTAAAAACAATTGATACAGGGAAAAAAAAAAAGGCAACAAAGGCCATATACATACGAAGCACACCGTTATTTCAGGGTTCTGAGAGACCGTTCCAACTGGGGTACGTACTAGGACCCGAAGTGGAACGGAGGCTTGTATTATTCATGATTGTATTCCTCCAGATGCAAAAGTGATGTTTACTTGGCATCTGTCCAGCTATCGGTGCACGTTTCCCGAGAACCGTCGCCTATGCACGGAGAGATCGGCATGTAACATGCTTGATGTCGTGAGCCGCGAATATCGTTGAAGTCGCAACAATTATCCATCAAGCGAATGGTTGGATGGCCAGTCAAATAAACAGCGAAACAAGCCACAAGTCTTCGTAGAAAAGAAAACGAGAACGCTTTTTAAGAATTTTGTCATCGAATCATCGTGAAGGTTTTTTGAGGTCATTAACAGTGTCGTCACGCGGGATATTAATGTATCCGATCAAGCCAGCCGCTAGGAAGCCCATAGGACGCCGGAATTTCTATCATACCATGTACTGGTATGGTCGCAAGGCAGTCAGGAAACAAAGTAAGCAAAAATTGTCGTGCTATTAGAGTATAGAAGGATTCAAGGGGCGTATAAATTTCAAGCGGGGCGATTCCGTTAACTGTGGTTGAACACATCTGGGAATCACCTTGCCCAGGTGACAGGATACCGGGGTGAAGTATCGGTAGAAAGCGAATTACGGGCTGGGATCGGGATACAAATCATCGGGACCATCAAAACCAAAGCCGGCCATGTCCATGGAATGCAGAGAACCGGGGCCCCGCTCGAAGTCCATGTCTGATGAAAGGTAGTCATGCCCGGCAGGTGGCAGATGTGGTCCGAAAAAAGGGCGAGGCTCATCATTATGGGACTGAGTGTCGCCGTCATTCCAAGGAACACTTCGTTGCCAAAAGCGTTGGTTTGTCTGCTGGTCACCGAACAGGTCATGATGATCTTGCAAATGTCTGGGGAGTAACGACGATTCATGTTCTACCTGCGCGGAAAAATCTTGAGGAGACTGGTAATGTATTGCTGTTCTGCTGAAGCTCGATGCCGGAGAATCGGCATGTAGTGTCATGTCAAAGGCCGATAGGTGATGAGGATCAAGGTTCATGGGATCCATGGATGTCGTAGTGACCGGGATGTCCAGGCCTGATACTTGGCTCATTTCTAATCCTGGAGCAATGGATGTGCTTGCGGCCGCCTTCCTCGAGGCGTTAACACTGCCGCAGGCCTGGATGACTTTTTCTTTGTCTTCTTGGGATAACTTGGCAAAGAAATCGGCCGCCGAGTGCTCCTTTTGTGCCAACCGTGGGGGCCCCAGGCCATATTCCTTAATCGCATACTGTGAAAACCCAAATCCAGGGGCGTACGGCGAGTTGTAAACGGAAACGGACTGGCGTCGCGAGCCGTCGAAATTTCCCCACATCGCAACGCTGGACGAGAAAACACGAGGGTCTTTCACCGATGCTCGCTCAGGCTGCTTTCCAGATTTTGTATCATTTCCATAAACCTTTTGGGCAAGGTCGACAATCGCAAAGCGAAGCATCCTTAAAAGATGGTCGACTTCGTCTGCTTTCATATTCAATGGCTGCAAGGGAAGCAACCCGTTATTGGATTTAGGCCTAATCATCGACTCTGACATAGCCTTCTTCAACTTCTCCATTCCGTTTTTTGGCACCGTCAAACCATCGCCCAAGAGAATCTGAGCCACAAAATCAGGGTCGACGATGATGTAGCCCGCGCCAGCATTGGCATGTTCCGTGATCGAAGCAAGAAGACGACGAGCCGTTAGAAGCTGCATCCCTTTGTTTTCTCTGAAAACTGGGCCTGGCATATCGGAAGTAGCTGGCAGTTGGAGTTTCTGAGTCATGATAGGGCGTGTAGGGACGGGAGGAGCAGGTGCGGCAATGCGTGCCCCGGAGGAGAATTTTTGTTGGTTCGATGAATAAGTGTTGGGGTGAGATGTAGCCATAGCGGGCGCTCTTAACGACTTTACGCTCTCGAGGAAGTTGGAACGAGGGTTATGGACGGAACGTGCTGGGTTTTCGGTGTATTGCGCACGGCACTCCGTGGATGTTTTTCCAAGATAATACCAGATTTGCTCAGGTTTGAAAACGTCGACTCTGCTGGTGTCTGAGTTAAAGGGAGGTTTGACGCAGGAGAACTCGGCCCATTGGTAGGGAAGCCACGGGTCCCCGAACGGTGTACCGTGTGAAGGAATAGTTGAAGCTAGGTCTTTCCGAGCCTCCGGCTTTCGAGCCAAGTGCGCCGGGAGCGGTTTAATGCCAGAAGGAAGCGGGAGGAAATTGGACTTCTTCACGATTAATATCCAACGATATGGTAATTCGATCACGTCACTACCAAAAATATTAGTATCACTGCTACCTTTTGTTCCCTTTTCTTTCTCCAGCGCATAAATGAGCAACAACTTACCCTCGCGGAAGCACTTTCAGCAACAACGCGCGCTCCTCCGGTCGGTTTTCAAGCACAACCGCGCCATTGATCTCTTTATCAGCCTGGAATTGTATTAAATCCCCAGGGCGTAACTTCTTGGCCGTTTCTGTGATCTTGAAATCCATATCCATACTTTCCGGCGACTGGGACCCAAGTCGTTTTGGTCGATGATATTTACACTTGAGATCAACTCCCGGTACAGTGTATTCGCACCCGTCGTCCGCAGTAACAGAAATTTTGCCAAATTCAACCTGCACACCAGCGAGAAGTGCACATGTTGGATGATACGCCCTAGCGCATTTACCATACATGCACTGGAAGCAAGCCCCTTTCACTTCTCGGCAAAATAAACACTTCAGACCCATTCTCGCCTTTGGTATCTTATCGACATCACATACGACTTCCTTGCCGGACTCGTCTTTGAGAATGGAAGTCTCCTCGATGTAAAGAGCACATCGCCTATGGGCATTATACAGGCCGTCTTCAGTAGGCAGCAGTTCCTCATAATCCAAATTATTAGGACACAAGATGCACGGAACCTTTCTTGGGCCATCTAGATGCAACTTGACGCGCTTCGTTTTGGACTCGCCGCTATCGTGCTTTCGCTTTTTGCGGGGCCCAGATTTCTCAGGAACGCTGCGAGGGGGAGTGAGTAGGTCAGATGCGCCTTCAAACTGATCTTCCATCTCGTCATAGTACTCCGGAGTAGCTTCTCCACATAATTTCCTTTCAATTTCTCGGATATCAATCCAGACGCTATCGGCTTCGCAGTTGCATTTCTTCGCAACTCGCGCATAGTCGAGCCACTTTTCCGTCGCGAAATTCACAGACTCGGCACAATTATAACCTAGATTGAATCCAGAATGGTATCCATAAGGATAAGTAATAACAAACTCGCGTTCATAGTGTACCATCTTATTGACAGTGATCCCATATTGGGATTTGAGGAGGGAAGGAGAAATCAGATAGGTTTTATGACGCAGGAACTGGTCACAGTTTTTTGAATCAGTTGGCCAGATGCCTATAATTGTTAGTAGCTATTGTGTCGTTCTTCAAAAAAAGGCACTCACTTTTCATGGCGGCCTCGAATTTAGGAAGATCCTGTTGAGAGATGCTATACCACTGCTTTGGGGCTCCAAAGTGAATATAGTTAATGCTGTAGAGGTCCACATCCTCTAGATGCCAGGCAAATGTAGCTTTCCACATTCCCAGGTATAGATATGCGGTGTTCACTCCAGGGACCTTCTGACCAAGGATGTCCAGCAAATTGGGTAACTTAGCAACATTCCAGGATGTGACGGAGTCATCAAAAAGGGAACCCGGCATATCTGCACCGTACATGGGGTTATTGTACATGAGGGACTTCCAGTAAGCGGTCTCAAGTTCTTCACAACGCTCCGTGGTGTATTCCTCACTTCCAGAGAGATGGTAGTCAAAGTCCTTGAAAGCTTCCTCATCAATATAATCTGCTGCATCTCCGCGATTATACTTACGTCGCGCGGTAACAGATTTGGGCTGTCTTCCTTTGGGCTTTGGTGCTGGTAAAGATTCTCCCTCACTCAGTTCCTCGGACTTTGGCTCAACTGGGTTGGATTGTGGGGACACGGGAGTCGGTGGCCCTTCCAGTTTCTTTTCCCCAGGGCCGTCAGCTGTTTTTTCCGGCTCATTAGATTTGGAGTTAGGAGGACCAGGTTTCCGCTTTTGCGAGTCAGACCTGTTCGTCTGGCCTCTTGCATTGTTACGTGCGGGCTTCTCCTGGGCGCGCCGTCTCTCTCCACGACGAGCGGGAGGCTGGTGACTCGTCTCCTCGCACAATGCCTTCCATTGGGGCAAATTATAAGATCGTTGCTTTTCAATATTCGCCTGAGTATAAGTTCCATGGGAACCATGGAATTCCTGCATGATAGGATTTTTCACCCGAATGGACTTAACAGATTCTTCCAGTGATGGAAGGGCATCCAACCTGTATAAACATTAGCGAAAAGTCATTGGGCATGCATTGATAAATAAGAATTGCAGTGCAGAGCACGATGCCAGGTGGGCAATATCAAGTCTGATGATACGAGGAGTATTATTGGCCTATGGGGAGACATCGCTGGAGCAATATCAAAAGCACGGGCCAGAATCTTGGTAGTCCAGAATGGCTAGTGGGCAGAAAGCTTTTGAGCTTTTGATGCCCAAAGGAGTTAAAGTAGGTGAATCGTAGGATCCACGCATTGGGGGGAGATTTGAGGGAAGTATTCGGCTCAACGGTAGAGCAGGGGGGGGGGGGGGTCGGTCGGCAACAAAGAACGACATGGAAGGGCTCGGCTTCAATGTTGGGTCATGATACGGGCGCTACTCACCATTCCTGTGGCGGAATAACCTTGACCACACCAGATTCCATGCCATATTTGTCGATCTTGTGGATGAACGACTGAAAGTCGCGGAATTGGTCCATAGTCTGTTCAAAAAAAAAAAAAATCCCCGAGCAAGGGCGACAATCCATTAGTTTCCACAGCTTTTCAAAGGAGTAAGCGCCGCAAGGAATCGACGACATCGAAATTGTCGGCATTGGGAAGAAAACACTCCCTGGAGAGAATGAACTATACTGTGAAAATCACTCACCGGCTTGAAGATTGGGATCCTGCCGCCGCCGTAGTAGTGGTCGGGCCGGATCTCGTCGTCGTCGACTGAAGCGCCGGAATCGACGTCCATGTCGGATCCTCGAGGCGAGTCAGCACGAGGCGACGGCTTCTCTCCGTCGGCGCTGGCAGGAGGAGTCATGGACGCCATGTCGCCGACGATGACGGGATGTTGTGTATCGATATCCATCTTTCAAAACCAGGACTGCTTTGCTGCCGTCGGCTCCCAGGCGACCGCTGACCAACGGCGAATTTGCGGGTCCCAGCGGCCGTGGGATAAGAGGGGGGCGGGAGGGAGGTGGAGGGAGAGAAAGGGACGGGGGGGTTGTGAGAGAGGTTAAACGCGGATAGGTCGACGAAGGGGGCACGGAAGAGTCGCAGAGAGATCGTGCCCCTTCTGGGCCGCCGTTTTGGACCTGAGGATTCGATGACAACGGATTCTCGTCTCTGTCGATGAGATCTCCCGTCGAACGAGAGCGAAGGGGAGGTCGCTGGAGGGGGATGGAGTGGATAATGCCGTTCGCTCCTAACCGCAGGTCCTGACTGGGCGAGGGTGAGGTACCAGAAGCGGATCGAGCTCAGCGCTAAACCCGATGTGGTAAGCCCGGTTGCTCGAGACGAAAGGCTGCAGGATCAGATATTCACAGGGATGGAAGAGGATCAGGCATGAATGGACACGCTGGGGGAGAGCAATTGCCTCTGCTCCCTCGGATGCACACAGCAGAAGAGGGTGCTGGCGACGGGGAGAGCGAGGATGGGGTTCACGACAGGCGGTGCGGCTGCGTCTGAAAAACTTCACTTTTGTTTTTGCTTGAGGAAGAGGGAATTTTGTATGGGCAGCGCGGCTTGAGGTACTTCACTGGCCGGGCAGGGATCACGTGGGGCGTCACTAGCGCTGCAGTCCCGTTTTCGCCCTTTCCGATGAATTGGCAGGGAAAAAAAAAAAATAAAAAAGAGTGACCTGATTTTTCAGGACGGACACGTCGAGGGCAAAAAAAAAATTAAAATTCTCCTGAAACAAGAGAGGGTTCCGTACTATCATGTTGCCTCGAACAATAACAACGATAAGCTGATGGGGGTATGTAACTAACTCTCTGGATTGAATGACCTACAGATGTGTTCCGACCCCGGATTGAAGGTCAACAAAAGCAATTCCGGTCATAGCCACTCATTAGTGCGTTCTTGAATGCTCAACAATCTCCCATATCGACATGCCGTGCACAGCCGCCGTACTTCCTGGACAGCAGGATTGGTCGGACTCTTACAGTCTACAGTAAATTATCTCTCGTCGTAATTTTCTTGCTCCTCGCTGTTCCGTACAATCCGATTGCGAAAAAAAACCCATCATTGTTATGATCGCTGTGAGATGACATCATCGGGTCGCTGGCGTCTCAGCCTAAAAAATACCCGAATGCAGAACACAAAGCAAGAAATCTCCCGCCTGGAGCCATCCGCAGTACGGAATACATAACTGTACAGATTTCACCGCGCCAACACGTACTTTCTCGGCTTCCCGACACATCATATGTATTGTCGAAGAATCATCAATCATTTAAAAAACAAAAAAAAAAAAAAAAAAAAAAAAAAAAAGAAAAGAAAAGAAAACAATGCTCATCTAATAATCATTCAATTTCAGTGTCTTTCCAACTAATCTCCGCCTTGACTTCTTATCTCTACCCCTCTCCCGAACTTCCTGGAGCTCCTGCAACGCCTGCAGGAGCATTCCGGCATCGAAGAACCCATCTGTGTTAAAAAAAGGTTAGCTTTTCACTAACAGCGGTAGAACGAGATTCCAGGGGGCCAGGGGAAACATACAGCCGCCCATCCCATCGTCATCAAAACACCCACTCTCAGTCATAGGCGTATCGACCTCCCGTGCCGCCGCATCGGTATGAATGAGCCGTCCTCGACGAGGAGTCCGAGTGCCCGTGCCAAGCCGTTCCTGTGCCGCATTTGGCGGCGCAGCAGCGCGAGGCTCCTCGCTTGGTGGAGAGGCGGCCCGCAGTAGCTTCCGGATCTCCAGCAGGTATGACTCCAGTGTCTGCATGAATCGACTGGTTTGCCTGTGCTTCGAGGATGCACATATCGAGATCGAATCATCCTTGATGATATAACCGATGCCGAAACCATCGCCGGATGTCGGCCCAAACCCAAAATGTCGGAGCGATGGGTTCCCACAGTTCGACGTGGACAGGATAGTGTTGTTGATCATTTCCCACCCGGGATCTTTGAATATCTCTGGTAAATGATTCATTTTGCTACGGCCACTCCGAGAGCTGACTGAGGAGTGACCATCGTCCGAGTTACCACCTTCAATAGGGCTGGAGTAGCCGTCAGGACTGGAACCCCCACTGCAGATGCTGGGCTGCCTCTCGTCAAAGGATCGTTGCCAGAGAGAGTAGAGTGCATAAAGGTGGCGATCATGTCCTTGGCCCTGCGAGCACTCTCTTGTGATCGCAGTATGTTTCTGCGTGGCTTTCCTGAGGGCATTCACCTTCTCTGCGATGGGGTTGTCTCCCCAAAACGTTTGCACGAAGTCAACTGATTCCAATGAGACCGTACGGATGGCTTCAGTGCGACCATGCAAATATGTCTTGGTCATGGCAGGCTCATATGTATTTTCAATACGTCCATAGAGCCCATAGTACGCCGCTTGGAATGCCATTTGCACAAATGCGTCCGGAGAGAAACCCATCGTCGTTATGAAATTTTTTCCGTAAGCGCGGAAATCCAAAGCTTCAAATTCGTGCTGATGAAGCAGGTCGGCAATATGGGACTCGGCGAACCTTACCGCCGTGCTCAACTCCGGGCCCATGTCCCATTCAAGTTTGCGTGGTGTGGTGCTCGCATGTCGGTAACCGTTTGGCTTGCGCTTGGCGGGAGTTGGGCCAGTGGATGCCCATATACTTGGTGCCTGGCCATTGATGGTCTTTGCAAAACGGAGGATGGTGTCAGTAAAGACGTCACTCGCGAAACGAAGAACCGTATGTCCGTCGACACCGGTATGTTCAAAGTTGATGCCTGCGCTACCATTTTGGCAGACAATTATTTGAAGCTTATCGTACCATCGATTTGTGCATGTACCAATCTGAACCCCTTTGACCACCTCGCTCGTTCCGCAAAGCATATTACCACAGATTTCAGCAATATTCGAAGGTTCCGCATCGTCTAGACATAAGACAAAGAGTGCTGTATCGACAATATTCAAACAATCGGCGTTGTTGGATCCCGACTGCCGGTTCAGTATATCCCTTAACCCGGACCAAACCTTTCTATTTTCTGTGCTTAACACGCCAATCGCCCCTTTCGCAGCCTCTTGTATTGGCGTCTGCTCGGCGTCTTCGATGATCGCGCTCAGGTTGAGAGAGATGTCCTTTTCAGACATTATAAGATCATCATTTTCATCAAGAACGTCAAACCAGTAAAACTGTCCCCTGCACATGATGACGAGATGTTTCGAAGCAGAGTCTTGGCCTATAACACACCCGTTGCTTGTGGGCACCCTTGCCGTGCCAAACAGTCTGGAATATTGGAACATGCACAGTGGCTTTCCGCGAACCGTATCTGGAGTCAGCTCCTCCCTTCTAACTGCTCGCACAAAGGACAAAGCCGATACAACCAATGAAGCCGCTCTCGTCACCTGATGGTTCCGCGCAGGGGTGGGGTCGTCTTCCAGGAGGAAAAACGGGTTTAAATTGAGGACAACAGCTGATACACAATCAGAATTAGCTTTCTGAACAAAGGAAAATAGGGTCATTTATACTCACGATTATCATAATTCAAGTACGAGTCATACCCTTGGCCAAACATAGTTATCAGTCAGCATCGCATTCAAAAAGCCAGGCTAGAGGAAGCGGAAGGCGCACAAAACTCCTCGATATAGCTCGTCTTCGACGATGCATAGAGTTTCAATTTTTCTTGCAGCTCTGGGCCGTCAGACTTGAGAAAATCTTGAACCGAGGCTTTCGTTTCTTCATGTTCGCTCGGACTTTGCAAGGGAGCCAGGCTCTCCAGGTATCGTCGGCAGGTGGACTCAAGATCTGGGATCGGAAGCCTTGGTAACGAATCTTGTTTTGAAAAGGTGACCCTTGTCTGGTTCGTCACTGAGCCATCATTCCCTTCCCCGGAAGGTTTGGGTGAAGGCGGGATTCCACCAGTCGAGGAAGATACCTGAGGACGCCTGGGCCCTTCTAGGGCATCACCGAGCGGTTTTGGCATGGTAAAGAAACGAACTGGAGAAGGCGGGTGAGACATTGCTATACCAAAATATGTAGATTCAAAAATGCAAAAATAATCATCAAGTGTACTGGGCAGCGATGAAGGTAGGTAATGAAAGAAGTCGCAGCGCACTGCGATAGAAGTAGTGACAATCCTGTAAGCAGTATGATGGCATTTGCAAGTATTTTGGGGGTTAGTAAATGGGAACGTCAACCATTTGACAGGCCTTTTACTCTTATTATGAAAACTTGATCAAAGGGGAGGCATTTAAAGTATGTTGAGAGGGGCGTTGTACGGAGTATATAAGCCTGGCTTAGGCAGGGCTGACAGATGACCTCATGGCGGCATGTGAATGCCTCTAGCCGCAGATACAAACGGGGAAAAAGATACTTACACTCCGTACACTAAGGGGGACAAAAAAAAAAAAAATAACAATAAAATAGAATGAAGAGGAACAAAGGATTCCGACTCACATTGTGCTATGCGTTCAAGGTGATAGATGATCTCCGTCAGGTGTTAATAGTTGGGAGTGATGGGAGATAATGTCCTACTTTTTTAACCTTAGGATTCCCATAGGACTGCTTCGGCGCAACGGAGTGTCGTTTCAAGGGGTGGGCAAAGGGCCTGAGGAGATACTGCGACGGAACGAGTGCTACTTCGTCTTATTTTCTTCTACGGGATGATGTCGGCGTCGCAAAGAGGAAAAAAAGAAGAAAAAGAAAAAGAAAATACCGTTGCACCCGTTTAAAGCTGATAGACCCTGTCGTTGGAAGCAGGGACAATACGTGTTTCTGCAAGTCTCCCTTGATTAATATGCAGGTTCGGACAGTGTGGCCGAACTTCCACTTCTCCACGTCTGGAATGTGTCATGCGGGGGGAAAGATGGCCATCGTGGAAATCCTCCGTGCTCGCCACCGACAGCAACCAGGTAAACTGCATCATGCCGTCCGCGCGCCCACGAGCTAATTTGCGTTGGATTAAATGACCAGCATCGCTCCATCTACCACTTGGCTAAATCCTTTTTTTTTTTTTAACTACTCGTATGTCTGTGCTCTTATTTGTTATGAAAATAGCTGACTTTTTGAGTATCCTTTTCAAGATGGCCGTTGGCCCTAACAGGAATCCGTGCGGCGAGGAGAAACTTCCAGCGATCACCAAGCATTAGTTAAATAAGTTTTAAGATTTCTTCTCCGCAAAGTCAAACCTTCATCGTATTCCCTATAAAATCTCCGATGACGTCCACTCCAACGGTCTGATTCCGAGACCTCGGGGATCCATAACCATAGGTGCGGTGCCGGCTGCAAGTCTTTTGGCAGTGGGAATACGGAACATCGCTCCTTTAAGCCGACCGGTAGTGTACTTTTCTCCACCACCGTCACCGACTCCTCGAGAGAGAGCGCGCTTAGCGTAACTATTCCCCGCGTGCAAACGGAATCCGCGCTGCCTCTATCCGGCCAGTGGAGACAGCCCCAGGCGACTATGTAGAACTAGTTCAAATTCACTAGCGGTTGGTTAGTTAGTGCCTCCCTGTGCACGTTCCGGCCCGATGGCTGATCACCCGTCAGCCGCTTGGGCCAAAATACACAAGACCATGTCTTCGGGAGGTGGACAATATGTATGCATGTACTCCGTACAGCCGGACTTTGTACCCCAGTCTGTGCAACTGGCTGTCTTATCCAAACATGGCTTCGACGTGTACTACGATGGCCACTGATGTTGGGGAATATGGTTGGGCAATCCGGAAGAATACCGTTAGCAGGGTGACCTAAAATGTGTCAAAAGGGGCGGTAACTTCTTTTATCGTTTTAAATATATACTTCTGCCGTCACCCATTTACCATCATGATCATTGTGAAACAAACCTTCCTGGATAGCAAATACCATAGAATTGGAATGGAAAGTCACTAAATATTTCCTCTGAAGTTCGAAAGAAAAGGGCCGAAGCTTTGCAAGTTCCAGAAGAACCAAGCCAGTCTCGGAAAGAAATGAAGAAAAAAAATTTCACAAATCTGAATGACACTCTTCGCAGACCCTCCCCCTACAGGCCTGTCACTGCCTTAAAATCGATATGCGTTGATGCATTGACTGGCAGTTGGGGAGACGTCATAGCAAAAGAGTTGAACAAATTGCGTACAAGTTGAAGGTCTATAAAAGGAAAAGGACAAGGACGCGTATCGGGAGAGCGGTCAAAAATCATATTTAAAAGATCCCAAGAAAATCCCACAAGATGGCTTGAGAGAAACGGGATGCAATTATCTCTGGGTCGAAGATGATTCTGGGACCAAAGCTAGGACATCCCTGCAATATACGTTCAAGAAGGGAGGGAGCAAGGAGAAGTTGACAGACTACCCATGACATAGACCGCGACAACGTAAATGCGTTTGCCAGACGGGTTTATGCATTCAGCAAGTACATCGGTTTTACCTTTAAGCAGTGACTGTGGGATGACCCAGGGGTTTGCCAACATTCTTGTCATATTCACCAGCATAATTACCTATCCACATATTTAGTTTGGCCCCTTAATGACCCGAGAAACGCGAGGACATACCTGGAGGACCATAGTTGCAGACAATGAAATCGGCGTTGTTCACAGTGGAACCAGTGGCTCCAACTCTCAAGGTTGGGCAGCGCTTAGTGTAACAAGCAACCTTCTTGGTACCCTTCCAAACAATCTGGGTGAAATGGCCCCATTCATGGAAATTACCTCCAGGGTTGGCTTGGCCGTACAGGCCATCAAATTTGGGAGCCTCGCCGTTATACATGGCATTGCTGAGCATAGCACCGATGTTGCTGAATCCACCTTGGTAACCGATGTTCTGTCCATATCCACCGCCGTTGTACTTGCTATAGGATGCTGTCAATATTAAACGAGCATTAAACACCTGGGACACGAGTTTATTCTTACGTATTGTGCTCGTAGACACAAGTGTCGGCGAGCTGTTTAGCACTGCTCTCCAAGTTGTCATCCCAGGTCAACGCCTCGGCAGAGTGGTTGGAGCGATGGACGTTGTGGTGATAGAGAACGACGCCCTTGTAGTCATCGCTGGGTGGTGGTACTTCGGCAGGTTTGGTGGTCTCCGGAGGCGGAGGCGGAGCCTGAGTAGTGGTCTCTGCTGGAGGAGGTGGCGGAGGAGCTTGGGTCGTAGTCTCGGCTGGTGGAGGTGGAGGGGGAGCTTGAGTAGAAGTAGGCGGTGGTGGTGGTGGTGGAGGCGGAGGAGCCTGTGAAGTCGGACTTGGGCGTGGAGATGGCTTGTGAGGCGGAGGGTAGATGATACTTGGCCTTCCCGGCCAATGCCACCATGGACGGCGGTTGGCACCAGCAACAGGGGTGGGAGCTCCGCCAATAGTCACATAAACGGTTCTGGTGACAACGGCAACGTCGGTGACATAGGCGCGCTGCTCGATTGGGGACGCCAGGGCCCCACCAACACAGAGTGCTGCGACAAAGGAGGAATAACGCATGGTTGATGCTTTTAGGTTATGTTGAGAAACAGAGAGTCAGGCTTGGATATGATATTGCAAGTCACAGTTCAACTGTGTTTTCAACCAGCTTTCACACAAAGGAAGAGCTAGTCGACCAAGAAATATGATCCAAAAGCAAAAAGTACGGTGAAACCCAAGCCGGTTGGAGAGCAAGATATAACACTTCTGTCCAAGGCAGAGTGAGGGTGAAGATGTGCAAAAGAGTGACTTGCTGCTTGGTCACTTTAAAGGAGTGAAAAGTGTCCGCAAGGAGCAGAAACCGTGCAACGATGAAGAGAAAGAAGAAAAGGAGAAGAGAAGGTGAGAGAGGTAGACAGGAATGAGAGACTGGGTATATTTTAAAGCCGAGAGAGTGTAATTAAAGGGGAGCAGAAGAAAAGAAGAGCGGATGGGGAATCAGGATGGATTCGCATCTGAGCGGTATCTGGCCCCTGGTGGGTGGAGTCAGGTCAGCGTGGGAAATGTTCCCCATCTCATAATTTGACATGAAACACGCTAGGCTCGCCCCGATCTGACGAGGGAAACGCTCGATGGGATTTAAAAACATGAGTGGGCTTCGGCAGCTTAGGCGCTGCTGACCCCCCCCCTGATGGATTGTAGATTCGGTGCCGTGGCCGGAGAAAATGCCCGGATTGTGCAGCTGTCCTCGAACCAGAGGAATTTTCCATCTGTTGCATGAAACAAAGGACTTTGGCGAGCTGGCTCGGGAACGTCACAACGTGGCCCTCTGACGGAACGGAACGGTTTGGGTCTTCGATAAAACACCCCGAACCACACGCGAGAAGAAACGAAACCAGGGAAACAGATCCTCCGTCTCTCCACACGCTTTCTGTTCGAAGGCACCAGCCGGTTCTTCCTGCGGTAACTTGTCACACGGAGGCTAACAGCTCCAGGAGAAGCTATCATGCTCTACCGTCTCCTGGCGGTCATCGGAGGGCGGCGCTTGGGTTCAGAGTCAGATTCGGGCCTAATGTTTCTTCCTCGTCCCGCCATGTTGTAGCACGGAGGATTTCTCGGATTTCAGGGACGGACTCTGCATCGCGGGCTCGGCGGGTTCATCTGAGCGGGCGGGAAGCAACGCCTAATTGGCTGGCTGGACCCGGCTTGCTGCGAGCAATCGAGCCTGTCTGGTGAACTTTAAACGGACCCATCGCGACGACAATTAATGAAGGGACCAAATAATGCCCTGGGAGTATCAGATCGTTCCAAGTGGTTCTGGACTACGATGGCGGGTCGAGCGAACCGGTCCATTGTAACAAAATTTTTCTCTATGGAGCCGATCAGGACCTTGGGGACGGAGAAATCTTCAACTATGCTCTGCACGTCCTCCGACCGTCTCTTCGCCTACAAATAATTACAGCCAAGAACTCCTGGGAGCAAAGCATCATCCTCTGGAGTACAGAGTGGTTGCGCGCTATCTTCACTGTCGCTGCTGGCGACATCAGCTCTCTTGACAAAGGGAGTCACAATTTATGAACCGTCGTTGTCAGTGGAAACTTTACCACCTCGAGCATGCTGGTCTGTCCTCGGGCCGTCGAGAGATGACAACCCAGGGAGAATTGTCTTGACTTGGCACACGGTAAACCCTGGTTCCTTGTCATGGGAGGTACTGAAAATAAGTGGTTGATATCCATCCATAAAAAATCGCTCTCCTTTGTGACCATACAGACCTGTGGAGAGTCGTCGTCGGCGGCCCATCTTCACCAGCATGAACCGCCTGTCACGACTGTCTTTAACCGAGATCTTGAGAGCTTCACCACCAAAAGGATCCAACAATTACGCGTACATTTCTAGGCCACTGGCCTTGATCCGCTCTAGCAACTGCCGGGTCTGGCTTTGGACTCAAGGATTGCCGATTCCGGCACTTGGCTTTATTCGCATCCCTGGGCCTGCTCAATCCTCCGGACTTAGCGCTGACTTGTTCAACCCTTCTCATAATTTCCAAAATTGTCCTTGTTGCTTCTTTGCCATGGAACTTTGAACATCTGCTGCGAGCTCAAGAGCTTTGGCCGCGGATTCTCCCCCTTCCACTCCCGCTATTCGTCCAGGTGATATTATGTCTCCATCCCGGTCCCTGGTCGAATTAGACTATCCGAGCTCTGTGCAGGGCTATGAATTAATTGTCTCTCTTCTCGGAACGAATCTCCCGCAATTGACCAGACAATGGTCAGGTCCCTGCTCCGTTTGTTCGGGTCAATAAGATGGCCCAGGAATAACCTTTTCCATGTCAAACATTCGTGTCACTCAATTTAACCTGCGCACACATCCGTTGGCCCAATAGTTTCTCCCGGACGGATTGGGTCTCCGAGGAGGAAAGCATGCGTCGGCAAGTAGGCCGCATCACAAAGATTTTCCACAGACACATCGAACGGGGTAGCCGTTGGATAAGCATCCGGGATGTCACATTCTAGGTGCCTAAGATTGGAAGACCCCGATTCCTGACCTCAGCAAATTTGAGACCCGCTTGGCCACTGACGGCACCAGCAGATCCATCATGAAGGCGCCTGAAAGGACCAGCCTTCAAAAAAAAAAAAAAAAAAAAAAAAAAAAGAAGAAGAATTGGCCATGTCCCAAATACCATAAAATCTTCAAATTCGATTCAACTAACAATGGCTTCGGGAATCGGCCATTGAAAAGCCCGGATTTGAATGGCTCACGTCGATCTGAAAAACAGCCAACTCCGGCATAGGACCCTTGGAGCCGTTGTTTCCGTGAGATTGCAAGTGTCCTGTGCCATGCTTGTGACCACTGCTCACCTAGCTACTGTAGGGCCATCAGCTTTTCGCTCAACGCCGCTTGAACAACTTCACCATCGCCATCGCTATCACTATCACTATCACCATCGTTTTTCTCAAAGAATAGTGAATCACCACCAACGTGGCCCGCCGCAGCTCCCTCGGCCAATTATCTTCAACTTATGTAATTAACCCGGACTGTCCCTGTGCTGGAATATGTTCCGATCCTCTGGTTCTTGCTGCTTATCTTCGATCGGTCGTCTTGCTTCAAGTGTGCATGTCATGCTTGGCTTGTGTGCGTGCGCGATTGAAACATCTTTCGGTGTCCGGGTGGGGTCGCTTTGGATCGAACAGAATGTTTGATTGCTAGCCAGGGCCGGCGCTAACTCGGTACCTTGTCTAGCCCTCCCGCCGAATCTGCCATGTCGGTTGCCCCGTACAGAGGAAATTCCTTTCGTGCACTCATCCCGAGTGCATACCCTCATCAGTTGGGCGGATTAATCGCTTTCACCATATCATTGCTTGGGGGTGTTAGGGGTAGTTGGTTAATATTCGGAACAAAAGCACCTGTGTTCCGAATGTAGACGCACCTTAGTGCTATCCACACAACATTCCGTCATGTCGATGCTGTTCCATACGGCTAGAGGCTCCTAACGAGGAGACTCACCCATAAATGTAGTAACATTTAGCCATCTTCAAAGTGTGAGAGACAACTAGAGATCATGCTACGGCAAAGGAAGGAAGCGCGCACTAAAAGTCATTTTACTTCCGCTCAATTCCAGCGTACACAATATCTACACCATTAAACTAGAGGTGTCAAGCAATCGTATGTACGAGGCGCTGTACTTTATCACTCTCTCCACTGCATTCCGGGAATACAAGCTCTTCTCAAGGAACCGATATCTACTCCCAGGGCCCCTTGTATGTAGCTTTCTCATAGCGCCGCAGGCAAATCAATCGTGCGACACGCACCCGTCTCACACACCAACAAGAAATTTTTCCCAGGCCGGAGATCTTTAAGCAAAGTGTTCCGCTTTCCCAGCCACGCAGACAAACCCACGGCCCCGTGTTGGTCAGCGTCGCCCGTGCGTACGTCAACAAGTGCAAGTACAGCCGTGCTAGTGGAGATCGCAGAACCGGCCTCGTCGCGCATTTTCCGAATCACAGAGGCCGCAGTTGGGCTATCAAATACTCCTCTGGCACTTTCTTGACCCTCCACCGCCATGCGGGGACCCTCGCTAGATCTAACCGCTGTGGTGTCGTGCCCAAGAACGCCGATCACGCTTTTCACGCCCACTTCCAGGCCCACAACTACATCCAATAGACCCACGAAAAGGAAAGGGTGTTGTAACATTTCAGCGGCGAAGGCGCTACACGTGTGCCTTGCAAGGGCTTTGTATGAGTCGTCTTCCAGCAATGATGCAAGACGAAGGAGATTCTGTGCAATCACTCCGTTTGTCGACGGCGTCGCTGCATCTGTACCCGTTTTGAGTCGGAACAACGGACCTGGAACGTCTTCAGGCATATTCTGCGGGGTCATATAGTAACCCGCTGGTGTGGTTCCGTCAGAAGCCGTAGCAAGGAAATACCTATTCAGGTATTCTGTAGCAGCGGTAAGTATATGCAAGAGTCACGAGTCATAATAACTGGAACGCACTGGGCTACCTACGTTGGAGGTTTTCGGCGAACTGCAAATAGCTATCGTCGAAAGTGGCTTCGTATAGACTTATCAACCCAGAAGCGAGATATGCATAATCATCGCCAAAACCAGGGGTTTCTCCTCTTCTCCCGTCACGGTAAACGCGCCAAAGCTGGCCAGTTTCCGCGTCGAATAGATTTTCCCTGATGAATTTGGCTGCCTTTTCAGCGACTCGCCGACAATGCGTCGCCCTTTCGGCATCGATTTTATCGAGAAGCAGACTGCATTTAGCAAGGGCACCAATAGCGAGGCCGTTCCAGGAAACAATGATTTTATCATCTAGATCCGGTCGGACCCTGTGTTCGTCTCTGAATTCCTGAAGCTTCTTCCTAGACGACTTGATTACACGGACGACTTCATCTTCACTCAAACCAAAATCTTTTGCAATTTTGCGAGGAGACGCTCGGATACACAGCACATTCTGATTTATGAATTCATCGTGAGGATCATTGCCCCGCGCAACATTTCCATCTGGAAGTACGCCCCAATGGCGTGCACAAACCTCTGCATCTCGTTGGCCTAATATCTGTTGCATTTCTTTGAGTGTCCACACATAAAATGCCCCTTCACGCTTTTCGGTATCGTTCGAGTTTGGAAAACTATCCGCATCCTCGGAGGAGTGGAAAGCACCTTCAGGGGATAGAATCGGCGGGCTGGTTATATATGCAATAATATCATAGACTGCTTCCAGTAGCTTAGGTTCTTGCGTGATTTCGAAACAGTCAACATAGACATCCAGCAGTTGGGCCTGGTCATAGAGCATCTTCTCGAAATGCGGTAGGCTCCAATCAGGAGTAACGCTGTATCGAGCGAATCCATGGCCAATTTGATCGTGTATACCTCCTCGGGCCATTTGCAAAAGAGTTTTAGATACCATTTCAGTAGCGCGGGCACATTCTTCTCGGCCGACGATATCCATGACAACATCAGGGTATCTTCCCAGACGCAGCAAGAAGCTCAAATTTGCAGGGGTCGGGAACTTCGGCGCTCTCGAAAAGCCACCGTTGATTGGGTCATAACGAGAGACGAAGTGCTGGTGGGCTTCTTCCAAAAGCTCCAACTCGAGATCCTCCTCGCTTTCAGTTTCTGGTCGGCGTAGGTGGGTACCCTCTTCCGCAAATTCTCGAAGCTGCCTTGTGATTTCTTTCGCACTTTCCATACATCTGAGTTGCTGGCTGTTCCAGACGTCTCTGAGCTTTTCCAAGATATCAATGAAGGTTATGGGTTCCTCGCCGCCGACTCTAGGCATTGAACTGCTGTATGGTCCTGGCCAGTATGTTCCGCCGAAGACAGGTTCAAGATCTGGAGTTAGAAAAACATTTAAAGGCCATCCGCCGGAGCCTGTGATGGCCTGGACATAGTTCATATACACCTCATCGATGTCGGGTCGCTCTTCTCGGTCAAGCTTGATGGGAACGAAGGACTTGTTCAGAATGGCAGCAACTTCCGGTGACATAAATGACTCTTTTTCCATTACATGACACCCTGTGCAGATGTTAGCGAAGGCGGCTTATATTGGGAATACACCTAGTAGTACAGACAATGGCAGGCAGAGTAGCCGATGCTTAGGAAGATCAGGCGGTTAAGTCTCTTCGCGAGGTTAATGGCGGCTGAATCCCATAATTGCCAGGCCACCGGGTTGTTCATGTGTCCACGAACCTAAAGGGTAATATTTAGCATCTGAATAGGACTTCAGCTCCTCATCCAATTAGGGGGCGACATACGTATGGAGACCGGCTTTCGGAGAGCCGATTTACGAGTCGCGACGGACCAGCGGTCTCAGTGGCTGCCTCGGCGGACCGTCTATGCGAGAGACTCGCCATTCTGGAAGATATGATACAATTGCAATGGGCCTGCGACTCTAAGTGAAAGTGCGTTTTAACTCTTGGAAGCCACCGGGTGCCCTTGATGCGCCATTCGGCGGGGCCTTTGTCGCAGGCGAGTCGCAAAATCTGATTGAGATATGAAATGTTGAAGGATGGAAAGGTCAAAGAGTAGAGAGTTCTCGGTTTCCTTTTGTTATGCTACTATGCATTTGAGCAAACAGCTGTCATGCACGGAGGCCCCTAACTACCTGGCAGGGTACATACAATGGAGAGGCAAAGATGCAACGATCCAACGAAGAGGCGTTGACATCATCACTGCACGTGATTTAGTTCTCACCGGCAGATCCTTGAGGTTTGGGCCGTTTCACAGAGAGGTGCACTGCGTGTATGCAGAACAATATGGGAATTACATCTTTGCTAGCCTTATTGAAGGATGCTTGTGAAACAAAATACTGGGAATTCTGTCCAGCAGGAAATATCCTATCCATTGCTCTGTCAAGTGTCACCAGTGCTGTCCCAGTGCAGAACATTGCCCAGATGATTAAGACCTTAAAAAATTTCATCAAATGATTTATACTACTTTGTTTAATTATTACTCCTGACCTTTGTTGGAAGTTTTCATCTAATATTCATTCAGTAATTCATCGAGCTCGCGTTCTTCCTCTTCCGTCAGCATTCCTCCACCCTGAGCGGTCTCTTCGTCCTTGGGAACCCCCCTGGCTTCTAGTTTTGCTTGATGAAGATCCTCTGGGCGGAGAGACCATTGTCGAATGGTACCATCAATGCTTACGCTGACAACTTTAGATCCAAGTAATAGCAGACCAGTAACTTCTTCAAAATGACCGTGGTATGTGTGGTGGAGTTCGCCAGTCTTGGTTGGTCAACATCAATTTTAGGGCTCATAAAAACAAAAGGTAGACTCACAGCTCGATTCCATATCCTAACATCTTCATCCCTGCAAGCAGTAATCACCCACCCACCTGCTTCGTGTACTACCACATCTCTCACAAAATCTGGGTGCTCTAAGATAAGATCTGATTTCCACCCACCTTCTCGTGTAAGGCATTTAACGGTTTTATCAGCAGAGGCAGTCCATAAATCTCCATCTTCGTCAAAAAATAACCTATAAACACTGGTTTCATGTTCTAGGATAGGTTCCGAGACCGCCAAAGATCCTGGACTTGACGGTATGCTAAAAGGGAGTATCGTACGGTCGCTGCCGGCACTGAAAACTGTAATGTCGCCGCTCGCCTCTGTCGCAACAGGATCTAGAATCAAGTCCTGAACCCCGCGTGAATGGTCTTTGAGGACATGGAGCCTCGTGCCTTTAGATACATCCCAAATGATAACCTCTGCGTCTGCTCCACCGGAAATGAGGATATTGAAGCCGGAAACCCGGGGACAGAGCACTGTTTTTACAAAATCTGTGTGTCCGAGGTACCTGCGCCAAGGCTTGCGGGTCTTCACATCCCAACTCCAAATGCTTTTGTCCCAGCATCCGGAAAATACAGTCTTCCCATCGGGAGAGAAGGAAAGGCTCGTCAATGGTGCCGTAGGCCCTCTATAAACCGCAGTGGTTTCACCTGTCTTGGATATTTCCTTTCTGTTAGACGGCTTCGTGGGGTCGTTGGGCGCGGGGTATCATTCGCTCACCCACTTCGAGGGCGATAGTTCTCAAAACACCAGAACTTTCCGCGATAAAGATAGAGTTCAAGTTAAAAGGATCGGGAGCAATTGCTAGAATCTTGCCTGGAAGCTGAATTGGATTTCCATTTTTATTTCCCGCTTTCTCAGCTTTCCGTCGACTCTCCTCCAACGAGGCCCTAGACATGCCAGTGTCAGTAGGAGGATGCCCTGAGTGAGAGAAGCGTAAACAAACGTTGTCTGAAAGAAATCATCGCGGTGCGCCGACTGCATTGTGGATGACGTTCGGAGTTTGACACAGATTCGCTCTCAATCGTGATAAACACCCCTCCAGCCTCAAGAGCTCCTCAATTCACTTCAGGCTTCAGTTGGGGGCGGAGCTTTGCACAGCAGGTGTATGCTGCCGGCCGTGGTTAGCTTTTGAGTTAGTTAACTAGCCCCGTTTTACCAGAAACGGCTTAGCTGGATTCTTCCCAGCCCTTCTTCCACCTTAACAATCCTCACTCTCAGTCTCACTTTCAGACCTCGCTCGCCCCCATCTCCAGCATCCCGCATCCGCCAACTTGCTCTCCTCTCCTTCTTTACCTTTACCTTTTAGTCACTTATTGATTATTATCGTGCAAATCCTGCTCTCTCTTAATCTTGCGCTTCTGCGCGCAGAGATTCCGCATCCATGGATATGAACCATTTCATCGGGTATGTGAAATTGCTCCAAGTTTGGTATAAGCTGGTTTTCTTTTGCTAATATGTAGCTTACAGGCGTCGCTTCAACTTGATTTCGAAGAGTGATATTCGGTATGATTAATATTCCACAACCTAAGTGACTTGATTTCAGACACCTAACCCGCATCCCAGCTACGTGGGAACGCTCCATGAGATAAATCCCGAAGCGTCTACCATCGCCCTCGAAAATGTCATCTCGCACGGCACGGAAGGTCGACGCGGTAATCCGTCTGAAGAAATAGCCCCTTCCGCTAGTGTTTACGAGTACATTGTTTTTCGCGGAAGTGACGTGAAGGACATAAGCTTCGCGGATGAGCAGAAAGAGAATCAGCAAGCCGAGCCACCACAAATGCCAAATGACCCTGCTATCCTTGGAGTAAGTTCTAAGATTTATCCGATGTCATCTCCATGCATTTTCTTCAATCCTCCCTCAGTTATCATCCCCATCGCATGATGAAATATTACGGATGTAAATCACAGACCTGTTCCGAAGCGCAATACGATGTGGATATTTTCCGTTGCCTTCCTTCTGACCTAACGTTTCATGAACGTAACTTTTTTTTTATATCGTTTAATATCGTTCCGCTGGGCTGATGAAGTTGTTCGTACAGAGTTCTTCCCGTCCTGGTCCTCCGCAGGGGGCAGGCCGAGGCCAGGCAAACCAGTTCCCCCAACCACCCCGTCAAGCACCTCCCGGATTTCCTCAACAACCACCCTTCCCAGGCTACTATGGCCCATACGGTCAGCGATATGGTCCACCCGGGTTTCCGCCAGGCCCTGGTTTCCCTAACATGCCATACAACAACCCCTCAGGGTGGTATCCTCCTCCTGGTCAAGGTTTCCAACAACAGCCTGGAAACTTCCCTCCGCCACAAATGCCTATTGGACCCTCTCAGGTTCAGCAAGGCCAGCAACAGCGTCCAAATACCCAACCTGGTCCAGCCATGCCCAAGGCAACTTCTGAACTCCCCGTCGGTGAGAGACCTGCCACCAAACCTTCGAGTAAACCGGCGACGCCAGCTCCGGCACCTGGACCTGGAGGTGCAGTCGCGCCATTGAGCGGTGCCCCTGAGAAGCCTGATGCAAAGCAAGCCCAACCGCAACCAAGTGTGCCCAGCAGCGCTTCTGCCACCGCTCCATCGGCCCCCACAATGAATGGCACTGCAACTACTACAAAACCCATCCAGGCTCCCTCCAGTAACGCACAGAAACCAGAACGGGTTGTACCAGCAATCCCCATATCTATCCCTGCAGCAAAACCTCCTGTTCCTGCGACAACCAATATCTCCCTTAACGGCACTGGGGCCTCACAAACAGCTACACACAATGCCCGTACCCCTGTAGCGATGCAAGAGGCAACAAAAGCTGCCACAGCAGCTGTTGCTGCGGCTATGGCCAAGTTACCCCAGCCGCCATCTGCTCAGGGAAAACCGCAGGGTAGTGAAGCAGCCGTTGAATCAGTAACCAAGAAAGTTGGTGAAATGAAGCCCTTCGAGGGTGAACGCCCGGCTCGTGGAGGACATCAAAATGTTCGCGGAGGACGAGGCCATCGCGGTGGATACCACCAGCCACATGTTAAGAAAGTTGAGGTTCCGAGTACCGATTTTGATTTCGAATCTGCAAACGCGAAGTTCAACAAACAAGATGTTGCCAAAGAAGCCATTGCATCGGGTTCTCCGCTCGCGGAATCCGAGGACAAGGCGACCAACGGAACAGCTGCGACAAATGGTACAAATGGAGCCGCTACATCAAGTGGAACTGTCGCCGCCTATGACAAATCGTCTTCCTTTTTTGATAACCTCTCCAGCGAAGCTCGTGACCGGGTAGAAGGTGTTCGTCGTGGGCGCCGTGGTGAAGAGGAAAAGAAAAATATGGAGACTTTCGGACAAGGAAGCGTTGATGGAGGTTATCGTGGCGGATTCAGAGGACGCGGAAGAGGAAGGGGATATGGCCGCGGTCGAGGTTCGTATGGTCGCGGGTATGGTGGTGGACGTGGAAGGGGAAATTTTCGAGGTGGACGCGATGCCTCTAATGTCACCGGTGTCGCCGCGCAAACATCGTAACCGAATTCTCACCCCCTATTATCCGTCGTTTCCACTCATGTCTTCCGTCGGATGCTCTTAATAACATTCTCGACATCGTGAGCCTGCTAGCTATAGCGACTGCTTTGATGGTATCGGTTTGAAGTGACATAGATCGAGAGCCAAAGCAGGTTCAATGGATCAAATAAACCTTCAAGCGAAACCCGAATTGCCCAAAACCACGTCCATATTTATCGGGTCAGGTATTTTGGTGGCATCCATCTTTTGACTTCCTTGCCAGCTAAATGCTGTTAAATGTTTTATTTTGTTCTCACTTTTGCCCGAGGTGTTAGGCGGCCGGTTCTGGACTTGCTGGAATGATGAGCAATGACATTGAAAATGCACTAATGTTGTTATGTTATCACCCAAATTAACTCTTTCTATGCCTCCTCGCTGAGCCAACGGTCTGTGTTGAGGGTCTTCTGTTTCCTACTCTCCATAGCCCCCAGCTGTTTTTTTACTGGTCTGTTATTACCTGCAAACCCACACCCCCTTTTCCTCCCTTTTTTTTTTTCCCCTTTCTATTTGTGGCATTGCAGATTGTTAAGGTTGCTTTTTCCCTCATTCCCATCCCTTTGATTCTTAGGGTTTTAGTTGATTTCTTGTTTTATGCATTTGCCAAAGGCCATAATGTGAAGAAATTGTATTATGGGGACGGGCATCAGGTGGGCGCTAGAACCTGTAACATATTAATCACAACAGATGTGCAATTAAAACAAAAGCTGTTGCTTCGTTTTGAAAAGGGTACGTACTCCCGAACTCCAGCTTAGTTCTCGCAGTGATCTGTAACTTCTGGGCCTGAAGAGGGATCATGGGGTAGCATCCAAAACCAAACAGCTCCAGTGCTTGTAGTATACATAGAAAGCAGAGCCTGTCCATCATCCACTTAGCTAGTTTCTCCAAGCTTGTCGCAGGCTCGTGAATCTGATTCTATTCAGGAGAAGTCAGTTTCACGTGAACAGCGTGACTTGTCCGGTCGCCCCAGGAGATCTTCATCCAACGATTGGCTGGTCGCCACAACCGCGGCTCAAGCATCCCTAGTTTACCACCTGGGAAGCATGCTGTTCGCACTGTTTCCTCTGTTGCTACCGGCCTAATATATTATGGGAGATAATCTCTTATCTTCAGAGAAATTCCAAAATTGATTAATGTTTATTTCTTTGCAAGGTGGTTTCGCACCTTGTCTTCATCTTTCCGTGACCAATTTGCATCTCCCGCCTCCACAGCCCGCCGCGATATCCGGGTTGCATACCTGTAGTCAACGGAGGAAGCATCGCCTCTTGAGTCTCCCCTAACCATGTCGGACTCCGTTGGTAAGAGTTCATCTAACCACGTTTCGAGAATCTCGGTTTATCCGTGGGAGATACGGTTGGATTTCGCCGTTCCGTGACTGACATATGCTCCTCGTTTGTTTATCTAGATCGGGTCTTTGTCCATGCACTTAATACCGTTAAAAAGATTCCACGGACGGGGTCGGCGCGCCCACCCCCCGCGGACCGTTTGAAGCTATATGGACTATACAAGCAGAGCATGGGTATTTCGCACCTTTTCCTGCCTCCCTCATTGGGCCTTCCTTTTGTGTTATTGTCACTTGTTTTTTTTTTTTTTTTTGGGCACGGAGACACGAAGCTGATAGGAGCCTTTGGCAAAACCGGTTAGAGGGGAATGTAGAAGGGGTTATGGACCGGCCAAGTGGGGATGGGGCGGATGTTCAGGCCGAGAAGGAGAAATGGTATGTGGTGGTTTGGGACAGGGTTCTCTACTTTTCCGAAATCCAAAGTGCTGAGGTACGGGACTGACTGGATATACCCATGTATAGGGATGCGTGGTACGCACAGAAGAATTTATCGCGGACGGAAGCAAAACGACGTTATATTACTACGTTGATAGAGACGATGCATCGATACGCCGCTCCAACGCCCGAGGCACGAGAGCTGATATCGGAGCTGGAGTTTGTTTGGGACCAGATAAAGTCAAACACCGCATCTTCATCTTCTTCAAGCCCAGTTCAAATGGTGAGGCCACATCATCTACACTCACACGGAAATTATGATTCAATCGGAGGCCGAATGGCGCGAGCCGATGATAATCAAATGGGGAGACATTCAGGGAGGGATTCACGATTGAGAGTCCTGAGCCCAGTCAGCCAGCCTGAAGAACAAATGATGAGAAGACGAAACTACGATCGTATGCCAGGGGAGGAGCAGGGTGACGAGGACGAGGATGATGACGAAGATGAAGAAGAGTTCCAAGAAGCACGAGACAGCTTCTACGGGGACGAGGACCAAGACGAGGATGACGTACGTCAACAGAGACCACATATAGATTTAGATATAGACCGGGAGAAGCGAAGCCGGCGATGGCGAAGACGAGTCGAGCAGGCCTTGACTAAAATGACCGCCGAAATTGCCGCTATGAGGGAACTCATGGAAACACGTGCACACCATAACGGACGCAGAAGAACTATATGGGTATGGGTGAAATGGCTGGTTTGGCTTGCGATAAAGCAAATATGCTGGGATATTGTGCTCCTCGGCGTGATATGTGTTTGGCTGAGGCTTCGGGGTGATCGACGAGTTGAAGAGAGAATAAAATACATATGGGCGGAGTTCAAGAAGCGGCTGTCCAAAGTCCGGTTTCGCAGATACTTAACCCTAGCAGAGCTCACTCTGTGAGATGGGTGTCCTGTAAATACTTTTCTACAATCTTTCATTACCTACAATATTAGATAGCGATTCGCTGTATGAATTATGTATGTACATATATAGTGAAGGCTTTCATGTTAGAATCGCCGTGAACCGTTTGAGATACAAAGAGGAATAATGCGACTTCGGGCATTCAACCCAGAGAAGACTTGAAATCCAACCAGGTATCCAGATCACTAACTACTAAGAGGAGCAATTCTTCTAAGTTCATGATCAGCAAGACGAGGCGCCTACATAACCAAGTTCGAGCCCCGGGGCCGAACCGAGGTCCATAGCAATGAGCCGCAAAACGCGTACATAAAACGGGGCCGGTTCTCAAGCCTGCGGAGAACTTATTGTCACCAGTTTTGAGTAACCCAACTTCAATGTATGGGTCTGATTTCTGTCTATGATTTAAAACAAGGCTGATCTTATCCTTATCCCTTTGTTATTGTAAGTGGGCATATTTTACTGCTTAGCAACATTCGCACGAAGGACACATTAAGGTCCACAATACGTTGCCAGAATGGCGGACTCTGAAGCAAGGAAGAAGGCCATGCAAGCGGTGCAGTCATTTCTCGATGTGTGAGGTTTACCCGTCACCATGGAGAAGAATGATTTGCTCATCCATACAACCCGTACAGCTACCGAGGGTTAATGAAGGAGAATGATTTCAAAGTACGTTTAAAGCTCTACAGGTAATTCAATCTGCTTGAAGTGAGAATCGAGCAACTCAAAAATTCATGCGATGCTAGGGATACGACCGCCAGTTGATGCATGATTTGCGGCTGATTGATGCTGAACCCACGGGCGGCGCGTTATGGGAAATGGATGTGACCGAGCACTGGGTGAATATGAATGGTATACACAAACCAACCATGCCCGTACGGAGGAGAGGATACTAAGCAACACTGGATATGAGTAGGAGTCATGCATGGAGGGGCATATGCGGTGATATTTGGTGAGTGTGAAGGCAAAAATGGGTGACCCTTGCTCGGACCGATACTAATAGAGTTGAAAAGATATGTGCACAGCGATAGCCATGAATCCAATAGCGAGAGATGGGTATTGGGAGTAATCTATCCCCTTTCGCATTGTAGTGTGCGAATGTTGAAGACCGTGGTGGCTCATTACAGTCTTCTAGGTTTCTCGCTGGCGTCACCCGTTCCCTGAACATTTCTTATCTCAGAGCTATACCTATCGGTATGTTCGCGTATTGGCTTCAAGAAATGCAGAAGCACAGCGCCTCGAATACACAACCTAATGATTATTGTAGGGACAACGGTACGAATTCGTGCAAATGTGCTTCAACATGGAAAAACAATGACGCTGCTTCGAGGTGTCATGGAATCTGTTGATGGCAAGACAATTTATGCCACAGCAGAGCATCATAAAGTCGCAGTAGACGCAAAACCTCAGCACGCAAACCGGTTAAGGAATTACCGAGCGCAAATGCAGAACGAGCCGAGTGGGAAGTTATGATTGCGATCAGTGCTCTTCAAGAACATATATATAGACACATACCTACGGCATGAGCTATGACCTTAGAGAAAAGACTTGTACCTTTTGGTCACTATAATTGGAAATTATCCGCACGAACCGTTTCTCCATTTTATGAACGCCAGGTTTTGGAGACGGAGGTTTATGACTGGAACCCCGTGGCCGGAAAAATAGAACTTGATGATTTCAAACGACAGGAATAGTTTTTCGCGACACAACGCGCGTGGGAACAGCATAGTGCTGCGAATCCACACGGAGAGGAAGGCATCGCGATGCCTGGTCAAGTGCAAGACGGGCCCGAGAAAAGCGGGGATAAGATTCTATAGGAACAGACGGAAAAAAAAAAAGAAAAGGATAACGACGCGATCATTTCGATATATACATCACGGAATCAATTGTAAATGAAATCTACCATTGCGGGGCTTGGGAATTGGCGAATATCTGCTTTCTCCTGAGGTGCACTGGAGTTTGACCTTCGGGAGTATCAGGGATGACCTTTTTTAGTCCCTGTAGGGAAGAAAACGCCCGTTAGCACAGGATTAACGTAAAGGATAGGAGCATAGGTGCGGGTCGGCCTTGAAAGGAATACATACGAGCTTGTCAAAGACGCAAGCGTTGAGCTTCTGTTCGGGGCCCCGGCAATGCCAGAGCTGCTGGTTGTTGTTTTCAAGACACTCCCAATGGCCACGGAATTCCTTAAGACAGTGTGTGTTGATATCTTTTAGCCTGTGACATCAAATTCAATAAGCAATTATTCCCCGCCAGTCATGCCATGGACGAGCAATGGACGTACACGCTCGCGGCACAGCGAGTGACCTTGCGGCCTTCTTTCAAACATTCCAATTCTCCTTTCCCATTTGCCTCCTCCTTGCATTTCATGTAGTCGTCATTGAATGCTTTGCATCGATCGCCAATAAAATACGAGGCACTCATCAAAGGCGCGGAGCTCGCTCCAATTTCTTCCACCTTCGGAACCTCATCGGGCATGGGCGTGGTGTCGATGAGGACATGTTGATTGAATCTACGAGCGCAGCAGTTAGCGACCACAGAAAGAATGAAATGACAAGAATTGATCGCATTTACCTAGCCTGCCGGTTGCCGGACATTTTGGCGGTTAGACAGTCACTCTCTTTGCAAGTGGGAGATAAGATCGATCCGGTCAGATCTGGAGGTTGAATGTCGGCGGCCAATGTTCTGCTGTTCGCTGATTGGCTGGAAGGAGCTCACCACTCTGCTGACATAATCAGCCCACGGACGAGGAGCTGAAGCGTGGACGGACAAGAGAACAGCTCGCGTCGACCTCCAGACAGGATCGCTTTTACGATGCGGACGGGAGAGCGGTTTCGCTTTTGCCAATTTCAAGATTGGTTGGGCTACTTCTTCCCTTCTTGAACCTCCCGTCTCTTGAACCTCACTGATACCATGCATGTAGATGGATTAGTACATAATTTGTGCTCATCCACCACATTTTTGACGATAGGGTTCTGATATACATACAAACAGGAAACTATCCAGCATGCCGACAGCCGGTTCTGCAGCTGGATGTAAATGAATTCACTGCAAGATCTTCTTTGAGAGCTGCAACAGCATTGCTTGATTATTAACCAGGCACATGATTTTGGGTGACTGAGGTCTGCTGGGAAGATGCCGCTGCAGGACCTTGCCGTCGTTCCACTCGCCAAACACTTGATCCAGAGGAAGTCACAAGCAAGACTGCTCACCAACCGTCTGGCCAACCGCCGACAGACCCCCCTCTGGAGCTTCAAACTTCCTTCTCTCAATGTGTCTTTCTTTGCTTGCTCTTGATCGCAGTGGTTTCATACTAGATACTGCAACTATCTCCCTTTGAGACTGCAGATATAGCAAAACACATAAAATGGAGGAGTAAGAGGATGCCTCCCTTTGTTTTCTCACCTGCTTTTAATTGCTAACAGCCCACAGATATGAGCTTGTTGGCGCGCAAGGTAAGTAATGCATATTCTGACACTGCCTCTAGACTTCTTTTCCACCACTCCATGTGCGTTCAAGAACCGACTAACAAACAATAGAATGGTTATTGGATGGAGATGAGCCTTCACCAAAGCTTTCAAGAATCAGCTCTTACCGAAATGACCCTCCTGAAGGTGTCACCTCAGCTGATCTTAAAGACCCAGCTGGTGGCCAACAAATTTCTCTTCCTCGTGTCCAAAGCGGCTTTCAATTCCCAAAAAATTCGATATCCGCTGTCTCTCTGAATAGACCATCTCCAGTTCAAACTGGAATTCAAGCTCCCATCGTCAACAGGAATATACCTGCCCAGAATGAACCAGCGCCAGCAGGCGGAATTGCACCGCCATCATTGGCAAATCGGACACGTGCTGTTTGGGTCAAACAAAAAGGTGTACATGGAAAACCTAGCCAGCGAAATAGGAGTACGGCGCAACCCCAAGATACACCAGCTCAAGCAGCTTGGAGGGCGGGCCTTCCTCACACTGGTATGCTTACTGTTCATATGACTCTTAGGTAGCCTTTGCTTAGTGCTTTAGGTCGTATCGATCTCCCTTTTCAGTACAGGCAGTTAAGACAAAAGTACGATCCTGGAAAAAAAAGACTTGAAAAACGCGTTGAAGCTTACTCAATGTCTAGGATCATGAGCCATAATAAACTTCGAGCCCCCGAAGAAGTGGAAAAGGTCCTTTTCGAACAAGTAATGGCAGAGACCGGTGCCTTCATTCCGCCTCCGCCGAACTCTGATCAGGTTATTATGTTACCCAATCAATAAGGTATATTATCGCTGATATACTGTTTACAGCACATAAGAGTGTGGGGCACGTCAGACCAGGTTAGAAAGGCTCGTCTCCTGATTTCACGAGCCCTGGCTGTGTTCAAGCCGCCGGAAGCACAGGCCAAAAAGAAGTCGGCCCAATTTGTAAAAATTCAGTCTTATTCTGAACAGAAGGAGAAGATGATCAATAAAGTTGAAAAGCACGAATCTGTTCTGCAGCTCCTCAGGCAGAAACCGGACCCATCGGCTAGATTTCCAGAGACGGTACGCTCTACAGGTTGTCCTTTTAATGGGGATCATGGACACTTACATTGTTGCAGCTAGCTTTCCTCTGGCCAGCCGATGAGCTTCCGATCGAGTCGTCTCTTGGACCACGGTTAGAGGCCCTTGATCCGCTCCGAGTGGAATTTGGTTGTCCAATCTATGTTGATGATGAGCTGCCGAGTTATATCCGTGTCGATGCTTATGATCATGATACTATCCTTAAGATTGTAAGCCGGCTCCGCGCTGAGTGGATAAAACTATTGGCTACCATCCATGTCAAAATTAAGCTCTACCTTGTTCAACCTCCCAGGGTCTTTACGGACTGTGAAGTTCAAGTTAAAATGCCACGCTCTGCTAACGGTGTTGTCCTCTCTACCCCTGTTCTTTACGGCACCCCCCTAGGTCCGAATGGAGTTCAGAGCCAAGGGGATAAGAGGGAGTTGATTCGTATGAAAAATGAAAGCCGATTGCGAGATGCGGTTGAGCATTCATTAAGAGGCCTCCGATTTCTCAGAGGCCATGTTCGAATGCGTGTAAATTTCGGACTTTTTGTGCTCGACGACTATCGCATCCCGCAAGGGAAGCCTCGATACTCGTATGAAGAATTTAGGTCTATGCTTTTCCACTCGAGGACAAAAGGCCATTTGATTCCTGGGTAAGGTACTCTCCTACGATTTAGATGTTACCTGATTAACCAAGTGTTGTTGCTCTAGGCTTGACTTTAAACAAGGCGACCAGGATATTTTGACTAGGATTGCCGCTGCAACTAACCTCCTTTCGCCCTATGAAGTTACATCGTTGTCTCTTGAAGATGCGAAGCCTTTATACGCGGTAAATTTTGAATTTGCGGGAGAGGACGGCTCTATATTGCGACTTGAAGCCGAATTTGCAAAGTCTCCGGCGTCGGGTTTATTCGAAGTTTTCCAGAGGCGTTGGATACGGCCACAAGAAGAAGGTAGATTTGGGGATCATCGCCCACCACTACACATAGGTGTCATTGATTTTGAAAGGTATGAATTGTGGGATACATGGTGTGCGACGACAGTTCTCTGACTTTCTCCAAGCTCTGATTGGCAGCTCGAGATTTGCGCTGTAGACTTCCAAGCACCCTCAAGTATTGCACAGGCGCTAAGAGCATTTTCGCATTCAATCCAGTTTAAACCTGGTGCTGATCTGGACCTACGTGAAAATACTACACGGAAAGTCACATTTTCAAACGCTGTTCCAGTCAGCAGACTTGTTGAAAAGACTGCATTACGCTACCGACTGAACGGCACCAGCTATATTTTGGAGGTTGCGCGCTACGATGAGTATTTTCGCGCGATGCCGGGCACTAATGAATTAACAGAACACCCAGTGGTCTCTTGGGGCGCCTCGATTTTCGACCTACAGTGGGATAATGTGCTTGGACAGCATGCAAATTTTCGACTCGGCCATACAGCGGATTGGGTCCCATCTTTAAGAACTTTTTTCCCTGATATTAATACTCCGGATCTACCTGGTGCATGTACAGGTTTTGATCAGTTCATGGAACTCCTCAAACGTGTTTCAGTGGTGCTTTGCCCCGGGCCCAAGAGTGGTACCGTAGTGCCGATGAATCTCGCTTCCAACCAACGTACGGCGAGTTCATCAGCCCTCGCTATTGGGACTAAGGCAAGGCCTGGAAATTCATCAAAGGGTAAGTCTTGGGCTCAAATTGCTAAATAGCGATCGAATCAAAACGAAGAAAAAGTGCGAAGCAGAGATTCCAACTGTTATTGTGGTCAATTTCTAGCAGCAGTAGTGGGATACCAAACCACAGAAATACCATAAAGCAAAGATGTCGCGTATTTTTCATTTATACTTTCTGGACTTATTGCTCTATGTTATCAGTTTCACGTCACAGCCGTGGCATCAGCATATTCAATAGCCAGAGTAAACTCCTTATTACAATATCATTGCCCGTCTCCCAGGGCCATTGGTTTCAAGATGATTCAGAGATTAAGGTATTTTGGGGAAATGGTGGCATTTTTTGGTAGATATGAGCGTGACTGATACATTATGCACCCCCTCCACCTCCCGAAGAACTCGGCACAGCAGCCCCTTCGCCAGCAAGAAGCTTCTGCCGCAAGACTACGAGCATGTCAGTATACGTTCGGGGAATTGTCCATATCCAATGTGGCGGGCACATCTGACTCTGTGGCGAAGAAGAATATACATACCATCTTCAATGACTCTATGATTGGTAGTTTTTGCTTGCAGTACTTTCTCCAGATCACGTAAGTTTGTCTGCAACTCCTCTACCTTTCCGTTGTAGAATTCAATAGCTTTGGAGGTCGACTAGATTTGAGCAAATCCCGTCAGCAAAAGCCATAGCCTTCTTGCAAATCAGTTTAACAGTAAAAGTGAACCAGATCAACGTATGATAAGTCGGCTTTGTGAGGGGGCAAACGACTAAATTGATTTATATCGTACTTTCTCAACGTAAAACCCCGTTCCAACATCGACGATAACTTTCTCCCTATCCGCAAGCTGGCCCTTGACGTATAACGAATTGGTCAGCGGGACTAGTATCTCGCTCTTCCCCTTGGCCTTTTCGGTTGCACTTTTGACCACGCCATCGTTTATTGAGCGAATGCATTCCCGAAATTTGGATTGCGCTGTGCGTAGCTTGGCGTGTGAGGTGGTGAGATGTTCGAGTTCGGTGCTGAGGCGGGTTTGGAGAGCGCGAAGTTGGGGAACAGAGAGGGTAGTAACGTCCACTATAAGGGAGAGAAGGTAACGGGGTTAGAATTCATAATTCACCGTAGGATGTGTGTAGGAGGTGGTTTTGGAGAAAGATATTTACCTGCTCCGGCGGGTTCTGAAGAGCCTGACGGTTTGGACATTTTGTCTGGATGCAGGCTAATGGGAAAGCAGCATGGACTTGCAGTGGAGAGACGACCCTGGCCTACAGGAGCTGCTGCGGAAAGTTCTCCGTCAAAAAGCAGATTGTTTGTATACCCTTTGTGCTTTCGGTCTAAATATTTACATGCGAAGGCCAACCTTGTTCTGGTGGGGGAGTGAAGCTTGGTTGGCGCCGATTGGGGCGCTTGAACCTCTCCAAAGACCAGATCTGGTACGGAGTACGGAGTACATTCAATCTTCCCCTTCAATATAATCTGGTTACACGGAGTCCATGGAAATGCTATTTTGACAATGGTGTCGCATCTGGATTGAACAATGCGATTCCCTTCCTTCGTGTTCGGCTTGTGACAACGTCGGATACATCAGCTACGTATTGAATGGTTAACCCTCTGCGTGGTAGACCGATACACCACGACGTCATCCATACACTATTAGCTGGGTATAACCCATTGAATGGATGCACGAAAATGGCTATTTACCTTTTTAATGGCGTTCTATAATTTCTAGGATTTGGAGATTCAATAGTTTCGCCTCGAGATGAGAAGACCCAATGAGGCGCACGAGCTCCCTCTAGGAGCCATAAGAAAAAGGTCCAGCAACAAATGGAAAAGTCGCATCGAAGGCATGCCTGATCACTCGGAATGAAATTGCGCGGTAAGGGCTGCAATTCTCATGGCCCGAATGACTATGGGCAAGTGATTGCTCGTGCGGCGTGTCTACTGGCCAACCGGAATTTCCTCCCGTCCAAACTGGTGTCAGGAATTCAACTCACTGGTGAGCCCAAGGTGCCAGCCAGAGAGTGTTCATTCTTTTGGCTCAGCGAGTCAGTGTTCTAGACAGGTGTGTTGTCGGCCCTGTGCATCCTGGGTATTATTTCCCTTGGGATATTTCATCTCAAAATGATGGCTTCTGATTACTCAAGAAAAACCCCTACCGACAGCTATCCAATATCCCTTTCCGAAATGCCCACGAGTTTTCAAGGCTGGTCTGACTCGACCCCGCTACTAAAAAGACCGTTTATTTGGGCAAACTGCCGTACCTGTTGACCGTGAGCGAAGAAAACATGTTCCCCTTCATTATTATGATTTAGGAAATTTTGCAAGCAAGATTCGATTCCACCGAATGAATCCTTAGGCAAGCCATTCACTGCTAAGCGCGGATCAACTTCTTAGTATTTAGGCCGCAGGGGTTCATTAGATATCACAATCTATACACCATTTGGACATGAGTAGGTGAATGTCGGCCTGTAGAATCAAATATCCCCTACAATGCAGCAAGCGTATCGCACATATGTATTGAGATCTCCTAAGAACCTCCTGAAAGTCTCCAAATGGGGGAAAAGCTGGTAGTGGTTCATATCTAATCATCCAAAGTTGTTTGAGCCGGAGGCTTGACCATTCGCGTTGCAGCTTTTGGGTCTGCTGCACACAAGAATTAGGGTAATGCTTTAATATTTATGTTTGATGTTGAGAGAAAAGATTGCTGCCCCTTGCACAATTTGGGACACAGAAAAGAAGGTTTGGTGAGCCTTGTGAGCCTACTTTTTGAGAATTTAACAACAGCAGATATGAGAGCCACAATTAAGAGAATTAGGTAAGGTGGATAAATTCAGAAATGCCACAACATACTATGGAGTATACATATCAGCATATCCCAAAAGAATAATGAGCCTATGCCCATACAACGCTCATTTAACCAAGCTTTCACTAAACTCCGAACAACACCGCTGGTCTATTATTGTACATGCATACCATACCACCTGGATACCAATATACTCCCTATAACTTGTCAAGGAGTGAGGAAATAAAGGATGGAAGCTCATCGAGGGAGACATCGGTTCGAAGATTATTTAATCGTCGACATTGGACTTCCACGTTTCGATGGCGTTCCCACGATTTCCCGACAACACAGATCACCGGAATGCCAGTAAGGTCGGCGTCTTTTAGTTTCCGGATAAGAGGCCGTTCTCGATCGTCCAAAATTGTATCTATTGAGCCGTTGTGATACGAGGCTATATGGTCGTATATCTTTTTGCTGTCTTCCTGGAAAGCTAGCCCAGGAACGATTATGGCGGAAAACGGCGCCATTGCTCGCGGCCAGTTGAGGCCCCTTGAATCAGCGAGAATATCAGCCACAGCTGCAATCATGCGGGAAACGCCAATTCCATAGCAGCCCATTTGCAGGGGAACGACAGATTTAGGGGACTCCTTCGCTCCATCCGCATTGACTGACTTGGCAGGATCAATAGCCACAGTCGCTTGCAGCGGCGAACTATATCTCGTGCCCAGAAGGAACGTATGGCCCATTTCAATGGTAGTGTGAGTTGTGACTACACCATCTTCGCACTTAGAACACCGATCCCCAGATTGAACACGGACGAAATCGAGATCATGGTCAGTTCCTGGAAACTTAGTAATTGAAGAAAAGCTAATTTTCTTCTTTTCGGCGGTTTTGCTATCCAACAAATCATTCAAAGGTGGCCTGTCATAAGGTCGTACGCGGAAGTCGTATATATCCAAGACATTAAGACCCTGAGATTCAGCTTCAATACTGTCATGTTGCAGCTCAGTTTCCATACTTTTGCTTTGCAATTGAGCCTCGGCGTCGTCATCTTGTGCCTCAGTTTCCATATCCCTGGCCTGCAACTCAGTGTCAATACCGTTCTCAGCCCGTGCTCTCCAGACGCCTGACGCATTCTTGATGGCAAGGTCGAGAAAAACTCCATGAGCAAGTGCAATTGATCGGACGGCGTGCGGATTGACCTCTCGTTCGACCGGTTCCGCTGTATTTTCGTTCAACAGGTACTTTGGGTAGTATGCGCGGATGAGAGTCCTCCTATCTTTAGAAACAGCTGTCCACACCCCGGTAGAGATTGCTGCAGCTAGAGACTGGCCCAATGGCCCAGGTCGAGAATAAGGAGGACTCGACTCTCTTCTGCTCGCGAATTTGGATGCATGGCCATCAGTTAGCTCTTCATTAAACTTATAGTTACATTTAGAGCAACTGACGACAATGTCCTCGCCCTTTGAGTTTTCCAAGTGGAATTCATGGTTCAGATTTCCGCCCATGTTCCCAGAGTCTGCTGCAGCAACTATATACGGAAGCTTCAGTTCATCAAAAAGCCGTACGTAGGCTTCCTTAACAGAATTGTAAGATTTCATAGCCTCCTCGGTGCTATAATCAAACGTATAGAGATCTTTCATCAGAAATTCACGTGCTCGTAGTAGCCCTTGGCGAGGCCGACGTTCGTCTCTGTATTTTCTAGCTAGAGTTTGAAATGTATGTTAGCAGAACGTCCATTACAGTCAAAGCAGATAAAACTTACAAATCTGGTATACTCGCAGTGGAAGTTCTTTGTATGAGTTGGTCAAGCCACCCACGAGTTTGGTTATCTCTTCCTCATGGGTTGGTGCAAGAAGGAAAGGTGCATATTTTCGGTCAAGAAATCTGAATACCTGGCAGGAAATACCGTTCTTAGTAGCCATCCTTATATGGACCCAGCATGACCTAAATACCTCAGAATCATCATGCAGTCTCCCGGATAATTTCCATAGGAGCTGCGAGGATAAAGCGGACAGAAATAACTTTGACGCCCCTTTATCCCGAGATAAAATGTAAGTCTCTATAGAAAATCGGGGGCAATACAGTGACGTTATATACCTAGAGATTCCATGTGCTTATCAATCAAGTTTTCTAATTTCTTCTGGACTCGGAGGCCTAACGGAAGAAGGTGATATATCCCTGCATAGGCCTGTTTCGCTTATCAGAACGTGGGCGCGGATAACGCGAAGAGGTATCGGCTCCCAGTCGTACCTGACGGATAAATCCAGCCTGGACCAACAGCGCCGTAGAATCTATAGGATACGCTGTTAGTCACCTCCCGGGAACTCCTTCCAGCACTCAACATGCCTTGCGCGGCCAGGTTTTTGGGTACGGGAGCAATTGGCACCCAAATTTTGGATCGTAAGTTTCTCGGCCGATCCTACATATCTCTAATGTTTAGACATAGAACTCAAGCCCGCGAGGGCAGGTTGGAGTGGCCATACATGAAGCCGACGCCGAATTAGCCTGAAATCCCAGGTCTGGGATGGGTTCCATTTGCGAAAATGGCCTACCCCGAACCGGGGATAGAATAACATAGAACCAGACATAATCAGCAATGCCGCTGGAGCATCGGGACGGCCCGACAGCAGCAATTGAAGAAGATATCTCCCATCCAGTCAAGCTCGAGGCGATTGATTCTGGCGAAAGTCGTCAAGCTCTCGTCATGCTCTCATCAACATTTTGGCGGAGAATGGATGATCCGGAAGCGTATGCACGTGATCTGGTGATATTCAGGTGAAAGAGAAGTTTATTTTGCCAAGAAATATCGCAAATATCAGATCGAAGCCTCGCTTTCTTTGGCCAGCAATCACAATGGCGAAGGGCAAGGGAAAAAGGGCGTTCGAGGCTGGTGATATGGCTGCAAGCGGACAAGGCAACTCCACCAGCAATACTGGTGCTGCGGACTCCCTCCCGGATATCTCAGGCGCGTCACTCGCGAGCCTCACGAAAAGAATAGAACTAAAACTGCACGAGAACCAGAAATCGAAAGCCGATCCGAAGAAAGCTTCTTCTCTGGCGAAGAGCAGTAAGCAGAAGCGTGACTCGAGTTCCGGAGTGCAGCCTCCCACAAACAACAAAAAGGGCAAGAAAAGGGACAGGAGCGGACAGGTCATCCAGAAGCATCCACCCAATACCAAAAATGTGCAGGTTGATGATGTTCTGGAACAAGAAATTTACGCTGTTGGTGGTACGAAGGAAGACTACGAATTACTTGCCGCTGTGGAGTCTGACTCTGAAATGGAAGACCTGGCCGATGGATTGACGGGGTTGATCGGAAAGCGCGCCGACGCGGAAGCTCTTCGCCAGAACATTGAAAAGATCATGAAAGGAGGCGACATCCCTGCGGAACCTTCGCGTGGAGCTAAGGAGCCTATTGCATCGAATATAGATCCGAGTCAGCGGCAACGCAACTCGACAGAGAAGCAAACCAGCAAACAGCTAAAGCAACCTGAACCCAAAAAGGAGAACGAGAAGGCATTGGACCAAAAGTTATCTCGGCCTAAGAAATTGAGCTCGTCGAACCTTGTATGTCTAATACGTACTCTCTTTTTAATTCGCACTTGCTAACCCATCTCCCCAGGTTCTTGATCCACGTCCGGACTGGTATTCGAGCCCTCTCCCCGAGATAACGGCCGACGGAGAAAGGCGATCTAACATCCCACGCCCTGTGCTGGACCATATTCGCGAATATGCATCATCCTTGTTGGAGGTAGAGAACAAAGCATATGTCTCCTCCCGCGAAGCCTCATCGTCTTCGACTTACAAGTTTTATTCCACCATCGTGTCATCCGGGACACTGAGTGATAAAATATCCGCTTTAACTTTGGAAGTTCAGGCATCGCCGCTGCATAATGTCAAGGCACTCGAACAGTTGGTCGGTTTAGCAAAGAAGCGGAGCCGAGCGCAGGCTGTTGAAGTTCTAAGATCGTTAAAGGACTTATTTGCCCAAGGGACCTTGCTTCCCAGCAACCGAAGGCTAAAGTATTTTATTAACCAGCCAGCCTTGGGCACGGCTCTCTTTGGCTTGAACAATTGGAGCTCAGCAGATCCTCTACCTCGAGGTCTAGAGCGGAGCCACCTTATTCACTGGGCATTTGAAGATTTCCTCAAAGAGCAATACTTTGAAGTTTTGAAAATCCTCGAGGTATGGTGCAATGATGAGATCGAGTTCTCGAGGTCAAGAGCAGTCAGTTACGTCTACGAACTACTCAAGGAGAAGCCAGAGCAGGAGTCAAACCTCTTACGCTTACTTGTGAACAAACTCGGAGACCCAAGCAAGAAGATTGCCTCCCGCGCCTCCTACTTGCTTCTTCAACTCCAGCAAGCTCACCCTTTGATGAAAGGGACAATAATTTCGGCGGTCGAGTCAGAATTACTTTTCCGCCCTGGGCAAAGTCAACATGCCAAATATTATGCAGCCATTACCCTTAATCAGACAGTGCTTAGTAGCAGCGAAGATAAGGTTGCCGAAAAGCTTCTAGATATATACTTCAGTTTGTTCGTTTCAATTCTGAAGGCCGGCAAAGAAGGTCATGATAAATTAGCCGATAAGCAGGATAAAAAGCCTGCCAAACTCAAGGGGAAAAAACATCGCAGTCTGGCCAAAAATAACAGCCAAGAGGATGAATTGAGAGAAAAACTTATTTCTGCTGTTCTCACTGGGGTCAATCGAGCCTATCCGTTTACTGCATCTAGCACTGAGAGGTATCTCCATCCCCTATATTGGATGCGGTCTTGATTCTAACTTCTAGATGTCAGGCTCACGAATCACATTAATACACTTTTCCGCATTACCCATTCTTCCAACTTTAACACCAGCATACAAGCCCTAATGCTTATTCACCAGCTATCATCTTCTCACAAAGTATCGGCAGACAGGTTTTATCGAACGCTGTACGAATCGTTGCTAGATCCCCGTATTACAACATCTTCGAAGCAGGCTTTGTATTTGAACCTTCTGTACAAAGCGCTAAAAGCGGATGTAAACTTGAAGCGAGTTAAGGCGTTTGTTAAGCGGCTGGTTCAAATTCTCACTTTACACCACCCATCCTTCATCTGCGGTGTTTTTTATTTGATAAGGGAACTAGAAGTAACGTTCCCTGGCTTGACTACATTGGTAGATCAACCGGAATACCACGAGGATGACGATGAGGAAGTTTTCAAGGATGTTCCAGAAGAAGATGAACAAATTGTTGAAACTGTTTTAGCCCCTAAGGAGGCTAGTAATACAGCACCTGGCTACGACTCTCGAAAAAGGGACCCTGAACAAAGCAATGCTGACAGAAGCTGTCTTTGGGAACTGGTATGAGCCAATATCCTCGATAAAGAAAATTCAAAATGCTAACGTACTCGCCCATAGCTCCCATACTTATCGCATTTCCATCCTTCGGTCTCAGTTGGCGCTAGTCAACTTCTACAACACCAAAAGATGTCTGGAAAACCAGACCTTACGATTCACACGCTTTCCCATTTCCTAGATCGATTTGTGTACCGCAGTCCAAAAACATCATCCAACTTGCGCGGATCTTCAATTATGCAGCCGCTGGCTGGCGCCGATACCAGTGCCCTGCTCGTTACATCCGGAAATACCACTAGAGCCCACGAATCCGTCAACAATGAAGCATTTTGGACAAAGAAGACCGAAGAGGTCGCTGCAGAAGACGTTTTCTTCCACGCTTACTTTAATCGTGTGGCTAAGGATAAATCGAAGAAGAAGCCCAAGAAAACTGCAAAGGACGAACATGACCTGGACGATAGCGACGCCGAGTCAGAGGTCTGGAAGGCTCTTGTTGATTCGCGCCCGGAACTTGAGGGTGGTGCGGGAAGTGATGATGATCTTGACCTGGAAGATTTGGAGTCCGCCATGGAAGATGAGGAAGATGAAGATCTTGGAGGAGATTTGTCGGGCGATGAAGACGTCATTTTCAATGATGAGAGTTCTGAAGGAGAACAGGAAGATCATGCCGGTCAAGCTGACGAAGACGAATTCGAAGGTTTCGATGAAGAAGACGCATTTGATATGGACGTATCAGATGAGGATGCCTTCCGTGATAGTGACGAGGATATTCCTTCTGATTTCGATATGGGCGTTGACGAGGAGCAGGAGAAGGAGACCGGGAAAAATCAGTCTTCTCGAAGAGAGAAGAGACGCAAACTTAAGCATTTGCCCACTTTCGCATCAGTCGAAGATTATGCTGCCCTTTTGGATCAGGAGCCTGACGAAAATGTTTGATATTTCATGTACCTCGATTTTCAGAGCCGTATCAAAAAAAAAGTACTCATCTATACCCGCATGACATTTTGACAAGCTCGAGTCAAACTCCCGCTGCACATTCCACAGCAACTTAGATTATTGACATAACAAGGCGAGACAAGATTCACTGTCTGCTACAGAAACCCGCGAGTGCCTAAGCCTGGCATTCCCAGCTCATCCTGCAAGTCACTATGGAACTCCTCGTCATTATTGCATGCACCATTACCTTCTTGCGAATCAACCTCCATCTTCCTTAGCCTGGCAGAGATCACTACACAAGCTTCGGACCATGCGCAGATAGTCCCCCCCAGACCCTCAAATAAGCTGTAAGGACTATCTGGCATCCGGTACCGCCCGCCACCAGCCTCTTGCATGATGAACGGTGGCGTTTTTCGCGCTTCAAGCAGCATAGCTATCGCCCGGGAGAGATAATAATCACCTGAGAGTTCCTTATGCGGTACGCTAGAGGTAACTTGCTTAAAGCAGTTTTTGGCTTCCTCAGAGCCCTGTGCGCCATATTCAAAAGCATCATGTAGCATAAGCAATGGCCATGCGTTACCTGCGATGCCATGACATAGAGAACCACCTTTATAAAGGAGCCCCTGTTCCCATACTTTTTCGCTTGCGAGGCAGATCGCCTCATCCCATTCTGGTCGCCAGTATGATGCTGCGAATGCGGCATTTTTTCGTGCATTTGAGAGGAGGATCAAGAGGCCTGGCGCTCCGTGGCAGATCTGAACAAGTGGTGATGTGCGAGAAGAGGAGCGGTGAGGCACTGAGGAAGGCAAGTGGCCGTGGTTTAGAATACAGAGGTTGCATAGGGCGTTAATTGTTTGGGCGATGACGGGGATATGACTGTGAGAATGTCCTGCTCGAAGTTCTTCAGGTTCGCATGCGAGAAGGACGTCAAGAATTCCGCCTACGGATTGTTAGTTTTAACGAGGGTGCACGGGGGATTGACATTCTCACATGTGCCATGAATGCTTCAATCAAATCCCCAAGGTCAGTAATGGATTGATGCATAGCGATATGCATAAGCGGGAAGAACTTACGCGCCAATATAATACTTATCGTGCCATGACCACATAAGCGGCATATACTCCCGCTCTCCGTATAACTCAAGGTAATCTCTTGCTCCAAGCTTACCCCCGCTCATAATGGAGTCAATAAGCTGTGGTACCTTTTCGAAGACCGCTGTCAGTGCCTCCACAGACTCGATGTTGAGCCGTAGCTTGCGGATGTTCAATATAGCGTGTAGTAACCCAATACGACCGTAGAGAAGTTCATCTCCGCCTCTCACATCGCCTTGGTGCAGAGCAACATGCATAGCATCTTGGACTTCAGCAATATCCCGTTTATGAATACGACATTGTCCATCTTCAGAAAGAGAAGCGAGGCCTCGGCCGGCCGCTAAAATTCGTACGACTGCCGCGCCAAACGAGGCAGAGTCAAGCGGCGATAACCTTCCGGCACGGTGATTGACCTTCATAATATGGGGATTCAATCTCGAGCTTGCAAGACGCTGTGTCTCTGAGACCAAACTATTGATAGACATATTTTCGGCCCGGAAATACTTGGCCTGCCGCTGAAGCCTCAGCGCCATAAGCACCGTACCTAAACGCAATTGTTCAACCTAGCCCTACTGATTCCCTTTTATTCTTGGGTTAAGAGAAAAGCAAGCCTACCGAGATGGCCATCGTAAATGGTTCCAAATGCACGACTATCGTTAGCGTCAGGTGCTTTGTCATGGGTCAATAGGATTTCAACTCCTTGCCTCACTGCTTCACAAAGCTGTGACAAGGCAAGTGTCAGAGATTCCTTCTCAATTGCAACCAGCTGCAGATCGTTGCTAAAGTACTGAGGCCTAGAAGTAGCCATTCTCTGGGAGGTGAAACTGTATCCGCAGAATCGGCAAGCTTCCTCGGTGTCTAGCTCGTTTGAAAGGATTGTAACGGAGACAACAGAGCGGATTGACTTGGGCGGGAAGCCCACATCTGCGACCGATCCCTAAGGCAGTATTTATAAAGACCAGGATCGAATACCGTCAAGCATCCTCCTCAATCAGAACTCCACCTGATTATCAATCCATTACGAGAGCGCCCGTCGTGAGGTTACCTCGATTCTCCCTTTTTCGCGCGTTGCTGCGCGACGGCTTAAACGGTGACGTCATCCGATTAGTCGTGATTCGGGTCGGTTTAACTATCTGCCGGGATAGATCCAACCAGCCGCTCAGTCCCGTGAAACACGTAAAGAGTCAAATCTCAAGGACCCGATCATTCAGGACAGGTTAGAAGCCAAAACATTAGAGCCTTGCCGCGGTTCCTAACCAATCCCTATTTCCTAGCGACATAGGGATTGGTTAGGAAATAGGGATTGGTATAGGAACCGTGGCAAGGCTCTAATGTTTTGGCTCAGCTAAACGACAAGCATACAAATAGGATTCGAACCCATACTCCGTTCAGTAAGATTCAAAGTCATTATACCAGTCAGCATCTCAAAGGCCGGGGAATAGTAGTTATTCCACTTGAAGGGCGCGCCGACATCAAACAACTATGCCGTATTATTACGGATAGGGACATCCCGCGGCCCTGGGACGTGCAGGTTTCTACCTCTCCCGCCTCGTTAAGCGTCAACTCGATGGCTGAGAGAGATCGGGGTGGCCGCAACGCTTTTGCTCTGCCCCCCCTTTTTCTTCCCTTGGCGTTGATTTTGCTGCCCGTTGCCCCGCATAATTTTAGGGCTCGGTCTTTTGGCCCGCTCCTCGGCGGTATAAACTTCAAACTATCACGCGAAAAAATGAAGTCAAGCATTCCGCTGCCGGCTGATTGGCATGATAGGGCCTCACGACTAATCCTTTTGAAGCAAGATGAAAATATTTCAACGGCCTAATTGGAACCTTGACTATTTTTAATTCCCTGATGCTCCCATTGTTAAGAGGAAACGGTGGCAGCGCACCGTTCCTTTGGATGGAACGTGACTCGTATGCCACGCCATCATGCAGGCTGTTAATAGCCCGATTCCTTCTGGGGTTGGGGTTGGATTTCCAGCCCCCATGAATTCATGAAGTGGTTCAAGAGGGGAGGCATGTCCGTAATGGCGACAGAAACTTGTCCATGCCTGACTATAACTTGGTTTTCAAAGCAAAAGAGTGACCTAGGTTGGCTCCCCAAATAGTTAACAAATATCCGTCATGGGTTCTCCAGAAAACCCCGGCGAGGAAGATCTCGATCAAATGTGGAACGAGGCCCAGATTGAGTTCCAGAAAATAAGGGGAGGGATCCGAAATCATTCACCGTCCTTAGAGTGGATGAAGTCATTGCAAAAATTAGCCAGAAAAAAGAAGCTGATGAAAAAGCGAGTGCGAGATACCGGCGAGCAAAGGATGTTGTCAACAAAACTCTCTTATGCATTCAGAATCTCGGTTCACTTGCTGCCGATGCAGCATCCAACGTAAGATCAACCCTTCAAGATCTCTTTCCACTTCCCTCCTGAATCTTGCTGGGTGTAGGCTTTTGGCCCTTCAACTCTTTGTTTCAATGCTGTATCGTACCTGATCACTCCTGCACAAAATTATTCCAAGATTTTCGATGGCGTGGCCGACCTCTTCGAGCGCATTCCAGCATTCCTTGACGGGTTTGAAGTATACGCCAGGTCAAAAACCATAGGTGTTCAGATTGACCTGCATCTTCGGAGGATCATTCACGAGCTTTTACGAAGTTTCATACGAATCTGCGCGCTCTCAATTAAAATATCCAAGCATTCCAAAGTTCTCTAGCTCTTGAAGTGTTTAGTTTTGGAACCGACAAGTGGGTCTCCGAAGAGCTGTCGAAGCTTGAAAACTTGGTGCAACAAGAGACAGGAATGAGGGTTGCACTGATTCTGGAATCGGTCAAGGTGAATGAATCAAACGTGGCTGCCGGGTTTGCCGAAACCAAAGGATCGTTAAAGACAATCGATTCGAAAGTTGATGGAATCGCCAATCAGCTGGCGGGTGTTTCAAACGTCTTGGAGAAGGCGGCAACACTGAAGGAGGCGGATGACTTTCCCGGCAGAATCGCGAAAAATTCAAGCAAGCGCTTAAAATAGAAAAGGAATTGTGGCGCAATGATCAAGAGGAATTCGTCTGAACAAGAGTCTGCGGCTCGGGTGAATGGCTTCTTACGGACCCTCAGTTCGCTGCCTGGGCAGATAAAACAGGGTATGCGGTTCCAATTCTGGCTTTCGAAGCCAAAGACGGTTTTGGGAAAAGTTATTTGTGTTCAGCTGCTATAAGGCGCCTCCATCGACTCTACCCTCCTGGGAATACTGAAGATCGTATGGCGGTTGCGTATTATTTCTTCCAGAAGGATAACAAGGATGAGAGGTCTGTCAACAAAGCACTTCGAGCTGTGATCTGGCAATTGACACAGCGCGATGCAGTCTATCAGAAATCTGTTGCTGGAGCTTGCGACAAGCCAGAGGAATTTGGAAACACCTTAGAACTATGGAGGCAACTGATTGTTCAATTCTCCACCAAAATCGAGGTAACTATCTTTATCATCCTTGACGGTATTGACGAGGCAAAAGCGGAGACTGGTGACCCTCTTATCCAAATCCTTCGTGAAGTTTCTTTGTTTGCTGCTGAAAAACGACCGTTGTCTCTAAGGCTACTCATAACTGGGAGACCGATGTCATTTTTAGAAATCAACAAGACACCAAACATCGCCATGTCTACAATTCAACTTGGAACACGAAATACGGAAGATATTCTCAAGTTCGTGGAGCTGCGACTAGATACCATGGAAATCTTTAAGAAATCGGACCAACCGGACATTCAAGAACTCAACGAGCGTATTCGCACTGAGCTTACTCATGGCGCTCAGGGAGATTTCTTTAAACTTAACTACATGCTCACGGAAATTAGCAAGAAAAGAAGGAGGAAGGAGATTGAGGAAGTTTTAGAGCATGCTGACGAGGACCGTCAAGCCACAATTGCCCGTGAAATAGAGCGGCTTAGGCAGGCTCTTGGAGATGAAGACATTGAGGATCTAAACGAAGTTTTAATTTGGGTCATTGGTGCAATGGTATGGCCGCTACTAACGACGCTCGAAAGTGCCTTGTTTATTAAAAACGGTGAAAGCTCACTGACACCTTTGGAAAACCAAGTTCGGGAGAAATATTCCGCCCTCCTAGAGGTATCAGAATATCAAACCCTCGCAGTTACGTCCCAATCTATCATTGAGTACTTCCGCGCAAAGGCTCAACAGGCAGCCGAGGATAAGGCTACGCACACTGCACTCCATGAGTCAGAGATTGCCATTGTTAAAAGATTCTTACGCAACTTCTGTGACGACGAGCTCTTTAACAAGTTCGGGTTTGAAGAATTTTTTCAGGAGAAACTGAGCCATAGAAATACCTCAATCCATGCTGACTTGGACAATATGGATTTACACATTCTTCTCTCACTCCTCAAGGCTATTTGCGGTGAACTAAGAAGCGAAGTGTTCACACTGATAGAGTACACCTGTTACTTGCTTCCGGACCATTTAACGGAGGTTGACTTACACCACCAGGCCCTCAGAGCACCATTGGCTCTCAACTTATTAAATTATTCACGGAGGAAGAATATGTTGACCGGTGGTGGACGCAAGACCGCATGTGGATGCGGACTGGGTGGGTTTACAACGATGAGTATTGTTCTATTGTTCTGAGGTGGTTTAAGTATTCCGCCGTCGTCAAAGGTCTCACTGTGGAACAAAGGGAGTGGGTAAATGGGCTTAATTCATCCTCGCGTCCCAATGATGATCTTCTTAAGCCCATTGCTAAAATTATGGCCAAAAGGTGGCTACAAGTTTGCGGCCTGTGGTTTGTGGAGGATATATATTGGTGGTTACTCGGGTGTGTGACAAAGGTATGGGACTTACGCAAGTTCAAAGGTTGAATATGGTATTTAACCTGCCCCTAGGTCAAGGAGCGAACGGGAGAAGGCGAGCGAGTTACTAGCGATGTTTCGCCGACTTTGGAGCAAATCCTCGAGGTGGAGAAGTGGGCAATGAAGGAGCTTGGTGTAACAGAGCAAGATTCATTATGGACTGTTCGAATGGCAATTACATTTCGTCATTACGGCTTTTACCAGCAAGCCATAGAGAGAAGCACGATATCCAAGAACCTTGATTCGTCATCTAACTGGCGTGCACCATTTTGTCTGGCCCAAACGCACGCTTTGCAGGGGAGATACAAAATGGCCCTTGAGACTTTGGAGGAAGTCATTGCAATGTTTAGAAAAAATGGAGACATAATGGAAGAGTGGTGCGCTGCCTTCTACAGCGATATACTCTACTATCTCAGAGAGTGGAACGTTGAACTTCAAGAGTATGAGGCAGCCAACGCTCATAATCCAGATAGCTATGAACCCATTCTCAGAATCATTCTAATCCTTGAAGCACAGGAGAAGTACGGTGAAATTATTGAATGTCTGCAGAGTTTGGATGGCGAAATGGATGAAAACTGATTGACGCGACTCGTTGCAATGATGCACCAATATGCAGACTCAAAACTGTACCATGAAACTATCACCAAAGCCGGACGGGCTGCCGGCCAACTTGAGGCGGTTAAGGAGACCTACCAGGTTGCAATTGAGGCGGCCAAGTCTGGTGAGACAAGGCTCACAACACTTACAGCACTCCGCTACTGGTACCCCCTGTTTCTTTATTATGATTATCCTCATCATAATGCACATGAGGAAGCCATCACGATCTGGGAGCAAAACATTGCATCTATCCCTCGCATTTCGAACGAGTTGATATCCAACGTGCGTTGGTCAACGGTCGCAAAACTCGCTACCTCCTACATTCAAGAAGCAAGAGAGGCGGGTCTTGACACCCCCTATTGCAGATACATACCGCAGCAAGTTGATCTATCTCTCCACAAGCAGCAGCGCTGGAGCTGGTGACGAATACTTTTCCCACATCGATGCGCAGCTCATTCTAGCGAGGTTTCATTCTATCATGGGAGATGAACAGAAGGCAATAAAGCTATTCGAAGCCATATAAAGCTAGCTCTTGATATTTTGGATGATAATGATGAGAGTAATGACTGGCAAGAGTTCAAAAGACTCTGCATTTGCCTGAGCCACATTGAAAACGATGTCAACACACTGGCAGCGTGGTCACTACTCGGGCCAACGATTGATAGAGAAGCCACTTCAGATTGCCAGGAAATTGGCGAAGAAACTTTTTCAGAAGCCGGAGGAAGCGAAAGTGAAGCCGCTGCTGCCGAAGAGGACGAGAGCTCCGAAGTTCTCTCGCAAACCGATGCGGGAGACGAAGAAGAAGGTGAAGATGGACAGTCCGCAAATGTCAGTGAAACTTCGCCATCTCCCAGTGAAAATGGCTACGGTGGAGGGCTGGATGGGCACCTCGCTTTTATTTGTGACGGGGGTTGCGGACATGAATGGAGCTATGCAGATGATGTCTACCCTTGCAAAGACTTTATTGATGTCCAATTTGATACTGCGTGCTATGAGAAACTGACGGCCGGTACCTTGGGGCAGAAGGTATGCAATAAAAGCCACGACATTTTGCACGTTCCTAGATGGGGTTTTGAGGAGGCGGCAAGTGTTCCTGGGAGCCACGTTCGTGTCGGAGGGGAGACCATCACAATCCCGGATTGGTTGTCTACGATTCGTAAGAAGTATGGATTTGACTAATGGTTGGCGAAACACCGGCTACCTAGCCGACTAGTTTTATTCCGCTATTAAATAACATGGTACGGAGTAGTCCGTACACTTTCCTCTATTCCGTGTGCACACATCTCTTCACAACCTGTCAAGGTTGACACCTCTAGTACCTACTGCCAAGGCGGCGGCCTGTTGGCTCAGCTCGGCTTAGCGACTAGTTATTTGACTGTGCCTGTTGAAGCGTCGACAGAAAAGCTTGCATACAAAAGATTGGACTCTTCCATATTTTTGGAAGAATCTGATGGGAGGGTATGTCTAGGCAGGCCCCCGCTTCAAGAGCGTTCACTGGTTATTATGATGATCCACCTGTGGGAAAGCCAGGGAGAGCTTGAATGAATTTTTTTTTTTTTTTTGGTGGTTACGATGCCTACCACAGTTGATGACTATGAATCCCTCTCGCTCGCTGGCGGGAAGGATACTTACAAGCAATCCAGTCTGAAATCTGGGGCATGCAGTTGTTTTTTTCACCCTCGCAGGACCGGACAAGCTGGAAGTATCATGCGGAATGGATTGTCCTTTCTCCTAACCTTCGCTTGCCCAGTTATGTTTACCTTGGGAAATGTGGACAGGAAGCGTAGTAGTATCTGTGCGCAGGCTCCGTACATACTAGGTACCTATGTGGCGGCGTACGGTGAGCTGCACGTGTAGGATAGCCTTTCCCGCATCCTGACCCGTTGATTGACTCAATATATGGAGCAAGATCTAAATGCTCCATGAAAGATAGGTCGGAACCATCCGTCAAACGCAGATCGACGTGCGGCAATGCTTCATTGCTTCCAGACTTCTTCTCCGCACGTGAAGCTCTTGCCGCATGGTCAATCTCTACTTCCTTTGCATATTAAACCATCGCCCGAGCTTTCCGGACAAGGAGCTGTTTCTAAAGGTTCTCTACAGGACACCAGCGCCTTTTCTGTCTCCTATCGCCTGGCTTGTCTTCCCATGTTATCAATTTGGTTTTATTTGATTCCTTGATCAGACACCGGAAGCGGCGTACTTCTTTTAGGAACGGAAACTTTTATGTCACCGGCCACCTATAATATCATTACAAACCATTTCACCCTTCTTTGGAAGGTTTTGGTCAGGCTCATAAAATGGAGATCTGGTTGTATTTCAGGTCCAAACGCCCTTATACCCAGCAACAGCTGGACGTCGAGAAAACTGGGTTGCAGGCTGCCAGTTTGAGAGATTTTGATGCACGCCAACGCTGGAGCATATTTAAATCATGCAACGTTGAAGCGGAGTCTGAATGCAATGTATCTGTGACATTCCAGGTGGAAATGGAAGCAGGAAACTCCATCAAGTACCGCACCTGCAGCTGGCAAAAGGTCCGCTAAACCTCCTGTCATATTGCAGCTCCTTCATCGCTAACCATCCTATATTGTGTAGACGGCAGGTCTTCTTTTCTCAGAATACATTTGCCTGGCAATCGTCTCATTTCCCTATTCATATGCTGTTCTAGGGCTGATACCAGGCTTGATTTTGACGGCTGTAATCGCCCTGATTGTCTTATATACTTCGATCATAATCTGGTGAGACCTAGACTCCGCATTTAGAGGGCTCGCACGAGGAATGGAGGCTAACCCTGCAATAGGCAATATTGTTTACGCCATCCTACTGTACGGGATGTCTGCGACATAGGCCAGCAACTCTTCTGGAATTCAAAAGCAGCTTGGTATATCACAGCCATTATGTTTCTCTTAAATAATACCTTCATTCAGGTACTGATCCCTGACATACAACCCTTGACCTGTCTCGATACTGATTTCGGATCGTCAGGGACTGCATTGTCTCGTTGGTGCCCAGTATCTGAATACCATGACAAACCACAGTAGATGCACGGTTGCATTTGCGGCTGTGACAGCAGTCATCTCTTTTGCCTGCTCACTTCCGAGGACGTTCAATTCGCTCTCAAAACTTGGCGGTTTTTCTGCCTTTTTTACCTTCTTGTCGGTACTGCTGCTAACAATATTTGCGGCTCAACAACCGCAACCCGCAAGATACAACTCAGATCCTGACCATGTTGGGCCCGATGGAACTAAGCTTGGCGGCGAACCACGCTTCTCGCTATTTCCGGCACAAGGAACGACGTTTGTTGCTGCCATGGGCGCATTTTTGAATATAAGCTATACTTTCATTGGGCAAATTACGCTCCCGAGCTTTATTGCGGAAATGAACAACCCAAAAGATTTCTACAAAGCATTATTGGCGGTTACTTTTGCGGAAGTTGTTCTCTTCAGCCTCGTGGGTTCAATAATCTACGTGTACAACGGCCAGTACACAACCTCTCCAGCTTTTGCGACGCTGAGTAGCGCAGGTGCTAAGGGCATTACATTCTCCTTGATGGTCCCCACTTTACTCTTTCTGGGAGTTCTGTACTCGTCCATCTCAGCCAGGTTTATCTTCTTTCGGTTATTCGAAGGCACATGCCACAAAGGCAACCATACCGTTGTCGGATGGCTCTCGTGGGCGGGTATACTGGCTGTCACATGGATATTTGCTTTCGTCATTGCGGAAGTCATTCCATTCTTTGCTGATTTACTGTCCATTATGAGCTCTCTGTTCGACTCTCTTTTCGGATTCATTTTTTGGGGAATGGCGTATATTCGAATCCAAACTGCAGAGGAATCGAAACGGCCGAATGCCTCTCGAAACACACAAGGTTGGATCGGTTACGCTTTCAGCTGGATTCTCATTGGGATTGGACTGTTCTTCTTAGGGCCCGGTACCTATGTGAGTAGCTTCCTTCCAGCGTCGTAGTGCGCCCCAAATCTCAAAACCAAATTAGGACACTAACGTTCTCTCAACAGGCCTCAATCCGTAGCGTGATCCTTAATTATGAGAAAGGCAATGTTGGCAGTGCGTTCAGCTGTGAGGACACCGGGTTGTAGTTGCCCGGAATACTATGCAGTTTTTTTGCTTTTCCAGTGCTTTAATGTTCTTAATCGCTGCTGTCGGTGACTTATGGACAGATATACTCCATAATCTCCGTCGTGAGCATACTAGCTAGAAGAAAGAGCCGATGGTTTGGAGAACGCATTTCTATCTGGGTTCCCGAACTAATTGTGGCTAGCACTACTCAGTAGTGCGATAATATTAGATTGTTTTTAAAAATAGCTAGGAATGGCATACTCGATGTTTGAGAGCCGTAAATTATTCAATCGTGGCGTCTGTTTTGCAGCATCAAACTGGCGAAGCTGGTGGGTAGATTGATAAGATAACACCGGCAATAGCCGCTGCTATCAGTGCTGACAAAGGCAGTCGACTCGACCGACAGCCGGTCCACGTGGGGAAGCGAACTTCGAAGGACAAGGCGGTCTTTTGCTGTGAAACGACGCTGCAACTTCATTGTCTGGCAGTCGTCTCTGTTCGCCATGAAGCCTGCCATGAGGAACTCCATTCTGAAAAGGGCCAATGCCCTCGGTTTGTCATCCCAGACCTGGAAAGCTTCAAGCTCATTCGGATGCGGCTCCCAACTGCGCTTCCATTGTGCTTCTCAGAGAGGAATTCATGACATCTCAGCCAGAACTTTCGCTTATCCCAGATCATTCATTGCCAATGCCGATCCCTCAGCCAGACTGGGCAAACGATTTGCCTCTTCCACTGCTTCGAAATCTGCGCTGAACAAGACGGAGCTATATGACCTGCATGTGGAACATAAGGCTAAAATGGTACCTTTTGCTGGGTATTCCATGCCATTGCAGTATGCGGACCAGAGCCATCTTGAAAGCCATCACTGGACAAGAACACATGCGAGTTTGTTTGACGTGAGCCACATGTAAGTCATACTTGTATTCACAGGCAACCCCAGTCTCTCAGCCTCTATCAATTGATGGATTGCTAAGTAATTACTACCGTCAACAGGGTCCAGCATCATCTCATTGGGCCTGGAGCGCGAGACCTTCTCATGAAAATCACTCCCTCATCCCTCGATAGCTTGAAAGATAACCATTCGACATTATCCTGTCTTCTGGACCAGGAGACTGGCGGTATTGTCGACGATACTGTTATCACTCGTCTTGGGCCCGAGTCATTTTACTTCGTTACAAACGCTGGTAGACGGAAGGAGGACCTGGAGTTCTTGACGAATGAAATCGAAGCATTCAGGCAGACCCATGACCCGTCAACTCGTGCCTCTGTTATTCACTGGTCAATTTTGGATAATAGAGCGCTTTTGGCTTTGCAGGGGCCATCAAGTGCAGCTGTACTGCAATCACTTGTTACACAAGGAGAGGCGTCTGTGGAGGGAGATCTCACCACTCTCCACTTCGGTCAATGCCGGCAATTACACCTAGACTTCCCTGATGGCTCTCATACACCTGCTCGCCTTTTGATCTCGCGAACTGGATATACTGGCGAAGACGGATTCGAAATTTCAATCCCCACGGACCATGACCCTCATCTTCCACGTCGTGTTGCCGAACTACTGCTTTCCAACCCTGAGGTTCGCCTTGCTGGGTTGGCGGCGCGTGATTCCCTCCGCCTCGAGGCCGGAATGTGTCTCTATGGACATGATATCACCACAAAACAGACACCCCCCGTGGCTGGATTAGGCTGGGTGGTTGGTAAAGATCGCCGAGACCCATCTTCACCGCTATCATCCTTCAATGGCTCCTCCGTGATCCTTCCACAACTCGCCTCTCCTGCTAAAACATTAAAAGAACGACGGGTTGGCCTCACCATCGAAGCCGGTGCTCCTGCTCGCGAAGGTAGCCCTATCGTTGATATAAACAATCCTGATACGCATATCGGTATCATCACGTCCGGTTTGCCCAGTCCATCCCTAAACGGTACCAATATTGCAATGGGCTATATTAAACAAGGCCTACACAAGAAGGGGACCGAGGTTGGAGTTCTGGTTAGAAAGAAGCTGAGGAAGGCGACCGTTACTCCGATGCCGTGGGTTGAGACCAAATTTTATAGAGGTTAAAACTCATGAGAAGACTTCCTTTCTTCCTTTTCTATCGCCTTGTACTGTACATATAATGTACCCTTTCCAAGTTTTATATCCAGTGCGTTTGCTTGAAAGCGTGAGCGGTTGAATGACGGAGCACGATTCACTATTCCTGGCCTCAACCCCCAACCCCCAACCCCCACCCCCTCTTACTCATATAATCTTGACTTTGCAGAGGCAACGAGAAAAAGCAGTTCGGTAGCAGATATGTGAAATGATACCTTCTAAGCGCCGGATGTTATATGTGCTAAATCTGTTGTTCTCGACAAATACAGTTGCGTATAGAAGACAGAAAGACTGGGCATAAAATTCTATTCATAATAGAGGTATGGAAGGTCGAAGGGCTAGATCACTATGGATTGCGCTGGGGTACATTTTCGGGTTCGACAATTGCATCTAGAGTAAATATCTAACGCTTCTGAGTAGAACCACGGATCAAAACGCATATACTTACCAATAATAGCGTTCAACAGCTCTAAGAGCTCGTGTAAAAGGCGGAAAACGCACCTCTGAGGCTATATCACTTATGTTAATCCGGTGGCTAATGGCAGTAATTATAGCGTCACTTGTAATACCCGACTTTCGGCAACAAAAAGGGTATACCCAACGCTACTGGCACGCAGTCTTAACCTGATGAACACGTGTCGATAAGCATCGTCTCTGAATAAGCAGTTATTGCTCCCACGCTATTACGGCAAGCCCCGCCTTGGATAACAGACTTTACGAGATCTCGTTTCCCTCTACCTTGGGTTGATGAGATCGAAGGCATTGGGACGGCACCATCCAGTGTAAATCGAGGCCATTGAAGAAAAGAAAAGGAGTGGAACGGTTAGACTTTCAGCCTGTGAAAGGTGCGCTTGGTATCTAACCAGGTGGTAAATATTTAACGCGTGGTTTTAGGCAAAAGGCAGCAAACAAAATGTGGACGGCAATACCAGTGATGACAGTTATTCCTAAGTCGCACTATGCCCAGTCATTCTATATTGTACTATTGTGGATTGACAAGAGACAAGATGAAAGGGTCACTGTCTGTATTTCTAGAGGTAGCCGGCAGTGATGCCATAAGAAGATGCGATATTCCCTTCTAGCAATATTCCAAGCTGCCAGCCCAGTTGAGGGTAGACTAAGAACACTCAGGGCCCCCAAGCAGCTACTTGAGTAGAGTTGTGGCGCATGATGTATTTTCAACCTTCCTAAAAGTAGAGAGGTTTGTCACAGACTGAAGCTTGGGCGGAACAAATGCTATGGCGTACCTAAGAAGCTCTCCTCTGGACGCTGAAATGGTACTTATCTTCTAATTACCGGTATAAACCTATGTATCGTGCTACATCTCTAGGCTCACTGGCTGTATGACGCTAGTAGGAATCATCGCTTTGGCTTTTGTGTCGGCAGAGAAGTTGTGTGCTGTGCCTCTGGTACGAAACCTCAACTTTCATCATGCCTTCATCAAATGCAGTTAGAAACAGCAGGGGTCGCATAACAGAAGGCAAACAGAGAAACACAGGAGAGGAGCCACAGGTTCGCATTTATATGCAAGAGTACTCGGTATCCGGAGCAGTACCTTCGCAAACCCCGTGGCAGTCATCTTGGCGATCAGATAGCAGGGATAAAACGATAGCATGAAATGAAACCAAAGAAAGCTGCGATAATAATTATATAAGACCTCATACTATGGACATGGTTGAAATTGCAACTTGGACTACATGCACCATACGAAACATGTATTGGAAATTGTTTAGCATTCTTGAACACCGTACTCCGTAGGGAGTTGGAATAAAGGTGGAATGCAGGCATTCAAGACTCTTGTCGCGATCTTCTGGAAGTTCCCGCTTGACTGACCACAGCATAATAGTGGAAAGTAGATGTGTGCTCCCAGTCAAACAGCCATACCAGAAGCCAGAGAGGCTCAAACACGCCGCCCCCAAGGTGGCTCGCAGCATCTCCAATTGAATACTACATTCCCTCACACCCACGCAATCAAGCAATCGATGGACTGATTAAGATTACTGCACTACCCTGGACCAGGATCATAGCAAAACATTCATGCGAGGTCCCCTCAATGCCCAGATTTGCAGTACGTGTGGAGCAAGGGACAACAAGGCCAGGTAGACAGCATCGATCTAGACTCTTTTGTTGGTAATCAATCCCACAACCGAAAGGGGAATCGTTTCGGCCCGATAAGGGGAGCAGATGCGAGCGACAGCCCCTCGTTTTCGCGCGCCAATGGACCGAAGCCGTATCACGCCCAGCAGGGATGATCTGAGCCATTCCCCAGATTCGTTTTGGCCTGTGATGAGACGTGCATGGATTGACGTTGGATTTGCGTTTCTTGGGTCTACGGATATTATATTAATCCGCCCCGAGCACAAGTGGAGGCACACCGACCAGAAAGTCCGGCTTGGCGGGATTTTGCCGTGGACTTGCCGGTTTGCAATCACGTCATTTCATCCCATGCTGTGCTCAGATTGCACATGTGAGAATAGGAGCTGTTGGAGGGGGGGAAGATAAATTCATCCTTCACAATGGACTCTGTTTTCTTCCTGAGCATCAGGCGCTGATTTATATGCCCCGTACTCCGTATTTTTGGTTGCATTGTCTTGGTCGATCACCGAAACCCCCCTGTTGACACTTTCCCACCGTACCCCTGCTCAAACATCTTCAGTAACATCTCCTTGCAGTCAGGCCTGTCTCATTATCGCAAGGACTTCCGACTAAAAAGGGCGATCTTGCGGGACTTGCTGTAGTCGATTGTCAGGATTAAAAACCAGAGAGATACCCCTCAGAGCCAGCGTTCTTTCACCCATCACTCCATTTTTTCAAAAAATCAACCACAATGGCGACGTAAGTATCCCCGCAGTCAATGTTTTCCGCAATACGAAGACCTCAAGTAGACTCTATTCTTTTCCACTCCACGTAATTGCTCACTTCCCGCCAGGAACATCACATTCCACGCAGCTGCCTTTACCCGCGCTGAGCGCACCAAACTCCGAGGACAGCGTGGTCTCACCATCTGGCTTACCGGTCTTTCTGCCTCCGGCAAATCCACCGTCGCCGTCGACCTCGAACATTATCTCATTTCCGAGCGCGGGGTAGCAGCCTACCGCCTCGATGGAGACAACATCCGCTTCGGTCTCAACAAGGATCTCGGTTTCAGCGAATCAGACCGCAACGAGAACATCCGACGCATTGCAGAGGTCGCCAAGCTCTTCGCCGATAGCAGCACCGTCGCCATCACATCGTTTATCTCTCCATACCGAAAGGACCGCGATACGGCGCGGGCTCTGCACGAAGCTCAGGCTGAAGGAGATGACAGCCTACCGTTCGTCGAAGTCTTCATTGACGTTCCCGTCGAGGTTGCCGAGCAGAGAGATCCAAAGGGCCTGTACAAGAAGGCCAGAGCTGGTGTGATCAAGGACTTCACCGGAATCAGCGCCCCATATGAAGAGCCATTGAAGCCGGAGGTCCATGTTCGCAATGTTGATATCCCCGTGAGACAAGCTGTGGAACAGATTGTCGCATACTTGGATGAGAAAGGCTACCTTCCACCCAAGCCTGAGCCAAAGAACTAAGCCTTTGTTTTTCCTTTATTTTGTCCTGTTATGATAGACACATCTGTATAGAAATGCACGGCCAAAGGTTGACGACAATTATTTTTATTGCGTTCCCTGATTCCCACAATGATATATTAATCCCTAGGATTCAACACTGTAAGCAATGAGTACACGAAAGCCAATAAAGAGCTTAGCCCGCACAAAAATGAAAGAAAAAGCCAAAATCGAGGTATATAAGCATCCTCAACCGTCTACTCAATCTCAAACTCATAATACACATAGGCAGTATACTCGGCGCCGCCTTCACCGCCAGCCAGATGCTGCATATCCGAATCATCCTTTCGGACGCGGCCCTTTTTGTCACGGATAAAAGCGTTTCCGCCTAGGTAGGAATATGAGTCGTCTAGAAGACCCTTTGCTTTTCGCGCATTCTTTGCAGTCGTCTAGAAGTCCAGACATATTAGTTTCAACATACTAATCCAAAGGATGATAACACGAAATGAGGACTCAAGGATGAGAGCGAAAAAGCGTGCCATACCTTGATCAGTGCGGAAACAAAATCCAGGGGCAACCCATATCTCAAAACCGTTTCAACAAATACCCTGAGGACGAGGACGTGCATCCAGGCCATAACGACTTCGCTCCACGCCGTTCTCCCGAGCCGCAACACCTCTCCCCACAATCTCTTGGAGTCGGCACCGACTTGTTCAACTTGCCTTCGCTCCTCCTCTTCCCCGCCTTCAACGTATTTATACTCTCTGGGTGTCCATTTATGTTCGCGGCATCTGTGAATGAATTCGAGACTATGCTTCTTAAACGTTGTCACACCGTATAGAGTGAACTCATTATCTGCTGCAACGCGTGAGGCTGACCGAGGTACAACCATGGGTGATAACGTTTCATAGGAGCGAAGAAAATCCTTGGTGTCCCGTAAGGGGACAGCCACAAGATGTGTTTCTAGGTATTCGGAATTCTGAACGAGTTGGCGCGGGTCTACCACCCCTGTGAGCGATCTGGTGGCTAGATTTCCTCTGCATGCCCCATGAATCAGCTACGCATAATTTTCCCGTAAACATTCTCTGCGCACATACGTTTGTTTTCGTTGTAGTGTAGCTAGGCTCGACTTGACTTGATTATACTGCGTAAACTTGGCCCTTACATCGCTATCAATGCTCGCAGTTTCCTATAGAGTCGAGCAAACGTCAGCCTTAAGCGCTGAGGATCCTTCGCTTCAGGGCCATCTTACCTTTTGCAACAAATCGATGAGCTCGGACAATGGTTTATCAGCGCGGTACTTGACCTTGTTCCACGAGAAAGTCCGCAAGTACTGATCCACGGGCTCTGCGTACACACCGTTAGACACAACCACCCACCTCGAACCCAGGAGCCAACTTCCAGGTTCAAAGTAATCCGGAATCTCTCATACTATCATTAACCGTCCGCATCCGCGCTATTTGCTCCTCGTCGCCTTCGAGCACGCTCCTCAGCGCATCTCCAACTTTCCCCACGACAGCTCTACAGGCCGCCTCGACTCTTGACAACTCATCCGCCTGTTGCACCAGCGCATCTAGGGTGCCGATTTTGAATTCCGGAATTGGAAAAGGAATCACTGTCCCGTTATCTGGAGAGATTGTTTTTGTAATGGCCTCGAGGGCATCGTCGCGATGGTGGGATGGTACGATGGAGCTTGGGAGGGAAAGGAGGATGTATTTGGTCTGTTTAGACATGGCTCGAACCTAGGAGGGGAAATAAAAACAGGACGGAAGGAAATTATGATGGTATCACCTTAACACAAACATGGGGCGTCAACTGAGATGCTAAGATGTGATATGATCCTGATCCTGCCCAAGGCATGTACTTTTATCCCTTCTTGCACTTTGTCCTCGGGCTGTCGAGAGCAAGCTGTTTGGGGTCGGAGCTGCGATGTGGTCGTTGCTTCCGCGTGATTGGTCGGAGGAGTTCCCCCCACACGTTTTGGGGCTCACGCTGCGCTACGTAAGTGCAAAAGACGCTGAACACTAGGATGATGTTAAGAGATCTCGGTGAGCAGTCGATAAGAGGATGATTCCTCCTCTTAACAATGTTTGACCGTATAAAGGATATATCTATGCATGCATGCATGTGATGTATGTACTGTACATACATACAGACATGCAATAGTACATATATGCGGTACCGTGCATGGGCAAAAGGGACGTCTATTAAATGTACTATGTATGTAGCGCTCAGTACTCTGTATGGAGTACGAGAATCTATATCTTGATGTCGCTAGAATCCTGTCAATCCGTGCCACTGTTTTCCAAACTGGGCATCAACCTGTGTATGCACCTGTCCGGGGACCAAATACTCTCTATACTGGTATCCAAAACTAACTAGGTATTATCCACACACGCCGCTCAGTTTGAAATGCTAAACACGCTCCAAATTGAAACAGACTCTAACAATGCGATCTAGGATGAATGAAAAAGGTCACTCAGCGCGATACAAGCGGGGGAGAATCTATGTTCCCAGGTTAGCATAGAAATAGACAAAACACTTAGTATAGAAAGACATACCGCTGCATTTTTTGGCTCCACAAATAAGGCTTTGGCTTCGACAAGGATAGTTGGGTCGGTTCCATCGTCTGGGAGTGTCTCAATCCAGCCCTCAACCCAAGCCTTTCTTCCCTCCACTTTCGTGGTCTTCGCCCGGAGAACAAAGAAGGATCCAGCAGGGGCTGGGCGACGGTAGTCGATATTCAGGTTCGCGGTAACGCCGATCTTATTTGGAAGGGACGGAAAACAACATCTAGCAAGTCCTTCGTCCAGCATGGTAGCTAGTAGCCCCCCGTGGACGATCCCGGGGTGTCCAGATACGTCGGCACCAAGGTAGAACATCGACACCATGCTCTTACCTCCCTCTTCATTCCATACATATGGCGGCACAACAATCTTGTTTGGCCCCGTCAGTGTTCCTCCTGTGAGGCTGTGTGATCTCATCTCCACTGGAATCTGTAGGTGTGGTCTTGACTCTTTAAAGAGTGGGTTTTCACGCATTGATTGCGTGAGCGGGTGTGAATTAATGTGCTCATCCACTTCTCTCGCAAACTCGTCCTCTGCCTTATAGGGATCGGACTTTGCCTCATCCGAGAGTATCTGAGTGACAGTGGAATGCATGCTGAATAGTTTTGAATTCGCCGTAGTTCCAATAACAAATGACAAAACTGCAATTGCAGAGAATCCTAATAGGCGGCGAAAAATGGATCTTTTCTTGAATGATGGAGGGCTAGGAGATGAGGGAAGTGTCTGACCTAGATATATCGCAAAAGTCAGCCAGCCGGAAAGAAAACAGAACACACGCAGGAACAGGCAATTATGTCCCCTCTGGGGCCGGGTAAGCACAGTTGCACTCACCAGAAGAATAGTATCTGTTGCTCCTTGGGCCAATGTGTTGAGAAGTGAAGCGAAGGAATAATGGACCCTGTTGAGCCAGTGCCACCGATAAAGGCGCCAGGTGCCCGGTGATCAAAAGAGTGGAAGCTGCGCCCCTCCGGACAACGAGATAAGGGCTCCGGAAGATCGTCATGATGGGCTTCTGGAGTGGGAGCCCACTCACGCACTTTCGCCCTTACCTTTGTGGTCAAAAGATCTCGACTCCCGTTGGGAGAATCCCGGGTCAGAGAGGAGCCTTCGATCCAGGAACAAAAATTCCAATGGTCCAACCGCAACCGTATTCGGGTTGGCCGCAGGATGCATACGATTTGATTGGCTCGCGATCTCTGAGCAGCGGAGTTGCCGAGGTTCAGCAAGTTGGGATCCCGTCCAGAGATGGACCGATAACTAATCCAGAAAGGCCAGCCAGCGCTCTTTGATTTGAAAAGGGGAAATACGCTGCCTAAAAGCATAGGGTTTACGAGGAGAGAAGCCAGTCGAATCTCGATGCTATACCTAAAGTCCCGACAACAACGGAGTAATTACTAGCAGGAAAAGTATTCAGTTGTCCGACCTGCCGGGAAAAGGGATGTCTAATTTGCTGTGCTTTGTACTCAGTATGCTTCCCAAAAGACACAAAACATGATAGCTCAAGGATGAACTCAGCTAGGATATGTCTGCTTAATCTTTGTTTGTATAGAAAATAAGCCTGTTCATCTATTCACTCTTTGTTGACCCTGCTAAGGTTACCAGATGGACAAATGGCGGAGAGAGTGTGACTTCACTGTCGTCAAGTGATCCAAAATGCTACGAAAGGGCAATCCTCAGTGGCCAGTTGGCCGACTTGGTTAACTGCAGTGCAAAAGAGGGGCTGGCAGAAGGGTAATGCGTAGCTCTCCTATTTGATTGGCTGTCCAGTCACTAGGCTAGCTCAAGCTAAGATTGTGGGTTCGAGTCCCACGTCCCTCGCAAATTTTTTTTTTTTTTTTTGGTTATTATTAAAGCAGCGTAGTACTCCGTAACTCTGTTGACATGACCCTCTCCGTGCAAAGGACAAAGAAATGTCATGGATAAGGGAATCTCGCTCAGTATGACAGTAGTCGCATTTCAAGGTTGCTTGCTATGTATATACATATTTCCATTACATACAGCGCTCCTCTCGGGTATAGAAAGGTGGAAAACAGACTCATCAACCGCACATTCATCATTCCCAACATTGGGCTGGAACTAAACAAGATGGTGCCCCGGATCAACTAGTAGCTTATATACGCGCTCATGGATCGTGTATTGAGCCCGGTAACGGTTGGCTGCTAGATATTACGAGTGCGAAAGGCTGATCACTTTCGCCGCGGCTTCCTTGAAGGAATCAAAAGCATGGAGCGGAAGTTTACTTTCGGCAATCTGCAATCAACATCCAAGTCGTCAGCATCAACTCGAACACAGGATGCACTTAGCAGGACGGGTGTGATGGAGGGCCCATTTACCATTTTCTGACCAAGTTCCTCATTCGTCCCACGCAACCGGACGACGACAGGCACTTTCATACCCAAATCTCGGAAGGCCATGATTATGCCCTCGGCGATCATCTCAGACCTAGTTAAGCCGCCGAATATGTTCACAAAAATGGCTTTGACTCGCGGGTCTGAGAGAATAATTTTAAACGCCGACTTTACTGTCTCTGAGGTGGCTTTGCCGCCTGTATCGAGGAAGTTTGCACAGTGTCCACCACGAATGGTGAGGGCATCGACGGTGTTCATAGCAAGTCCAGCTCCATTCACTGCAGGAAATATAAGCTGCTAATTACTTAAAACGTATCACGACTGATCTCCAGGCTTACCGAGAGTACCAATTGTTCCTTCGCCTTCAAGCCTTGGGACACCGAACGTATTAGCCAAGTCGTCAGAACTGGGGCATGGTAAACTTACCTAACATAAACAATTCCATCCTTCTCGGCCTCCACTTCTTCTGGAACTTCTAGTTCCTTGTTCCTCAATTTATGGATATCCTCTTGCCTCTTTGCACTTCTATATGCAGCATCATCAAACCCAAATCGCGCTCCTTGGACTTCCAAAACGCCAGCACTGGAAACAGCAACTTTCGTTTCCAGTGAGAAAGCTTCCTTGGTCATAAATATATCCGTTAACGCTTCCAGCAGCGTCGATAGCGATTTTTGGACAGGTTCAGCAAGCCCGACATGGGCAGCTATTGCCTGAATTTCAGCGCTATTAGCGGAGAATTCTCTCTTCCCATACTCAAATGGAAATATCTTCGCAGATTCGATATATCTTTTTGCGTCTATGGTAGGAGAAGCAATAAAACTTGGGGAATGTGCAGTGCGGTCAATTGAAGCGCCCAGGAAAAAGGCACCCGGTTCGTTTGATTCACGAACAGGAATGTTCCTTTCCTTGAGAAGAACAAAGGAGTCGGATTGTTGAAGATAAAGACTTCGGCGCTGCGCGGAAATACTACTACTGCGGAGAATTTGGGGTCGTCTTAACGTATGGACGCCTCGCTGCTGTCGGGCTATCCTCGGGGTAAAATCCTGCAGGTTGTCTCTGTGTAAGCGCTCAATGTCTTGGTTCCATGATCTTCAAAGCTTACTTCAAATACTGGTCGCTTAGCAGAGTTGCCCAGCAAGGTTTTCATGCCCTCCCCGAATTTCTCGGGGTGGTCTACAATTACAGCCCCGGCATCCTGCAACGCTTTGATTTTCATTTGTGCATCAGGCTCCCCTGGTGCCGTCCATGCGCCCGCGTGGCCCATGATTCGGCCATGAGGAGCTTCGATGCCTCCAACCAAACCCATAATGGGCCTATCTCGAGGGGTTAGTTTAGAAAACATCAATATCAGCTGGGGGCTCGTACTTGGGATTTGCAGTCCTTCTACGATAATCTTTGATCCATTCCGCAGCATCCATTTCAGCAGTACCGCCGATTTCTCCAACGATTATTATACCATGCGTATCATCGTCATGTTCAAAGACCTTGAGTGCATCCACAAAATCTGTTCCCGCGAGCACGTCGCCGCCCATCCCAATGCAAAGGCTCTGGCCTAAACCAGCCCGCGTTGTTGAGGCCACGGTCTCATAACTGAGAGTCCCTGACTTGGCAACGATGCCCACATGGCCGGACGAGAAACAGGGCAGTGGCTGGAACCCGATGCGACACTTTCCAATGGCGGAAATAATACCCGGGCAATTCGCACCAACGAGTCGAGTTTTCGATTGCGTTCGAAGTATGGAGTGAATCTACACATCTGTTACTCAAAGGGCACAACCCTCAAGGAGAGGATCTATAAACCAACCCTGAGTATGTCATGGATCGGTACGTGTTCTGCGACTGCGACCACCAGGGGTATTTCAGCTTCTATCGCCTCCTCAATGGCCGCCGCTGTTTGATTGCCAGGCACGTAAACCGCGGTCGCATCCGGTCTCGCTTTTTCCTGTGCCTGTTCTCCCTCGAGCGGTAAGAATCCTTCCACTTCTCATGATAATTGCAGTTATCCCAGACCTACCACTCGAACAGACGGGAATACAGGCAGTCCTAGATGCTCGCCTTCAACTCCGGGCTTAACTCCTCCTACAATCTTTGTCCCCCATTGCAATGATTCTTTCACATTGGCAGTTGCCTATATTCAATTGCTTCAGATGCCTTGTTCCACTCTTTTAGAGCCGTCAAGCTCTGGGAGGAGGGCCTTTCTACCTGTTTACCTATTTGCAGCAATCAGTACACTCTTATTTAGATTCATGCATCCACACAAACCATCTTTTTATTTGGTTTTGGATATATTTCTTTATAAAGGAAGAGGTAGGTATGCGTACCAGTGAATCCTTGGAATAATACCTTTGTGTCAGCGCCGATTTTAAGATTTTTCAACGTATCTTCATAACTCTGAAGCCTTGAAGTAGTAGAAAAGCCTGCATTCGAGTTCTTTGCCGTAACAAACCGAGAATGGTAGCGATTTGTAGGTGTCAGATGCAAACAAGAGGGTCTAATGGCGTTGAACCGAGGAACCCCAGCCATTGCAAGGTCCAGCCGATGAGCCGAATGACAGCACGGGCTTGACTTTCGCCCGTCACTCTTACAAGTCAAGAGAAAGACTTAAAAGGAATGCGAACGTCCAAGAACTAGGACGGTAACAAGAGTTGACTTGCACTCCAGCATGTTCAGTGAGATGATTATATATTATATAGCCAACTACTTCGGCAATCCAAAATCGCTTGCGGCTAAACGAAGGACAGTTGAGCACGCTCAAGATTCCCGGGCCTTAACCTTGCGAACAGGTGAGAAGTGGAGGCATTCTTCTCCACACTAACCCTCGCGATAGCTCAGTGTGAGGGATGAAGACCAATCCCATGCCTGCATCCGAGACCTTTTGACGCCTCTTGGCCGACAGTTGACAAAGTACGTCTCTAAATAGCGTCTCGAAATTGGAGCTCTGGGTGAAACCTTCCCCCAAAGTTCGAGGAACAAGATTGCCGAGTCTCGGAATCTCCCGGTCAACGTCATTATCTTCGTTCCGAGGTAGTTTTTTGACGAGTTAAGTTGGTGGAACTCCGAGACTTGAGCGGCCAGTGCAACATGTTTCGAGACGCATCTTAGCATCTACACACCAGAGGTGCCATGGAAACGGCCGACCGGGAGAGCTGCATAGGATATAAATAACTCGGCGCTTGATTCCTCAGCCGTCGTCGAGATTTGAATGTTCACTACGATGGTTCCGTCCCGAGGAACGTGATCTCAGGCTAGCTCCCCATCCAATTGTAGGCCCAGTCCAGAATAGAGAGTCTTACGTGCGGAGTAGTTACAGCAGCATCGTCGCATGAGTATCACCCCTCCTCCAGCCACGCTCTTCGGATTATTCGGGCACATTCCGTAAGAGAGCTGCAAACTCCGGCTGCCTTTGACTTGCAAGGGAGTGAAACGTGAGTTAAATCCAAAGCCACACCCGTGAAAGTGTTCATTGGGCCTATTCGGACTGTAGTTACTTTGTGGTCAGAAGCGCATGCTAGACAATGATTCGGTAATAGCAGCAGAACTATCATAGGTCTTTAGCTGGGGCTTAAGAGTAGGTCGTCTGGTTGGGAATCCACCTTGACCAGAGTGATGTTCCACAGAGCAAAAATGTTACCTGTATCCACGCAATGGTGGGGAGGTTGGAATCAACACTCCATCACTTTGTAACTATGATGCAAAAGTTCGACTACCATGTACCTGAAAACTGACGTACACTGTTACCCAACGATATAGGAGCACCTACTTACTTCCCTAGAATTTCACGGCTACCAAGCTGGTTAATCGACTGCTGACGTTTGGCTACATTGTGGGCTGTCTGCAGTTGCTCTATTTCTGAAGGATGGCTCCCGAAGGTAGTTCGACACTCCCCCATGATGCCATCGGAGCGCCTCCGAGACCATCTCTTCTCCGATCTAAATCCTAACAAGCAAACGAGAAAAAATAGGTTCTACGCTTAATTCCGGCGCAGCTCACCCCCAGAAACCTAAGCGCAAGTCGAAATCCAAGGTGGCGGGCTCCTGGGAAGACGAGTCGGTGTCCTCAGAGCCTTCAGAGGACGAAAAGGATGAGAAGGCGACCAACGCCACGTCGTCGCCACAAGGACAGGCGTATCATAGCGACGTCCCTTCCTTCGCGGCCTCATCGACACCCCAATGGAGCTCTCCGGATCCGCGCAACCCAGACTCAGACTCCCCGCGGAGACGACCAGAAAAGCAGACTGCCGTCGCAAGTCGAATAATAAGCAGCGCTCTGGGTGTGCGCGCGAAGAGGACAGAGGAGCAGAAGGCTTATGATCGCGCCATGTTGGAGAACGAGAGGAGAAAACGCGAGCGCGAACGGGAGCTTGCGAGGCAGAGGCGCGAAGACGAGGAGAAAGCCAAACAGGCTGTTTGGGAGTCGTAAGAATAGCGTTTGCGACCCCGATCTGGCCGCCCGCCTTGACATACCCAATGCAGGGAAATGATTTCCACTTCCGGCCTTTGAGCGGGCCTTTTGCTAGGGGACTTTGGAATTACATGCTGGCAGGCGGTCGAAACATATGGAGACTTGGAAAAAATGGTTGATGTAACTTGGATATCTACACTGTTGGATTTATAGCCATGGAGAAACTCAAGAACAGTTTTGGGGACACATTGAGATGATATAATTGATCTTGTTTATCCGAATCCCTCATGGTATTGTGTGCGTTGGAGGACTATGAATCGTGATAGTAAAGCGTTTCCTTACTCAAGTTCTCTCACTTTTCAAAATGTAGCCACCAAATCCGAACCCGTCCATAAGGAAGATTTGGATTCTGCAAACATGTGCGTCTCTCCAACGCAAATAAAATCGAAAAAGGACCCGCTTCTTAACTCCAGGAAAATCAGAAACAAGCAAGGTTCGACCAGAGAAATTTGTCGTCAAGTGTATTGGTACAAAATGTGGGCTTTTTCGAATGTAGTGGAAAGTAAAATAGAGGAACCTATGAATACATAAGTTTACGTTAGAAAGATCGCTCTAAGGGATGTGGAATGGGAGATCCGGAGATACGAACTTCATTATCGTAAAAGTGTTCTGGCCCATCAGCCACCAATCTGCTCTTGGTGCACTTCTAGAGTGTCACCATCTTGCATGTCGAGCTGCAGGCAGCCATTTAGCATCTCATAACAAGAATACGCGTAAAAAAACGACGTGTATTGCGGCTATGCTCGAATGCGGACTTACGGTGTCTGGGGAATCCTCTGGTCTAACCCTGGTGCCATCAAAGAGGAAGCGAACTGTTGTGAGCTGGCGGCCCTGCCGCTCACAAAAGGCGTCCATCAACTTTTTCAGCTGCGTAGTTCTCTTGATTTTGAAGAAAACTTCATTGTTGTTGTCCGTGACCTTGATATTCAGGTGTTGGGGGGCTTCATCGACCTGAGGATCCATTTTGAAGGGAAAATGGTATTAGTGGAGGATTATGAGTCGCGTATAGGACGCTGATAAAGCGGTTTCACGAAAACTAGATGGCAGATGTAGGATGCAATGATACGAGAGGAGAAGTGAGAAGACGCATCTCAAGTCGCCCCGCAGACAGCCTTATATAGGCGGCGACGGAAAATTTATTTTGCGGATGATGAAAAGCCGACAGGCGTGATGTGTTGCTCATCTGCGGCGAAGAAGACATTGGAATGCTGCAAGGAGCCTCAGATAACAAAGAAATCTTATCGATTTGCTTATAATCATCAACGCAGGCACCATGGTAAGATTTCTGACATCCATTGTAGGGCTTTTGAAAAGGGCACGGCTGACTGTGCGATGCGAAGAAACCCAAGCCAATACCTACTTCAAGTCAGCCATGTCATTCATTTGCGGTATGTACTCCGTAGTGCGCTTCTATCTCCTTCAAGATTCCTTAGAGCGACTGCTGCTGACTTCTAGGTAGTGCGCTATACAAGGTGATGTTTTCTTTAGACTGCACTCCAAATGTCGCAAGCTAACTGCCTTGGTAGACTGCTTAACAAAAAATTCTTATCAGGAGGAAAGGTGTCGTGATCAGATTATTGCTCTGTATAAATGCTGCGATTTGTTTTATCAGGAGAATGGCCGTGACGCTAGGACTCCAAGCTGCCCCAGGCCAGACTTACTCAAGCTGAAACTACAACAGTACGGATTGATGTAGTTGATGAGTTCCGAGATTGGCGAACGCAAGTTCGGGACGGATGATTTAGGAGCGTATGACCACACAATTTTCCCGGTGATATGATAGCATGAAGGAGGGGATGTTGTATATATTAATCTACACAGAACTCCGAAGTGTGTATTCCATACTGCAAAGCAAAGTTGCAGCACTAAGGACTGTCACAATGATATTTGTATCCCAGTTCATGACTCAAAAGTTCGGACAAGGACTTTTACTGACCACTGTGCTCGCTCTAAGGCGATCGTGAGCGCGCAAGAGGTTCTTACGAACCTGAGCAGACATTGAATAACTCTGCACCGAGACTCTAATGATCACCTAAAATGACATTGAAATGAAGAAGAGGGAAAAGAAAGATTGCAGTGTCCGCGAGAAGAGATTTTATGGCGGTTGGCCATCAAGACACTAAACCTATTTGGGGCTAGTGTCTATTTTCCTGTCGCAGAGGTTGAAGCTCAGTTTATTTTGGAGAAACAAAGCTTCAGTGCAGAGGATGGATATGTTCAACTGCAATTGTTAACACTGGGCTTGCGGGTTGTTTGCCATGGCGGCCTTTTCGCATTCTTTGAGGGATGGCCGAGACTCGGTGCTATCTAATGTAAGTCCCCAAACGAGCCCTATATGCTTCCGGACCTTTGCTGACAAGTTTCAGGGCTCGTCCATGATTCCTCACGACGCGGAAATCATCGAAATAGATGACGATAGCGATGGAGAGGTCCAGGATAAAGAGGTGCCTATGAACGAAGATGATGAAGAGATAAGCGAAGGGGACGAAGACGACGAGGAGGACGAAATCGAGGAAGAGGAAGATTATGACGAGGATGAGGACCGCGAAATGAGGTTCGAAAATGGCGAAGAGGATGAAGCTGAGGAGGAAGAAAGTGTGAGAGATTCTCACGAAAACGAAGAAGAAGCTGAAGAGCTTCCTAGTGAGTATGGCGGGACCAATGGGACTCACTCGATTGAAGAGCCGTATCCCAACTGGAAAGCCAGGATAGAAGGTTTGACATCCCCCCTTCTTCCCTTCCCCCCGGGGGAGATCTGGATCTTGTCATTTTCTCATTAGCTGGTATCTGTAATTTATTAGGCCATACATCGCGGCCTCCGGCATTTACTCCCTCGAATCTACTCAGCTCCGACATTAAGCAGGCTCTACACCCACTGCAAGATATGGCCGAGCGCGTCCTCAAGCAAATCGAATCATTTGCGCATAACCTAGATCAGTTTCGACGACAGTCTCCTACCCCCCATGAACCTAGAGCATTTCGCGAAGCGTGCAAATTGGTCAAAACCTACCAATCTATAGCTGAAAACAATGCCCGCGACCTCTCGAAAGCCGACCGATCTCAAAAGCCAAAGAGATCGACCCAAGAAGAAAAGGAAAGCGAGAATGTAGCGGACGAGGTCGAGGAACAGATAGCGCGCTGGCAGCGTGAGGCGGAGACTTGGGATTTACTATCCCAGCTCCTTTTGATCGCCGATCCCGAGACACGAGAGCGGGCAGAACAATGCCAAGAAACCGCTTTACAGTCTCTCCATAGGTACTCTTCCGACCAAGAAGTCTGGGAAAATTTCCTTGAAACCGATCTTTTTGCCCGTGAGTGTGTTATTGTCCTACAATGGCTTGAGAAGACCGCAAGGTCGGCGAACGGACGAGATTCTGTTGTCTCCGAATTGGACAAGGACACCGACCGTGACCAAGGGTTATGGGCTCATGGTTGGCTCTACACAAAAGAAACCATTAAAGGCGCAAAACGTTTACGATCTTGGCCCCAGCCGTTGGATCCAGAGGACTCTCGCGTGACGTCGTCACTGCTAGGATTAGAGCGGCAAGCACCTTTAATCACGCAACTGGACCCTGATGCAATTATTCGGCAGGGATTGGGGCTACAGAAACAGGATCAGGTTCATGAACAAGCAGCGTGGCTGACCTGTTGGAAGATGCTAAGGTCAGGCCGGAGTTGGAGTGAAATTCGGGCTTGGTCTCAAGAACGTCTTGAAAGCTGGAGAGCCATTAGCGTTTTTGGCGCTAGCTTGCACCCAAATTCAAAGTCTACTAGCCTCCCTGATACTGGCCTTTCCCGAATGATGAGCTGCCGGTCTCAGCAATCTTGGAAGTCTGCGTGTTCCGTTCTGGCTAGTGATCCCCATGTCGATAGATATGAAAGGGCCGTCTATGCGTTACTTTGTGGTGAAACCAAGCCAGCGTACGCGGTATGCCAGAGTTGGGATGATTTTCTTTACGTCTTCTACAACCATATGGTTCTTAGCCGATACAGCGACTTTTGCAAGCAGTTTCTTCGGAAACTCGGTCTTCCCTCCAACACGAAAGTCCTTGTTAATATCGAACCTCCCAATCATGATGGCATCCGTTATTTTCTATCCAACATTAGAAAAGATGAGCGGTTTGCAGAGGAGTCAAAAAACTTCTACCGCCAGATTCAGGCAGCAATTTTAAGCCAGAATTACGATTACTTCTTTTATAACCACGCAATCGCGAAATCGAAGTACGTGGAGCATATCAACGGGCCGAGTTTACTACCCTTGCAACCACCCCCTGGCATGACACAAGACCCTCTGTTAACTGCCCCTGACGATGAATCTTCGCTGCGCATTATTGCTCATCTATATTTACTGTTGAGCTTCGTTGGAATTTTCCGTGTTGAATCTCACCTCCTGGACCAGTATGGTCTTAATGTGATCAAATATGTGGAAGTTCTCCGAGAAAAAGATAAGATGGACCTGATACCTCTCTATGCATCTCTATTGCCGGAGACTATGGGTCAAGCCACCCTCGGGATAGTCCTGATCAATGTACTGGGCGAAGGAGAACGACAAGTTTTGCTACAGAGGATGAGAGCCTTCGGAATTAATGTTTCCGGTGTTTTGAGCTGCCAATGGCAGTGGGCTCTCGCTGGAACGGATATTGATGTTAAGAAACCTATCAAGATCGCGGGAAAATTCGTAACTGAACAAAAGCCTGGATCGATTTCTGCCCTGAACAAGGACATTATTGGTCGAGATGTGCCTCTAAGGCATGAACGATTAATCCGCTGTATGGAGTGGTACCGTTTTGTTGGCACTGAATGGCCAACTTTATGCGTGAACATCGCCTACTTGTACAAACGATTCCTCAGTAAGGCTAAATCACATGTGCTATTCGAGGGGCTACGACTAATGGTATATCTCGTTCCTAGGGCGTACGCAGCTCGCGACTGCGCGTGAGCTGTGGAAACGCATACAGTTCTCGCAAATCCCGGTTCCTCCAGAGTTCAATCTAATAGCTTTGAAAGTTGATGCCAATGCCGATTCTCACATCAATCAATCGGCCGATAATCGACCTGCCAGTCCCGTCAAAGCTGGTCGCTCAAAAAGTCCCCTCAAGTCAGCAGCTTATCATCGACAGCACCTTTCTTCGATGAGCTCAGGCAAGACAGTTGCTGAACAGTTATGTATACATGCACGGACCGTGGAAGACCTGGAATTACTCATCAGCACATTGGATGCCATGGAACGCTGGGGTAACCTTAGTGATGAGTACCTTGAGTGAGTTTCTAAGGGAATATATTCCCTGGAGGGAGCCATGTTATTGACTTTCTTACAGGCTCTCTAATCCGGAGCGAAAAAGAGAATTCCAGCAAATGTTGCAGCAGGCCATCGACGACGTTACAGAGAACGTCAATCCTCTTTGTCAGGATTGGCTTTGTCGGCCATTAAATGGTAAGCATTGATAGATACTTCTCATATACAAGAAGGGATAAAGAGACTGACAGTTAATAGAGGAGGAAGCCGCCGAATTTGACTTGATACGGACTGCATACCTCCCGGAAATTATCCTCATGTATCACAATTCTCTTTATCTCGCTGGATGCACCATTGGTCGTGAAATTCTTGCCCAGTGCATGAGTCTTTCAATCGCGATTGCCGGGTCACAGACTCTAACTGAATGCTTTGTGTCGGCGGGCCGAATGCGCGAGCTAGTCCGCGCTTTGGCTATGTCTAGTATGGCTATTATGACCTTAAAGGACCCTAAATTAAAGAAGAAACTTCCGCGAAACGCAACGCTTGATATTTGGAAGATTAAGCCTATCGAGGAAGATGCTGTTGGTCTTACTCAACACTGGAAAAAGGGCTAGTTAGGCTGTGTCAAGAAATGGGATTTGGAATGTTCTGGGATTGGTTTTCTTTGTATAGCATTTTCTTTTCTAGGCCTTTGCTCTGGTGACTGTGTCCACCTATACTCTCGCGAACAATAATGTTTTTCTGGGAAATAGACAGCGGATTCGGCATGAAGGTGACAGTGGCAAACAACAATCATCGGGTATGGCGATCAGTTCCATTCTTCATGTGATACATTTACATTTGGGTACGGAGTACTCCCCGGGGCATCAAATGATGGTGCTTGGTGCACCCACTCTACGTCCAAGGAGGCTGTGAATTTTGTGCAACAACCCTCAATGACATAAAAAATAGTTTTAAGTCCACCCCACTCAAATGTCAGAAATAGGGAGTTCAAACACTACTCTGTACAGTTGGTTATCGACTCGGAAGCCGACGACATACTGGTAACTGGAATATGGGGTCGGCGCAAAAAGCGTTTCTCTGCCCACATGGATTCTTTCTCGTTCGAATAATGTGTTCTAGAGAGTATTCCGTATTGTTTTGTGGCATGTCCTCTTATCCAGCGCGGCATAAAACAGCGCCTTCAGATGATAAGCACAACTTTCTCTGCGGCATGTAAATCAAGGAGCCAGTGGCTTGTCTGCAGATCTACGGAGTATAAGAAGTATTTTGCCCCATTTAGCAAAGCGACCTGCGCGACAAACCTGAATTTCACATTTTGCCAGGCGCCAAAGACGGACAGGATCGATGTCTTGCAGAATACGGGAGGAGTTCATACCTTTCCAACCTCAATTGGACATTTCCGGTAGTTACAGAGTCCTCCGTACAAAGCACCCCGGACATATATTAGTTTTCTTGGCGATCGTCCGGGTGAATGTACCAGAGTCAAACAAACGCTAAGCTACCTGCCTTCCCAATATTTGGGCATCTGATAGTGCAGTTGTTAATAGCCCTCTGTGCTGGCTTGCTGTTTCGAGATGCCTTGTACTGGGTCAACGAAGTGTGCGGTTGGTGATTGGAAACAGTTTCAGCTTGCGTTCGGACGGAGCCAGCTTCCGTGAGCTCAACTTTGACTTTTGCTCCTTGGCGTTGCCTCTAACGCCCATTCAAGACTTGGCAGGGATCGGCATCAGTATTGCAACCAGCAGTCGGGGTTGTGCGTTGCCCACTCCATCTTATTTAAGTTTCCACTCGAAATCTGCCGAAAGTCGATTTTGCCGCCACGACGAACGGAACACCAATCATAGTTGGACTGTGTTAAAAACCCACCAATACTCGGGGTTCTAGACAATTTCTCGCGGGTCGGGATTGAACGCCTTTGATGGGTCAAAGTTCCTCACGATGGAAGCTTAATGCCCGCTGCGACCAACCTTCGTTCGGGAACTGTGACGGTTGTCAGAAAGGCTATAACGCTGAAACAGCTGGGCCACCACCAAGGAGCTACCTTGTTTTACCATATTATCGACTTGTCTTCGGGCAAGGAAAGGCTTGGAGGATCGGACTTGGAATGCACGAATCATGTTCTAATGGGCCATCTTTGTGCTACCAAAGTCTTTTGCCCTCTTCCTTTTTTTTTTTTTTCCCTCCTTTCTTTGTCCCGGAAATGCCTTGTTTCTTGGGCATCCGCTTGGGCGGAACCGGGAGTATTGGCAGTGGCAGTGCAAGCGCGGTTCATTCATTTGTCGGATCGTCCTGCCAGGCAGCCAACCAACCACCCAGATTTTCTTGCACGTGTGGAGAGACAAGAGGGAAATTCTGAACGCCAGGCGTAGTGAAGGCGGAAAGCTGAGTGGTTTTGCAGGTTTTCTTTCGCGATGCTCCGTACTATCACATCTTGGGTGGATGCGCCCGGGCCTTGGTAGTAATAGGGGAAGCTGAGCGCCCTTGGCAACCACCATTCGAAATTGGATGCCCGCCTAGCGGTGTTGGCCCAAGCAAATCTTTTGCCTGCGGTTTTCACCTGGATATAACAGTGAATCATGGCCTAGCTGTTAACGCAGCTTTGTGGGAAAGCTCCTTTATTGCCCCCTTTTCTCCCCCGAGGCGCCCAGCTCAAAGGAGTCGAAGGAGCAGTTAGCACACAAGACAGCAAAATGACAACACCACTCAAAGAACGTAGAGAAAGCTAGAGGTGAGGACAAACGTGCATTATTTTTCTTGGAGCCAGTCTTCCTCGAAAAAGTGATATGCGGTAAGAACTTTGTGACGGTGTAGAATGATATCCATTGGCTGTGTTCGTTGTTTGGGCCCCTGAGGCGGTCATCATCCCTGACATTTCCCAGAGGCTAGGATTAGCCTTTTCGTTTGAACAATCATTCTCTGGGCATGCCTTTCCACCCGCAAAACTTCCAGTCCCGCCTCTCTTCCTCGCCCAGATCAAGCATGTATCAGTTGTCACTCTCAAACAGGGTTTGAGATAACCCCGATTGAGCTGCGGAACCCTCAACACCATCCTCGTCCAAGCTAGTGACGCCTTCCCGCCAGATCGCCTCCGTGCGGTCTACACTTCCTCCCAACCCCCATTGACTGTCCGCGGTCTTCGTTTGAAGCATTGGATCGACTTGAGTGTCAGTGTTTCCCCCAGGCCCACTGTTCTGCATCCAAGCCTCGATCTCTTCCTTTTGATCGGGGGATTTCAGCTTCTGGTTGTAGCGGTGAACTCTAACCTAGCTTCCCAATCCAGAGTACTTAGGCCCCCTCCAAACGACGTCCATCTCAAGGGCAGTCCATATCCTTACATTCACGAGCCTTTTACCGTCGAGCTTTGTGCACTTAGCAATGCTACACACCCAAGATTCTAACCGATAATTGCGAGTTTCCAGAGGCTACAGCCTAGTTCACTCCTATTCGTCTTTTACTGTGTGGCACGTTGAATGCGAGGGTGGAGAACTGAACTATTGCAATCATGTCGAATAGAGCTGAGCCAGACACACCTCATTCTCCGAGCCCTCTACGACGTGAACGAGCTCCAACGATCACAATCGATACTTCCGCGGTCAATTCCACACAAGTCTCAAATCAGGAAGAAGGGAGAGGGTCATCGAGCGAAAGCACACGGCCCGGTTCGAGCTCGTTGGCTGCTGGGCAACTGATCCCGTCAATTTCACCGACTGAACTACGACCCAGTCCTTCTCTCGAAGGACGAGAATATCGGGAGAGTAGGCCGACTTCACCCCATAACGTCTCGTCACCGACTTCGAAATGGATTGATTCCAGCAGCTCGAATTTCCTGGCCGTTCCTGGAGCGCGGTCTAGGGGAAATTCATTGGATTCGGAAGATGCTGTGAATTCGTCTAGTTTGTATGGTGGGGATACTGTCGCTCTGTCTTCGTCTGCAACGGACACGCCGATAAAAGGGTCCCCGGAGATAGAAGATATTACAAAGGTCAAGGATGCGCTCGCACCGGATCCCGGTACTGAAGCCGATTTTGAGGTAGAAAACAACAAATTTGCTTTCTCACCGGGGCAGTTGAACAAGATGTTGAACCCGAAAAGTCTGGCTGCATTCTACGCTCTCGGAGGGCTTGCTGGAATTGAACAAGGCTTAAGAACCAACCGCGATACTGGTCTCAGTTTTGATGAGAGTTTGCTGGATGGAACCGTGAGCTTTGAGGAGGTAACACGCCAAGGTGGCTCCCCGAATTTGAAGCCCAACTCTCATTCACCACCTCCGAGAGTGGATACAGCCCATGCGGAGTCCGTAAGCAAGAGCAGCGGTGCCTTCCTCGACCGAAAACGCATCTTTAGTGACAATCGATTGCCGGCCAAGAAAACGAAGTCTATTTTGGAACTTGCGTGGATTGCATACAACGATAAAGTCCTGATCCTACTCTCTGTCGCTGCAGTGATATCTCTTGCATTAGGTATCTATGAAGCAGTGACAGCCAAACCGGGAGAGCCAAGAGTCCAGTGGGTGGAAGGGGTTGCTATTATGGTTGCTATCTTAGTGGTCGTCGTTGTCGGGGCGTTGAATGACTGGAAGAAGGAACAACAATTCGTGAAACTCAATAAGAAAAAGGAGGATAGGAAAGTCAAGGTCATACGTTCCGGAAAGTCTGTTGAGATATCCGTGTTTGATGTCTTGGCTGGTGATGTGATGCATCTTGAACCTGGAGATCTTGTTCCGGTGGACGGTATCTTCATTGAGGGGCACAATGTGAAATGCGACGAATCTTCTGCCACCGGTGAATCAGACCTTTTACGAAAAGTTCCTGGCGACGAGGTTTACCGGGCAATTGACAACCATGAGTCTCTCAAAAAGTTGGATCCATTCATCCTATCCGGGTCTAAAGTCTCAGAAGGAGTTGGTACGTTTCTGGTTACGGCAACAGGTGTTAATTCCTCCCATGGCAAAACATTACTTTCGTTACAGGAAGAGGGCCAAACAACTCCACTGCAGTCAAAGCTCAATATACTAGCAGAATATATCGCCAAATTGGGCCTTGCTGCAGGATTGTTGCTATTCGTCGTGCTATTCATCAAGTTTCTGGTACGTCTACGGGGAATTGAGGGCGGCTCAACGGAAAAGGGCCAGGCTTTTCTTCGAATCTTCATCGTTGCAGTCACCGTTATCGTTGTTGCTGTGCCTGAAGGCTTACCTCTTGCCGTTACATTGGCCCTCGCCTTCGCAACCACCCGAATGTTGAAAGATAATAACTTGGTGAGACTGCTAAGAGCATGTGAAACCATGGGCAACGCTACAACTATTTGTTCCGATAAAACTGGCACACTTACCCAAAACAAGATGACTGTTGTCGCTGGCACCTTTGGCACTGCTTCTCGATTCGGCGACAATGTTGCTGCTGCATCCAGTGGACCTGATCAGTCAGAAAACAGTCAAGGAACCGCAGACTCCAGTGAAGTCCCGCCGGCTGAATGCATTAAAACATTGTCATCAGATGTGAAGAATGTTCTGAAGCAGAGCATCACATTGAACTCCACGGCGTTCGAAGCGGAGGAGGACGGCGAAATCACTTTCGTGGGCTCTAAAACGGAAACGGCATTGCTAGGGTTTGCACGCGATTACCTAGGATTAGGCTCTCTAAATGAAGAAAGGTCCAATTCTGAGGTGGTACAGCTTGTTCCATTTGATTCTGGTCGGAAATGTATGGCCACGGTTATCAAACTCCAGAACGGAAAGTATCGAATGCTGGTGAAAGGCGCCTCCGAAATCCTTATCTCCAAATGTTCAAGGATACTGCGGGATCCCACGGCCGATCTTTCTGATATTGCTCTCTCAGAAAAACACCGTTCAACTCTCAACAGCATGGTCATGCATTATGCATCGCAGTCCCTCCGTACTATCGGATTGGTATACAACGATTATGAGCAATGGCCCCCCCGCGGAGTTCCAACCCAAGAGGACGATCGTCGACTTGCTTCTTTTGACGCTGTCTTCAAAGACCTCGTTTTCTTGGGTGTTGTCGGCATTCAAGACCCGCTTCGCCCTGGCGTGGCTGAATCCGTCCGGCAGTGTCAGAAAGCCGGTGTCTTTGTACGAATGGTTACCGGAGATAATATTATAACTGCGAAAGCAATTGCGCAATCGTGTGGGATTTTCACCGCTGGTGGAATTGCTATGGAGGGTCCTAAATTTCGAAAGTTGAGTTCTTATCAGATGAACCAGATCATTCCAAGATTGCAGGTTCTTGCGCGATCAAGCCCGGAAGACAAGCGAATTTTGGTATCTCGACTTCAAAAGCTCGGTGAAACGGTGGCAGTAACCGGTGATGGCACCAATGATGCCCCTGCTTTGAAAGGAGCTGATGTGGGATTCTCGATGGGTATTGCTGGAACTGAGGTTGCAAAAGAGGCGTCGGCCATCATTCTCATGGATGACAACTTTAATTCTATCGTTAAGGCAATGGCCTGGGGTCGAACCGTCAACGACGCTGTTAAGAAGTTTCTGCAGGTGAGTCGGCATTCAGGGCAGCAGCCGGTTTGGCTATCCACATTTCTGATTTGTCCATCTAGTTCCAAATTACTGTGAACATCACTGCGGTCTTCTTGACGTTCATCTCGTCTGTCGCCAGTAACGAAGAATCTTCTGTACTTACCGCCGTTCAGCTCTTATGGGTCAACCTCATCATGGACACCTTTGCTGCCTTAGCTCTTGGTAAGTAACACTTCATTTGCGTGGGAGTTTCCTATAATACTGATCATATCCTAGCAACGGATCCGCCGCCGGATACTATTCTTGACCGCAAACCGGAGCCGAAATCGGCGCCTCTAATTACTCCGACAATGTGGAAAATGATCATAGGCCAGTCGATATATCAGCTAGTCGTGACCCTTATCCTCAACTTCGCGGGCAAAAACATTCTTAACTACGGCCATTCTGAGGAAGACGAAGCACGATTCCGTGCTCTAATTTTCAATACGTTCGTTTGGATGCAAATTTTCAACCAATACAAGTGAGACATCTTTTGCTCTTTCTTGTATATTCAGAAGGCTAACATTGACTAAATTGAAGCTCCCGGCGTATTGACAACCAAATCAATATTTTTGAAGGATTACTCAGTAACAAATGGTTCATTGCTATTCAGTTTATCATCACAGGAGGTCAGGTTCTGATCATTTTCGTGGGTCGCACCGCGTTCGCTGTCCGTCCCCTCAATGGAACGGAGTGGGGTGTCTCCGTGATTCTCGGTCTCATATCGCTACCTGTTGCGATCATCATTAGACTGATACCAGATGAGTTCCTCCGCAAACTGATACCCCGTTTGTGGTCCCGGAAACCTCGCAGTCCTCGAGTGTTTGTCTCTGATGAGGATCAACGATATGAATGGAACCCGGCATTGGAAGAGATCCGTGATCAGCTACAATTCTTGAAAACGGTGCGAGGTGGAAGACTCAACCATCTTAAGTATAAGCTTCAGCACCCACAGACGTTGCTTCCTCGGTCGCGAAGTGGTTCAAGGTCCCGAGACCATTCGGTTCCTCCAACTCCACAAGGCGATAATGAAACTGAGGTCAACGGTCGCGTACCATCAACGCCAGATTCACGCATGAGGAACCGTGGTCGATCGAGATCAAATTCTGCATTTGGTCCTGCTGCTGCTATGGCAGGTATAGTTGCGGGAAGTATTGCAGGCTGGTCTCCTGTTGAAAGAGCCGGGGGTGAAAATGATTCGATTAAATTTTCACGGTCGGGTCCCGGGGCCCTCGATCAGCAGGAAGGTATTGAAATACATCCTGACACTCGGGATGACGACCCCGTTGTCAGCGATTATTCTACCACCAGCAAGATACCTCCAAGCCAGAATCCGGATTTAGTTCCAGACTTCATGCACGCATCCTCTTCTAATCTACAGCAACCTCGCCGGTCAAATTCCCGCCAATCTGCATCTAGGCATTCGGCGACGTCGTCTGCTGGAAACCAACCAAAGATATAAGTCTTGTGGGCGTGCGGTTGGTATACGCCACTCGATTCTTTTTTTTTTTTTCTATTTTTCTTCGCTTCTTCTCACTCATAGATTTCTACCACCTTGGGCCTCATAATCGATGCCTCCTACCATACTATTTTATTAATGGTTGGCTGATGTTGAGTTTTATCTGACTTTATCATGGCTTATTGCTCTGCGAATTGGTGTTCTAGACTAATCTTTTATGGCCTCTGGCTGGAGTTCGGGCTGCTTTTTATATCCGCTGTCGGGTCACTCTCTCCGTCTTCCCTTTCCCAATCATACAATTTGATCCGCCTTCTTTTTATTTCTTTGCCTCTATCTTTGCCTCGTGTCAATGGCGAAATGGTGAGTTGTTGAATCCCACAGATATCCCAATTCACTCATCTTTTTCTTTTTTTTCAAATCCACTTCTTTCATTCATGGTGTCAGGTTGGAAGGTCAGGCTGGGGACTCGTGTGTGTTTTCTCTTGAACCGCCTGCTCTCATTTTCTTCTATTTGTTCTAAGATACATACATATTCCCTCTACAGAGTCCGCTCGCATGTGCTATTAATTCCTTTACCTTTTCGTTTACTACTTATCAGTTCAATTACCTCTGTAAATATGACCGGGTTCTACACTTTTGTAAATGACTACTGATCTATAAGTGATTCTCTTCATTCTTGGGCTTGACAGACAAAATCGAATAATTCCACTGGAATCTTGCGACTGCTTTTTGCCTCACCGAAAATAAGGCATATCAGCTACCAGGGCATTGGACCTGCTGTGAAGAGGTGCACCTCTTGTCTAGGCTATGATGGTTAGTGCTTAAACACTCCATCTGGTGACCAGCGCCGGCCACACAACCCATACCCGAAAAGCCAGGAGGGAAAAAAAAAAAAAAAAAAAAAAAAAAAAAAAAGAATAGAAGACTTTTTCATCCGCTCGGCTGGAGTCGAACCAGCGACAACCCGGTAACAAAGAGCACTTTACAGCCGGGTGCCATAACCAACTAGACCACGAGCGGTTAGCGCATAAATAAGGTTTTGAATCTTAAATCAATGAAGGGGAAATTTTTGGATCAGGCGCTCCCGCCAAGATGATAGTTAATACAAGTCCCATCGGGGTTTGTTGACATGAACGAAGTGAGCGGACTTAGCCGCAGTCCTTGGCTTCAAGTCGAATGACAGCTCTGGAAGTCAAAGCTGGAATTCGCGCTTCCATTAATCCAGAAAGTTTTTGACCTGTTACAAGAAAAGCGAGAGCGGAGGAGTCGAGTGGTCGGTCTTAACCACGGAGGATGGAGTAGCAGCTCTGCATATGTATTTTGGCTCTAGTGGTATCTATGTAGTACGAAGTGAAGATCTTGAAAATGAAAAGGAATATATCGCAGAAACATGACATCTTAGTTTACCAAGTGGTACTTTGCGTCCAACCGCATTATTCACATGTGTTTTGGGTCGAAGCTTGTCGCGATGTTAGTGGATGAACCTTGGCTTGATTAGAATAAAGTTCCCGAGTACCGAGCCTTGACGCCTGGCCCGCTCGATTCACAGGAAGCTGCCCATTTTATCAACATCCACATGGTTGCCCAGTCATATACAAATTGACAGCCCTAAGCCTCCAAACAAAGGTCTTGCGTCACCAAACTTGGAGCCTCGAACGCTTAGCCGGCGCGTCCAGACTACCTCTTTAACTCAAAGCTATTTTTCAACAGCCACGTTTCTTATATGAAAACTGATGCTTCATAGCTACATCCATAACAACGCTTGTCTCTGCCGATGACAATATGAGTTTCTCATACCTTGCTCAAGAGGGGAGAAACGTCCTCTCAACGCTCATCCATGGAGTTGTTGGACCAACCCTCGTTCCGGCGTACCTGCTGCTGGTCTCTGCACTGCGATACAGGAGAATAAAGCAGATGCAGAAAGAGTTTAACTACCCTACAAGGGAGTCTTTGGCAAACATGACAGATGACGATGCGTGGAAGATTCTGCTTATCATCGGCCAGCTGGAGTTTCCTTTTACATACCTCAAAGCTTTGCAGTTTGCTTTATTTAGAGTAAAGCAACCATATCTACTTGGCATGTCAAACGGCTCTAGACGCACCAGCTAACATATTCTTGTGATATATACTTGCAGACTTATGGCATCCCTACTATATCTGGCCTTCTCACGAAAACTTCTGAATTCTCGAAGCAACAAACTGCGATGAAGCGCTATGCAGATACATCCGTCTTGATTGCCGAATTTGTGGGCAACCCGCCATCCTCTTCCCGAAGCCGCGAAGGTATCGCCCGCATGAACTACATTCACTCTGTATATCGCAAATCCGGCAAGATCCTCGATGACGACATGCTCTACACCCTCAGTCTCTTTGCGCTCGAGCCCGCCCGATGGATCGACCGACACGAATGGCGCAAACTAACCGACTTGGAGAAGTGCGCGCTGGGGACGTTCTGGAAGTCAGTTGGGGATGCAATGGAGATTGACTACGGGAAACTACCATCTTCCAAGGAGGGATTTAAAGACGGGCTACAATGGCTTGATGAAATCCGTGAATGGAGCGAAGCATACGAGAAGAAACATATGGTACCCCACGAATATAACAATCGGACTGCCGAAGAAACGGTTACGATTCTGCTTTGGACCGTTCCGCGTATACTCCGGCCCTTGGGGCGGAAGATGGTGTATTTTCTGATGGATGACCGTCTGCGCACTGCTATGATGTACATTGCTCCGTTTTCTTTTGTCGATACTTCTTCCTTGCCCCCTTCTTTCGTTTTAATTATCTTTTTATTTTTTATTTTTTTTTTCCCTTCTCTCTCTCCGCGTCAATTGGCACTCTGACAGTTTTGCACGAACTAGGTACGAGCGCCCAGGCTGGATCTACCGTTTTATATTTTCGAAGATCTTCACTATTCGAAAGCTCCTCCTGCGCTATTCTGCCCTTCCCCGCCCAGACCTTTTCAAAGTGAGGCGGATCACCACCGATCCATCCGAGAAACCCCCTCATGCTCTCCTCACATGGGAGGGTGCACCTTTCTATGTCAAGCCAACATTATGGAACCGCTGGGGACCGTCCGCTTGGGTCAAGAGGCTGCTCCAGCTGCCTCTTCCTGGAGACGGAGGCGACACGTATTTTCCTAACGGCTATTACACACCTGACGTTGGACCCCGTGCGTTTGTGGGGAAAGGGCGTGATCATTACGAGCAGACGACGGCGCGATTGAAGACTGAGCGAAGGGGCCAGTGTCCGTTTGGCGTGGCGAAATAATTTCTAGTGGGAGGAGAGTAGCATAGTAGTGGCAAACGGGAGAGGCCACGAATCATCGATGTAACGGGGCAGGGATGGTGGGATCTCTGCGAGTTTATCTACATATGTATGTATGGAGTACGTACGGAGTACAGGGAAGGGTATTCAACCTTCCTCGATGTTCCAGATCCCCCAGCCGGAGGGAGGATCCGAGGCCGTACGGAGTACGGAGTACCCTGCAGGCGATTAGAGAACAGAATCAACAGTCAGATAATGAGAGCAATACTCCCAAACTCCGCCGTCTGCACAGCGTAACAGTCGCCAGTTAGCCACTATTTTCGCATTGCCAACGCAACCGGAGTGGTTGGACAGGCCGGTCTCGGTGCGTCGGCCGCCAGTCGGCTTCCAGGGATATCCAGCAATAGCAGCACCGGCTTATGTCACCAGGGCATAGCGGCCCCACTTTTCCTGCAGCTTCCCCACAGTTTCTTCTTTCGTCACTCGGTCTGGGCGCTTCTGGGACCGAGCATTTCCGGTGGTATCCAGGGCTATCCTGCTAAGCTCGCAGCCAGCTGTTTCTGGCTTGGACGAGTCCTTTCGCCCATTGAAAAGGCACCGCTTGGGGATCAAGAACAACTCCCCGGCACAACCTCAACACCGTTCCCCCTGTCATTGCCTTTCCCCTCCCTCCATTCCGCCAGAAAAGAAACAAGATGATGCGTCTCGGCGCGAGGCACCTTGCCCGTCATGTGGCAGCACCAAGAGCCACCATATATCAAAGTCAAAGGTCCATAGCACCCCTCGCTTCGTCGTCAGTTCACCACCGCTTCATTGCTACGACTGCTCCAACCATGGCGAATCTTGCTGCTTTCAAACCCCCGGCCATTCAGAATGAGCCAAATGTAGGTCCTGTCACTCTTGGGGGGTTTTGGTGTCACGCTCGACGCTGAGATAACATCTTTGTTGTAACGGCAGGATGGCTAACCATTGTTCCTTTACCGCAATCTAGCTGCACTACGCCAAAGGCTCTCCAGACAGAGAGAAGCTCCAACGAGCAATCAAAGAGTTCAAAGGAAAAGTTCCTGTCGAAGTACCCGTTGTGATTGGCGGCAAATCCGTGAGTTTGGCTGCCCCGGGATCACTTTGTCTCATTTCCTTTCCCCAAAGGAATCTGACCTGGAATGTTTCTTCCACTTAGATCAAAACCGCGTCTGTCGGTACACAGCACAATCCCTCTGATCATGCTCAAGTAGTAGCAAAGTATCACAATGCCACCCAAGAAGACGTCAAAGCCGCCATTGCTTCTGCATTGGAGGCAAAAAAGAGCTGGGAGACTCTTCCCTTTGCCGATCGGGCAGCGGTCTTCTTGAAGGCTGCTGAATTGATTAGTGGCAAGTATCGATATGAGATGATGGCTGCGACGATGGTAGGCCAGGGAAAGAACGCATGGCAAGCAGAAATTGACGCCGCTGCGGAGACGTGTGATTTCTTCAGGTCCGCATTCCCCATAGCTCCCTTCTTGCAAGCCAAGCTTTTCGATCCTAATAGGCTTCAGGTTCAATGTGCATTATGCTTCTGAATTATATGCCCAACAGCCAGTTCACAATGCTACTGGTGTCTGGAAGTGAGCACTCTCTCCCTTTGGGTTGTGTCTTACCACTAGCGACTAACTTGCGAATAGCCGAGTGGAGTACCGTCCATTGGAAGGTTTCGTTTATGCTATTTCTCCATTCAACTTCACCGCGATCGGTGGAAATCTTGCTGCAGCCCCAGCTCTCATGGGAAATACCGTCATCTGGAAGCCATCCCCATATGCCGTTGCCGCCAATTACTTGACTTACAACATTCTCGTCGAGGCCGGTCTTCCTCCAGGCGTTATCCAGTTCGTTCCTGGTGATGCTGAGATGGTCACTCGTACCATCCTGGACCACCCAGACTTTGCTGCCTTGCACTTCACAGGGAGCACCGCAGTTTTCCGTTCCCTGTACGGAAAGATATCCCAGGGTGTCGCAGATGGCAAGTATAAGGGTTACCCACGTATTGTAGGCGAAACTGGTGGCAAGAACTTCCATCTCATCCACCCCAGCGCCGATATCCAAAATGCAGCCCTGAATACCGTTCGCGGTGCTTTTGAATTCCAAGGCCAGAAATGTAGTGCCTGCTCCCGTGCCTACGTCCCAGCGTCGAAGTGGGATGAATTCCGTACTAGCCTCGTCTCTGAAGTTGAAAAGCTCAAGATAGGCGGCCCGGAGGATTTCACCAACTTCATCGGTCCCGTCATTCACGAACCTTCCTTCGCCAAGCTGTCTAAGGTCATCGACAACGCCAAATCCGATAAATCACTCACTCTCCTTGCCGGCGGCAAATACGACAAATCTAAGGGTTATTTCATCAATCCGACTATTTATTCCACCACAGATATCAACCATCCCCTCCTCTCCACAGAACTTTTCGGCCCCGTTCTCGCTATCGTCGTCTATGACGACGCCGCCCCCAACGCTTTCGAGTCTGTTTGCAAGACGATCGATAGCACTGGCCAATATGGTCTAACTGGCGCGGTCTTCGCCCAGGATCGCCAGGCAGTCCGCTATGCTGAAAACAACCTGCGTGCCACTGCCGGAAACTTCTACATCAACTGCAAGTGCACCGGCGCTGTGGTCGGCCAGCAGCCATTCGGTGGATCGAGAGCGTCTGGAACCAACGACAAGGCGGGAAGCCAGGCTCTCCTGGGCAGATTCGTGAGCATGCGGTCTATCAAGGAGGAATTTGTTCCTATCAACAGCGTCTTGTATCCTAGCAACGAGTAAATGGGAGGGAGAGGCGCGAGTCAAAAATGGGGAAGGTTTGGGCGTTGTCATTACCAGCACCTTTGTTGTCGAGCAGGTACTTTGATTTGAAATCTAGCGTTATTTTCCATATATCCCATTTCGAAACCTACCTTGTCTCTCTGAATTTAGCTAGATGCATGAAATCTGGGTATTAGTTCGGAAAAGGGCAATGAGTGGCATGATCTAAACGCACCCCTTCTTCTGTATCAATGTCGCTCTAACATCATGAATGTCCCGTGGAATATGTTCATCGGCCCACTCCGATGATGACGGCCCTGCCGTGGCCTCAACTTCAATTTCTTGGTAGTCCTCCCTGGTGTTGCAATGCCTCAAGCCGGCTCCGTGAAATATGTTTGGAACATGATCAACAGGGCCCTTTTCTCACGCATGGTATGAACATCGGCCAGATAGCACTAGTGACGACAAAGACAAAGATGGGTAAAACGGGACTTCAATGTCAATATTGAAAAGGCAGAATTGAAAAGCCTTCGGGGCTAGGTTGCACCTTGAATTAATATTTTGTATGGTTACGCCTGCATGATTTGAAAAGTACAAGTAGCTGTGTTAGTCACTCATCTGGTGCATTAAATTTACTGTGAAAATCCCATGCTTTTCTTCAATGGCCAATTAATAAGTATTAAAAGAGAGGAAAGTAGTCATCGCTCAAATTAATATGTTGGTTGATACTAACATCAGGCTTGAAAATCACGCACAGGGGTATATGTTGTGCTGTTTACTCCTCTCCCTCCAAGATTTCCTCCTCGACACTGATGGAAAGTTAGCACTAATTAAACTAATGGCAACTAAGGTTCTGTGGGACTTACTACTCCTCCTCACCCTCGGAGATGCTGGCATCCTGGTACTGTTGGTATTCACTGACCAAGTCGTTCATGTTACTCTCGGCCTCAGTGAACTCCATCTCGTCCATACCCTCACCAGTGTACCAATGCAAGAAAGCCTTGCGACGGAACATAGCAGTGAATTGGTCACCAACACGCTTGAAGAGCTCCTGGATGGAGGTAGAGTTTCCAATAAAGGTGGAAGCCATTGGGAGGCCACGTGGAGGAATAGAGCAAAGAGCGGTCTGGATGTTGTTGGGAATCCATTCAACAAAGTATGTGTGGTTCTTGTTCTGCACGTTGCGCATCTGATCCTCAACTTCTTTCATGGAGACCTTGCCACGGCTTGAAAGTATGTTAGAGAAGATCAACAGCGGAGGACAAAGTGCGCGGAACTTACAAGATCGCGGAGCAAGTAAGGTAGCGGCCATTACGGAAATCAGATGCAGCCATCATGTTCTTAGGATCGTACATCTGCTGGGTCAATTCCGGAACGGTGATGGCACGGAAAGAGTAGGCACCGCGGCTGGTAAGAGGAGCGAAGCCAACCATGAAGAAGTGGAGACGAGGGAACGGAACCATGTTAACAGCCAGTTTACGGAGATCAGAGTTGAGTTGGCCAGGGAAACGAAGACAGGTGGTAACGCCAGACATGACAGCGGAGACCAGATGGTTAAGGTCACCATAGGATGGGTTGGCAAGCTTGAGAGTCCTCATGCAGATGTCGTAAAGAGCCTGGACCCAGTCAGATTCTGAAAAGACAATCATCGCCCACACTGATATGTTTGCCTTACCTCATTGTCAATACAGAAGGTTTCATCTGAATGTTCAACCAATTGGTGAACAGAGAGGGTTGCGTTGTATGGTTCAACAACAGTATCTGAGACCTTTGGGGATGGGACAACGGAGAAAGTGGCCATCATACGGTCTGGGAACTCCTCTCGAATCTTTGAGATCAACAAGGTACCCATACCGGCACCAGTACCACCACCGAGGGAGTGAGTGATCTGGAAACCTTGGAGGCAGTCGCAGCCTTCGGCCTCACGACGGACAACATCAATGACCTGGTCAACTAGTTCAGCACCCTCAGTGTAGTGGCCCTTTGCCCAGTTGTTTCCGGCACCGGATTGACCGAAAACAAAGTTATCGGGACGGAAAAGCTGGCCAAAGGGGCCGGCGCGAACGGCATCCATGGTACCGGGTTCAAGATCGACGAGAACGGCGCGAGGAACGTATTTCCTGCCAGCGGCCTATAGAAAATTATTTAGCGGAAAGTGCTCGCTGGACGAAACTGGAGAGTAATGTTACCTCGTTGAAGTAGACGTTCATACGCTCGAGCTGAAGGTCAGAAGACCCAGCATACCTATATCTGTGTTAAACATCTCTAATTCGCGTGTTATGCGATTGTGGGCAACGCACATGCCGGAGCTATCGAGGCCATGTTCGCCAGAGATGATTTGCCTAAAAAGGACACACATGTAAGCTACAGCGTAAATGCAGGTTGTGTGATGGCTGGGTAGCTGAGCTTACCAGAAAGCGGCACCAATTTGGTTACCCTACGTGCAGAGGTCGGGTCAGATATCAACACTCCCAATCCAAAGGATTCGATCGAAGCTATTTTCAAAACTTACACACTGGCCAGTTTGGAGATGAACCTAAAGATATGAGAGAAGGTTAAGTTAGCAATGGCGTTGATTTGAAAATAATTTCAGGGATCTTGAGTATTCGGTGCAGGGACTGGCGGGGTTTGTAGGATGAAGGAGACCTTGCTTGACAAAAGCAAAGCGTGTTATGATATGAGAATCGACTTACAATTTCACGCATTTTGGACTGAGTTTAGATCCGAGAGAGGTCTGATGAAAGATGCGAGGGTGTAGGCGGTGGTTGAAGCAGAAGCACGCTGGGAGACTGCGAGAATGTCGTTGGGTAGGAAGAAAAGAACGGCGGTGAGGTTGAAAAAAAAGGGGAGGTGGAAGGAGGTACGCCTAAAGGGCCAAAGCTAAGCCGGTCTGAGTTAACGATTGTTTACATTGTTTGTGTGGCAGGCACCGCGAATCCAGTGAAGAGCGGGCGTTTGGTGGGTCGATTATGTAATTATGTCAACAATCCGTATCCGGTTTAGCGCCCTCCGACGCTTTTGGAGGCTTTTGATGGGCATCCTTTGGTAGAAGCTCTTTCAGGCAGCCGAAGCAATCTGTCCAGTTACATATACATAATGCGCTGAATTTGCCCTCTAAACAGACTATGAAGTGGTTGCCTCGGGCTCTGCCTTCTTGTTTTCAATCCACGATCCGAACTCCTCCAGCCGTCTAGCCTCTTCATCATCATTGCCAACTTCCCAACCTGCACCGTCATCTTCATAGTCATGGCCCTTCGTGCTCGACTTTTTGAATCGCTCACGCCCGTCAGCAATGTACGCTTCGACTTGAGTACCGCCAAAGAATCGGCCATGCATCATCTAGATGGGGAGATTAGATCCAGTGCTATCATTTCGCTAAAGCGATCAACAAAGGCGGGGATACGCACCCGCACGCATGCTTGCGCGGCATCGGGATCCTTAAACCTGACTGTCACAACTCCAGATTCTTCTTTATCGTACATCACCACGTTGGTAACCTCTCCTAGCTTGGAGCATTCATCTCGGATATCCTCCTTAATGTCAAGGATTGCGGCCGGATCTTCCTTTTATTATGGTTGTCGAGTCAGTGAACCATCAAAACTGACGGCACTCCCTTCCCTCATATATCAAAGGGAAAGAAAGAAGAGAACTGTAATAACTCACCTCAAGCTCCTGGAGCGTAAACATGTGCTTAAGTATCACAACCTTCTCCCATCGTCCTGATGGCTGAGTAGCTGCATCTTCTTCGTCCCAGTCCGCAAGTTTACTAACGACAAGCATCTTAGCGTCAAGGTAAGGAAATTTGAAGGATGTGCTGAAGGGCTGAAACAGCACGGCACCATACTTCTTAAGCTTCTGGGTCTTTCTAATAATCTTTGCCTTGTCTCTCGCGTTTGGTTTCTCGGGCGCTTCTTGTTGTGCTTTGAATGAAAAGTCCGCTTGCTGGACTTTCATTTTCCCTTGCGGGCCGGGTTCGCCGAATCGGAAATCTGAATCGTCAAGCATCTGAATCGCAAGATTGACGGATTCGGGCCGGAAATATACCACCAGCGCATCTCCCTTAAAATTTCCGTTCTCGTCCGTATACATCTTTATACGTGGTCGATGGCTATCAATTTCTTCGGCGATGACCCCGCATTTGCAAAAAACATCATTTATCTCATCGACGGTCGCATCTAAGGGAATTGAAGTGACATATACTGCAGTGTTCGTACGGGGTTTTTTGGCTTTGTGCGTATTATTGCCGGCTCCCTAGATTAGAAGTAAGACCAAGGAGTTAGACAATACTTTGATCTGGTGAGATGGCGCATGGCAGACAATGGACTTACGTCGTCGTTCTGCTTCCGCTTCTTCCTTTGTTGCTTAACGGCTGGCTCGTTCTCATCCACGCCTTTAACCTTGTACGCTTCTCTCTGTTGCTCGACAAGAGAGTCATCCAGCTATGCATTCGTCCAGCGGCCGTAAAAAGGGGTCCAAGCAGTTAGAATCATGATCCGTCCAGCTCGTGGTAACTATGAAAGCATTGAACCCACACACATGGAGAGAGAGCACACGCGAAATGTGGAAGAGGCGTAGGAGTGTTTGCCCAGGGCCCCAATTGGTGTACTCATCTCTCCATGGAGAAAAGGCGCTTCATAGCGACACGGGGGAGTTCTAGGACATGCGGAGGCAAAAGTGGAGTAGTTACCCAAGGTATCCATCTCTTTAAGACCGTATCGTATGAATATTCTTCACCATCTTCCGTTTCCAGAATGAATTTATTATCAAGTTTCGAAAAAGAGATTCGGGGATCGCTGTCAAACTGCGAAGGATCGGTTGGAAAGCTCGGGCGGTGGGCACTCTCAGCAGTGAGGCTTGGTGGCTCGTCCATATTTTGGTATTTATCAAAGGGATTTCGTGAAGCGAATGGGATAGCAATATTGCAATTTCATATGGATAGGGCACAGATCGGAACAATGAACATTGAATTGATTTAAAGAGGGGTTCAGCGGTGAGGCGACAATCCTAAGCTCAAGCATCTGGAGCTTCCAAGGTCTTGATCAGGTCATTTGCTCTTATGGTCAGCTTGCTTATAGCTAACTTCGAGCCGCTTTTACCGTGATTAGTCACCCAGTTCCTTGCTCGTGGTCGACCATCAGTTTACAAAGAAATCGCCATTTCAGACACGAAAGTCAAACAGAAGCAAAGTCGGAAAGGCAATATATGGAAAAATGATTTTAATGTCCAGATCCTCTAGGCGCGATTGAGCATGGATAAGGGAGTCTTCTTCTCTCACTTGCACCAGCCAAGGCAAAAGAAATATCTTCATTGTATAAACTTTACGGAGTACAGTACAGGGTACAAAATTGGTGATCCATACCGGAAAAATGAGCTTTTCGGGCAACTGTCAGAAAACATTTATCCAACATGACCTGTTGAGCCACAGATTGCAAGCTTGAAACTGTAGATCCACCATATATTTACAATGCATGTATAAAGAGTCCAAAATATATAGAATTTGGAATGTATGATGCATTAATTAAGAGTTTTGAATCTGATTTAGAAGCTTTTTAATTGCTAGAAATTAATTATTAAATGTTTACAGAACCACCTGCACAATCTGAATTATAATAAATTTTTTTTTTTTTTAAATTTCAGAAGTCTCCTCACTGGTTGGAGTCTCTAGTTCAGGGACAGAATATAAAGTAAGTACAGAAGAATTATCAGAATAAGTCTATTTGAACTACTTAATTATATTTTTGAGCAAATTAGCTCTGCTGTCTTCAGTTAAAGACAGGCCCAATGCAGATAGGTTTGGCTATAACTAAATGAAGAGAGAAGATGTGATTGAAGTAAGAAAGAGAAAGAGAGAAGTAAATACAGCAGAGAGTAAAACAGCAGCAAATTAATCTATCTTAACTACTAATTTATAAATAGTTTCTTCTGTCTTTTGTTTTTTCTATCATCAAATATTAAAGTCAGTTCAATTTATTCTGATATTATATTAAGTATACTGACTACAGAAGATAAATAATTGAACTTTAAGTTCTAATAAATATTAATTAAGATTCTTTCAATATTCTATATATATAACTGTATTAGTATGAGTTGAATGTATAATCTTCAATTAGTTTAATCTATCTTAATAGAGTGGAATGTGTGCTCTGCAAGCTCTTTTTATTTGACTTAAATAGATATAAGCTTTTTTAATATTATCAAAGTGGCAGCACCAACTTCAGTGTTAAAAAAGAAGAAAGAGAGAAAGTTATCAGTTTGAACTAATAAGAGTATTATTTTAGTAAGTATTTTATTAAGATCAGTAGTCTGTTCTGTTATACTAGTTTTCAGTTCTTCTTAAAGTATTGTATTCTTAAGTCTGAGAAAATTATTATAATTAGACAGTAATACTGCTACTTTCTTCTGCATCTCTAAAGAAATAAAAGCACAGACTTTTTTATCTTCTGTATAATTAGTGCAGGTCTTGATAATTTCTTGCTTATGTAAACAAGACTTGTTGATATATGCTGTATATATAAATATTAAACAGTAACCACAGAGTATATTACTTATAGTAAGCTCTTTTTTAACAGCTGAGAGCTTTTACTCTAGCTTTTTCTTTATGAACATTAGAGAGTGCTTGTTCTGAGCTACTGCTAATTTATGTATTTATGAAGTCATTTTTTGATATTTCTATATATATTATTCTTCAGTTTGCTGCAGTTTCTTATTTTATTTGAAATCCACCACTTACCTCAATATTGAAACAGAGGGGGAGAGATAATGAGAAATATAATAAGCTTAAGAGAAGAAAAAAAAGAAAAGAAGAGAAGAAGAGAAAGATTTTGTGTGAAAAGAGATTATTATATCTAGTGTATCTGCTTGATTATTTTGAATTTTCTAATTAAGATGTGTCTATTTATATATTACTAAGTGCTAACTCATTTTGCTTAAAGCTCCTACAGCTGATTATGGTGAATGATAAAGAGATATATATTAAATATAGTGAAATTCAGCTCTTGCAAGCATTGATATAACAAAGTATTGCATTAAAGTCTAGATATCAAATTCTGAAATCTATTTTAAAGCACAAATTAACAGCTAATTTTAATCTGAAAAGATATCTTTTATATATTTAACTAGAATCTGTGTCTCTTTTAGAGTTTGTGACCAGTTGCAGCTGATACAGATCTCTTTAAATAGACAGACTAATTTATTACAGTCTCAAAATAATTCTCTATAATATTCTGTAAAGAATTCTGATTCTTCTTATCTGAATTATTATTCTCTAGCTTCTGCAGGGCTTGCACTGTCTGAGCTGGATATAAATTGAGTTCTCTGAGTGACATACTAGATATCAACTGAACTGCATCCAGAATTCCTGGCAAAGTCTTAATATAAACAGTCTTTAGCTTTCTTGATTAAATCTTCTGTTGGGTGAAGTTATCTGAATTAATATCTCTCAGTTCTGGTTTCTGTATCAAGCAGTTCCAGAGCTTGAGTATAGAATTCCAGATGTAGATTAATAAAGTGGATGTATTCTGTTTTGAACTGTTATTATTAAGATATAGCTTCATGTATGCTGCTAAATTTGCATACATCTCTATTGCCATAACTGTCAGAGTAGAAATCATGGTAATTAAGATTTATCATTAACTTATATTCAAAATACTATTTTTCTTGTGGAGCTGACTTTTCAAAATTGACACACAGCTTGATCCAGTAAAAGACTTTACAGAATTGATCTTACTTGAATAATTGGGCAAAATAGCTGATTAGCTTTTGTTGATTAATTATTTCATGAAGTCTGAAATTAAAATTCTTAGTCAAGCTGAGTTCAATATATTTTCTGATATGATCCTGCAAATAAGGTCAGTTTATACTATAACTAGAAGTTTAGAGATGTTGTTCTGATCTTCAAGCTACTCAAGATCTTATATTTTCAATCTTTACAGAGATCCAACATGCACCTGAAAACTTCACAAAAATATGAGTTATTTTCAGTTTTCCAGTTCTCAAGGCTCAGCATCTTCTGAATGATATCTGGAATTGGGTCAGTATTTAATATTGATATATAGATCTATTGCATCTGATTTTATATCTTGTACTCCATCACTTGAACCTGCTTTTCAATCTCTGTATAATTAGAGAATGCTTTGATTTAAGTACTTGTATTTAAACTAAATAATATCTCTTAAGTCTTTAATATACTGTGCAATTAAGGCCATGAGAATGTGTAAGCTGTCTTTTTTAGTGCTGGTGTGCTCTGTGTCTCTGATATTTTGGCTATTGAATTACTGTAGTTCAGAGTGAAGTGAGAATAAATAAGAGTGAATGCTTGAATTTTGAAGGGGTTTGCTATCTATTATATAGTTGACTTGAAGTATATTTAACTGCTTAAGTTACTATTTGAATCTGTATTCATATTCTTCTACATTCTAAAATTCAACATCACTAAGTGATTGATTTCTTTGAAATAGACTAATCACTCAGAACAATGCAGATTATTGCTAATCTTGCATCTCTTAGAGTTAATTACAGATCTAGATAATTAGAATATTATAGTTGGTCTGTGACACAGTTGGCACATTTGCAGCTGCTCTAATATTCAACTTTGCTATAATATATCTGATTCTCTAATTAAACAGCAATTTTCTTTTTAATTTTTATATACTTTGTTCCAAAGAAATTTCACAGCAACTCTTACTGTTTCTGCAATTTGAAACTTAATTACTGTGGAAACTAGTATATAAATCTCAAGCAAACATACAATATTCAAGATACATGAGACATATACAAAACTATATATTTTGGAGAAGATGACTTTATTTATTATTCCCAGTCTTACAGTTTTAAAAGCACAGACAGCATGCTTATTTGTTGTGGGAATCACAAGATTACAATTATATTTTATCTTCAGTGGAATCTGATATTCAGCTGAACAATTAAACTAAGAAGTCAGAATTAAATATAAGATCTTGAATTCTCTGTTAGTCTGTATTATTCTAATTACTGTGTACAAGATGCAGCAAGTCTTTTAGATATCTCTGATGCTCTGTCTGATACTCTATCTGATACTTATTCTGAATCAGAAGATATTAGAGTGTAGGAGATTATACAAGAAGCAGTGATAGCTCTACTTATAGAATCAGTTAATAACAATGAATTATAATAATATAAAGAGCCTGAATCTGAACTCTGATTACAGACTATATTACATTCAGTGCATCTGATTAGCAATGAAGATTTCAATTTTCATTCATAACTAGAGAATTTATTGAGTGATCAGCCAGCTAAGATCTATATTCTGACTACAATGAATGATCTGTTAAAGATTCTAGTCCATGCATATATAGAGTCTGATGAAATGCTGGACCACTTTATACTTGCTTTAGAATTATAATATAAAAAATCAGAAATATCTTGCTGATACTATAAGACACTGCAGAAAGTCTTACAGATTTCTGAAGATATTAGTGCACTAAGATCTCTATTATTGAGGCTGAGCATATTGAAGAAGAAATGCAGAGCTTAATTTTCTATACTTCTCATTCAACAGGCATTCATACTGGCTGTTTTATTGAAAATGCCAACTCTTTCACCTGCTGAGAAGTGACTAATACAGATATCTCTTACATCTAATTTATTCTTTCAGAATTCTGTAACTCTTTTGTTATTACTGGCAAGGTCTTCTGTATTTCACAAGAAGATACATATTGGTATAGCTAATCTAGTTAACAATCTAACTGAATTGTGGTAATAATGAAGCTGGAGGAGCTTTATTAGATATTTGTTAAATAACTTTGCATAGTACTCTGACAGAATACCAGTCTTTTCTTCTAATTTTGTTTATTTCAGATGCAACAATACTGCATATAGATATACTTAAAATAAACAAGAAATTCATATTGAAAGAATTTAATTTGTAGGTCAGAACTAAAGACTGGCCTGTACAAAATCTGATGAAATTATTCTTATTATTCAGTATACTATTACTGCCAACAACTTTAATAAAAGAATTTATTTTCTGAGATCTCTGCTTTGCCTGAATAAGCTACTCTTACTGAAAGATCAGAAAACTCATATTATACATGAAGATAATATTCTAGCCTGACTGAATATTCATCTTGACTATATCTTTGATAAATTAAGTAGCTACAAATTCTCAGAAACAAATGAGCTTTTTGTATGGTGAGTGATGAATACAATTTGCAACACATTATCTGTACAAGAGCTCTGACTTAGCATTCTGCTCTGGAGTGAACTGAAAATTATGATATATGAAAGAGATATGCTGATCAAGATGCTCTGCTCAGGTAACTCTATCAAAAGAATTATATTCATTCTCTTCCAGCTGTTTATTGATGGATTTGATCTATATTAAAACATGTACTAAAATATAACTAGCTTCTATATAATCTCTGCAAGACTTAATAATTTCAAAAGAAGGCAATAAAATAATATATATATAATTACTCTCAGGCCTCATGCTACAAATTTTTCTGATATTGTGAAGATGTTGGCTTCTGGTTTACAAGCAGTTAAAAGAGGATTTGACATTATAATAACTAGTAAAGAAACTGTCAGAGTTATTACTTCTTGTATTACTTATCTTGATAACATGCCACAGCAAAATAATAATACTGAAATTAAATACTCTACTGCAACAGTCTTCTGTTGAAGCTGTACTGTCTCTGATATGAAGAGGTTCAATATGAATTTTGACTTGATAAAATGTGGCTGATATCATTACCAGTTACTTAATTTGCAGGCTGAAATTAAGATAAAGTGGACTGTTTGAGAGTAAGAAGCACTGTGAAAGACTTATGAATTAGTCAAGAAAAGTTCTCTGATTTTGAAGATCTGCTCAGCATTAAATCTGATGACATTTTTCTTCTCTGATCTCTGTTATAGTGAATTTTCAGACCTGTCTAAAATTGTGTATACATTATTGATATTATATATATTGACACCTGAGAGGCAGAAGAAATACTGCTAAATTCTACAGAGATTTTTATTTTAAAGATGCTGGATCTGACTGCAGTTCTTAATTACTTATCTGAAGTTCTATTAAATTCAGAAATATATCTGAGCTTTAATTGTGATTTTAATTATACTCTGCTTTGCTCTAAAGTCTAACTAAATTCAGACTGTTATTTAGCAGACTCTCTATAACTTCTTTAGTGAACAGTTAATTGATTCTGATATTCTGTGTTTGTTGCTTACTAAAATCTTTAATACTATTACAAGAAGTAATTCATTATTGACTTCTCAGATATCTGTTGAGTACAATGAACTTAAAAGTATAGTTACTAATATCTGAATTATGCTTCAGAAAGTAATAAATACTACTATCATGACTACTGAGACATCATGATTAGCTAGTCAAGCAGTATGAATGCTGAGATTATGACAGAATTCACTAGTATTTAATTAGATTATTATATTTCTGACAGGGAATATTTTAATCAACATCATCAGTATTGCTTTGAAAGCAGATAAGATATTACATGCTTTGAAATACTGATTAAACATATATATTGAGGTGCACTATACTAATCAGATAAAGAAGTATACTGTGCCAAATAACTGCAATGTACTGATTGGGAAGAATAAATACTGTAAATACAAAGTATTTGTGCAGTGAATCAACAAGTATAATGTTAAAAAGATTTTACTGATTCATAAGAGCTTCAAACACACTATATTCTTGACTCTTGATAGAGCTCTTATGAAATTAGAACTCTATATTATCAGTCAGATAAAGCAACTTCATTGTGAATATCTGATTCTCATACAAGATCTTGTGTAATCAGAACACAATAAGCAACAAGATAATAATGAGAATGCCAATGAAGCTGATAACTTATATGCTACCATCTTCTTTTATACCTTAATCAATGCCTACTGCTGACTACCAGCTAGCTGTAAAGTCATGGAATTACTTGATTTATAAAGTGTGTGACTTTCTGAACTATCAGTTATGCATTTCTTTTTGTAAAAGCTCTGACTTTCATACAGCAGTGATTGAGCATATTAATATATACTTAACAGAGATTTGATCTCAATCTGATTATTTCAAAAGCTAATCTTTACATTCAATAGAGATGTGCATTGCACTACATTAAAACTTGATAATCTAGTTGAGTATACTTGTGCATTGAGCATCAAGATTAGACAAATAAGATGCATATTTATTTACAACCAGAACAGCAGCTGAAGAGTTTTTTTTGCCATGTTCTCTGCTTATGAAATTTGATGTAAGAGGGTACTGGATTTGCTGATTTTGCAGATGAATTAGAATGAGATTTATATAATTAGTCTACCTGTAATCTACAAACCAAGTCTTTACACTATATCTGTCAGCAAAGATTCTGAAAGACTTGAACTAGATTCTGCTCTGCTGACTATCTTTCTTAACTGCACTTGAAGTATTTTCTTTTTATAGATGGATTGAGTGATTTGATGTATGTAGTATTGTGCATTAGTTGAAATTCAATTTCTCTCTCCAGTGTCTGCTGGGGTAACTATACTATAATGATTTCTATACTATAATGGTTTCCCTCCACATTTATAAATCTGAAAAGGTATCCCAAATGTTCCTAGATATATTTGTTGATTAGAGATTTCAATGTTTCCTGATTTCTATGTTGAGGATTGGAAGCTATGTTTCTGAATTTGGAATGTATATATTTTTAAACTTCCAAACAATCATGGATTTGGATAAATGTATATTCCAATGTAAATGTATTGGGACTAGTGGATCTACAGTTTACAAATCCTCCCCATTTCTGCTATGGATTGTTCTCGTAAACAGGTGACTGGCGGGGAATATCGATACGGATGACGGGAACTGTGGAGGATGAATGGGCTGAGATGAGGAGAGTGATAAATAGCAGCAAGCCTGTCGCACTACGGAGTGGTTAACTTCTAGATGAGAGATAACTACCTAGACCTCACAAGAATCCACTGGGAAAACCGACCCTCTTCGTTCCTTATTTCGTTCCAACGTACGGAGTACGGGACGTCCTTTTCCGGGAATTCATAGTCAACTTATGTCTCATCTGGCTAAAGCACTCCATAAATATTAATAGGTACATATCGAAAAAAAAAAAAATCAATCTTTTACTAATTCTCCATCAGGACTCCTTTCCAGACCCATGTATTTTTGTCGAATTAACCGAGTCACCGTCGGATTTAGGCTCAGACTTGTCCGTCTCAAATCCACTGCTTACGTCTCGGGCAATCTCCACGTAGTCATACTAAAGAGATTGTCAGTATGACGAACAGCCATGTCATCTTTGTTTATGAAACTTACTGCAAACTCCCCAATTTCTGCGTCATCGACTCCTATAATCTCATCCTTTTCACTCGCGCGAAGGTGTAGACCGGGGATCAAGTTGATCAGAAATAGAATGATACAACTTCCGATGAAGGAATAGGCTGCCCCAGTCACAGAGTCTGCGAGCTGGTAAGCGAGCTGAATATAGTGCTTATTGAGCCAACCTCCATCGATGTAGGTGGCACCATCGAGCCTTGCGATATAGTCCCTGAGATCCAGTTAATGCATGAAGGGAAAGAAACTATATTTGGACGAGCCCCCGTTTCACTTACGCTGCGAATAAACCCGTGAGTAAATTTCCGATAATTCCTCCGACTCCATGAACGGCAAAAATATCCAAAGAGTCGTCAATGCGCATGAGATACTTCAATTTCGTGGCATAGTTGCATGCAGTCGCCCCGACTAACCCGAATATCACAGCCGCCCATGGCGGGACGTATCCCGATCCAGGGGTAATTGCCACAAGACCTGATATTACCCCGGAGGAGAAACCCACTGCAGAGAATTTTCCGTTCAGGCGATAATCTAAGAGGCACCATGTAACACCACCAATGGCGGCAGCCAAATTGGTCACAATGCCTGCCATTACCGCTCGCAAGATTGCACTCAACGCAGAGCCGCAGTTAAACCCAAACCATCCGAATCACAGAAACACCGTTCCAATGACAACGTGAGTGACGTTGTGTGGACGATGATTGAAGTCGCTGGTACCTTGCCCTCGTCTCTTCCCGAGCATGAGGGAATACGCGAGGGCAGCGACACCGGAAGCGATATGCACGGGAGTTCCACCAGCAAAATCGAGTCCTCCCATTTTATATATCCAACCAGAGGAGTTCCATGTCCAGCACGCACGAGGATCGTATATAATTGTGGTCCAAATGAACATAAAGACGATGCATGGTGCCATTCGACCACGTTCTGCAACAGCTCCCACTGCCAATGCAACTCTAGATTATAACGCATTGTGAACATTTGAATCCTCTCCGGAACCAGCAGGCTCAACTTACATGATTGCCGCAAACATCCCTTGGTATAAAGCAAACAGTATATCCGGGATCTTTGAGCTTCCAACGGAGGGCTGAGCAAGGACACCCTTGAAACCAAAGTTCTCAAGGTTACCGATGTAGGCTCCAGCAGAATGGGAAAACGCGAGAGAATAGCCCCAGAAAAACCACTGGAACGAGACAACTCCAAGTGACATAACGGATAGCCATATCAGCGAAAGCGCGGATTTTCTGCGAGCAAGCCCAGAATAGAAGAATCTGCGATACCATTAGGACGAGAAAATTGGACATAAACTCAAGAAATGCAGGAAAGGACATCGTACCCAACACCAGGAATCATTAGCAGTACTAAGGCTGCACATGTAATGATCCATGTAATATCACCTGCCTAAAGGAAGCAATTTATAAGTGGGCGCCGTGTTTGGACAAAGCTCACATTAATGCACGTTGTAGAACACATTGAGGTCAACTTCCATCGAGTTTCCCCCAGTAGCAATGCTCCCGTTATAGGGCACTAGCACTGTATAGTTCAAAGTGCTCAGGTTTGGCAACTCTGACATGGCTGTGGGTCTCTTTCGGTTCGTTATTGCCCGGGGGTCTTTGCAATATGCAAAAAAAGTCTCTGTTATACGGCCTAGTTCGTTTCTAAGAAAGCCCGATGTCGAGAATGCATGGGAGAGACTTCGGTGTGAACATGTACCAAGATTAAAAACCTTGACTGTCAAGGTCAGCGGGCACATATATACCCGGTGCTGTGAGCCACATTGTCGACCTCGCTCCCGAATTCATCCTACGCCTATGGCAACTCCGCTGAATAGCAACAAAGTGGACTATTCTTATCATCAGACGGTAGACAATGGGGAGATGAGACATCCATACTCATAGAGACAGAGTGCGGAAGTGCCGGGTGTTTTCCCGGGGCAATGTTCAGCCCCGATAGTTATCGTTGTTGCGAAATAGCCTTGACGAGGAGCATTTGTCCATTCCAACGGGAGTGGGATTTTTACCTAACTCAAAGATCTTATCAGCTCCCCGATTAGGCAGCGCTTGGCTAATAATGTTTTTCGACGGTAGCGTCTTTCTTTCAAGTGAGCTCGTGTTCTCCCAGCCTTATCTTGCGCTGTGGGTTTATCTGGAGTTGCGCTTGGGAGTTTTGCTGATGGTCAGATAGAGAAAGGCCCAGCCAATCAGGCTCAGGATGCGCGACAACCCAAGATAGCAAAGCGTGGCGACCAATCAGGACAACTCTCCGCGAGGATGCCGAGGAGTCATCCGTCGAGCTTCCACAGACCGCGGCGGGTTTTCCGGCAAGTTCAAGACCCGCAACTGGGGATTTTAGGTGTCAACTCCCTGGTTCACCAATTCTGTGATGGCAGATATCACTTCTTTCGGGTCAAACCTCCAAAGTGAAACATGTAATCCTCCAATGTTAGCATCGTCCGCATGTATGTATGTCCTAGACATACATCTTGACTTTAGTGCCGAGGAAGAACGCTCGTTAAAAGAACGAGCGAAATTGAAACAAGGCTTCTGGCGGGTCGACTTGAGGCGAATGTGCATGGAGCATAACGAGAGACAAAATAAGGAATGAGGCGATTCATTCCCCAAAGTAGTGAGAATTTGCCCACCTTGTACAGTTTATCCCGTATAAAATATAAAAATCTTTTCACCGCACTCCGTATGGGGTACATAGGATCGAATTTCTCAAGGGGGCATTGTGCAATCGATATATGCCTCGTCTCGTCGAACCGACCAGTAGGTATTTTTGATTTCGTGAAATTATCGTTTAATCGTTCTCTTATTCCTGAAAAAAGGTCCTGCCTTGGTCAAACTGCTGGCTGAAATGGGTATTTTAGCCATGAGGAGTTCCAGTGTAACTCCTCTGGACCTGTTAGACACGCGCTGGAGGGGGTTATTCCGTAAAGTTTCATTGGGAATAATAATTCTCAAATGTCTCAATTGTAGGCAACCAGTAACCCAAGTTCGGACGAAACCTAATTGCTGTGATCATTTTGTATGCTCGCTAAGAAATAGGGAGAAACCCATCCACTGCTAGGGCTGTAGAAGCGTTCTAGTTAGTCAACCGTGCCAGCAATTGGGGGCGCTGTCATCATAAACAGGACAGTTAGTCAACTATATCACTGTCTTTGTGGGATATGCTCATAGTTAAATTGCTGATTTAGGATTTAGGGGGTCTGTACTCCGTACAGAGAATGAGGTCTGTCAACACACGGAGAGTAGCGCTTCTTCTTCACACAAAGACACGCACATAATAGGATTCTTCAATACGGCGCGGAAAAGGCCATTCAGCAAGGTTGTGGCGGCGAACGCTGCACGCCAGGCTCGGCAGAGGCTAGTCCTGATTCAGTTGGCCTGCTTGTAGGAAAACCCAAAAACTCCACATGATCGTGGCACCTTGTAAACTAGAGGACCCCATGAACAGAGAGTCCAGACTCGCTGCCAATACATAAATGCGGCGATGACCCTGCTTCAAATCTACGGACTATGGAACGTCGGAGACATTCCCTACACGGCTCGGACTCTTCGACACCCACCGACTTCTATCCTCTCCACCCTCCATTCGTGCTCCCTGGACAGGAAGATTTCGAAGTTGATATCCGGGACGCGGATGACCAGCACGACACGCCCTTGGTCACCTCCTCGGGAGCCACTGTGAACCAAGTGAGCTCGGGCTATCGCAACTCTCCAGTTCTCGCGCCACCTGCAATATATCCCCAATGGACGCCGGAAATCCCCAGGCACTCTCGAAGTGGTAGTGCGGGAGCTTCTGCCGCCACCTTCGAGAGACATACCCCTTCCGACATGTCTGATCGAGAGCTGAGACCGCAGCGGCCGAGTGGTCCAGCCAGAACGCCATCTAATACATATGCTCCCCCACGCAGACCTCCCCAGTTCTCTACTCATTCGAGTAGCCAGCTTTCATACTCGGCAAAACGACCTTCCCGGCGTGACCCCAATGCCCAGTACCGCGCCCAAGAAAAGGCGTATGTCCAAAGAGTAAGACAAGGACCGCCAAACGAATGGCTCAATTTTGGTTCTCAGATTCCGGGCGTGCCTGATATTGACCTGGATCTCGAAGACGAGTCGCCATCGTCCGAGCCTTTCGACAGCGACCCTTACGACGTCGAGGCGCACTTGGTACTGGAGGATGAGAACATACAACCCACTTTGGAAGAACTGCAGAACCCAAAAATCCGGGAAAAATTGGAATGGCACTCTATGTTGGCATCCGTCTTAAAGGGAGACGTCGTTAAGCAGGAGAAGCGGCGACTATTTGGGACTGGCGAGCCTAAAAGCCTAACTGATATTAACGATGAAATCTGGCTTGGAATTCGGGCAAGGTCCTGCGGCCGGCTAGAAGCACTGCAGAAAAAGATCATCGAACACGAGAGGGCTCAAGTAGGCCCTATCCTAGAAGAAATTATTTCGTTCAAGATCAAAGGCGAAACGGAAATCGGTAAACCTCCCGTGAAACAGGTGGAAGGTATTGTTGCAAAGATCGAGAAAGTCGAAAGCCTGTACTCAGTCATGCGTGAGCTCAAGGCTCACCATAAGCGTGCTGACTCTGAGGAGTTTACCGCGAGCTGCGATGCCATCATCTCATGGCATAATACGACGCAGCTTATTAACACTCAGTTTGCTATCCTTCAACGATGGGTCGGCAATGAGGAATTAAATTTTAATTTACCTATCACCAAGCCTTCCCATGCTGCTGATCTCGCAGATGAAGGGTCTTTCCTTGATCGTATCATGAAGGAGGATGGCTTAAAATCTTTGCAGGGAGACGGCAATGTGGTGGATGGAAACGGCCAGACCAGAAAAAACAGTATGTTAGATGGGATTGGCGAAGTTATCAAGAAAGCAAAGGCCACCCTGATTGAGAACTCCGAAGCATTTGTGGAGCGACACCTGCCTCCATACATCGAAGAATTGCTCATCTTGATTAGTTTTCCTTCTCGCCTCATCGTGGAAGTCATTCGTGTTCGACTTTCCTATGCCAAGAAAATGAAGGACCCTGGACAGCAGTCTCCTATGTTGCTTGACCAGATGATTGCACAATTTCAGATTTTAATGAAAATTGCTGTTGAAATTAAGCAGCGATACCTTGTTATCTCTGAACCGGAGCCTGGATGGGAGCTTCCTCCATGTTTCGAGGAGAGTTTTGATACTGTTGTTGTTGACGCGTTGAAATACTACTTTAAACTCTTGAATTGGAAGCTGAGCGCGAACAAGAATACTTTCAAAGAAGCGGAAATTTTGGAGCAGGAATGGGACTTTTCCAACGAGATTGGCCGCCAGTTTGAGGGAGGGGATATCGAAGTTGCTGAACAATTTAGGTATGTCAGCTGACCCCTTGGATCCATATCGATCAAAGCTAAAGCAGGTTTTTAAGCACCCTAACTGCGAAGGCTCTTCAGCGATTGATGCTTCATTTTGAGCGGGAACTTCTCGGTAAACCGGAAGGGGATGCCGTTGAATCAGAAAAGCGCTATAAGCAAATTCTGGACTCCGTCCGAGTACGCCAACGAAAACTATTCCGATTTTCCCGATTCCTTCGTGAACGGTTTGAGAATGCAACCGAGTTCCACCTAAAGGATGATATCGTAGAGACTTTTTCGGAGGCTCTACTGGCATCAGGCCATTTCCTTGTTACGTCGCTCGATTCTGTCGGGCAGAAGGGTGTGTCTCTGATTGCATCACCTTCTTTATATGGGCGTCCCAAAGATATTCAATCAATCCTTGGAACTTCATTCCGTGCTGAAGATGTCCCGGAGGATCCGTCAAACCCATATATCCTTGTCATTCGTCCTGAGAAACCTTTCCCTTGGAGCGGGAAGAGGATGGAAGTCGACCTTTTGGAGCATCCAACGGACGTGCGATTGGGCAAGTTGCGTTTAGTGGCTGATGGCTCTCAAAAGCGTCTCCAAAGTGCCCGGGCCGAGCTCACTCGACTAACAGGCTTGGAATTCGACGTCACAGTGGAACAGCGGGCGAATCTGGGTCGAGTGAATGTCGAATTGAACAAAATTAAGAAAACCGCATGGAAGCTTTCAAATACGATCATTGATAGCGTGGAAATCATTCGAAAACAAAACCAGGGAGCCGGCAATCAGGAACTGATTCAGTCCTGCTTTGCTTTCGCCACTGAGTTCGGCAAAAGATCTTTGATGTACTTGGAGCCTACCCGTCGGTCAATGAATCACGGTAAACTAGTAAGACTGGGGGTTGATTGGGTTGCGTTTGTTTGTGACGACTGTGACGCTGCAGATCGAAGGACCTTCAAATGGGCTGTTGCAGCTCTCGAGTTTGCCATGGCCATAACGCATGGACATAGCATTCTCTCATTGAGCGATGAAGACTACCAATTGTTACGTGCCAAAGTTGCAGGCTGCATGTCAACGCTGATATCACACTTTGATATTATGGGAGCACGGTCGACTCTAGCTGCGAAAGCGGAAAAATTACAGCTTCTATCCGGGAAGCTGGACCTCAGCAAGGCCATGGACGATGCTGAGGCGGAGCAGGCTGTACACGAACAGCGATACTTGCGTGTAGCCGAGTTGGAACAGGCAAGGGCGGAATTGGACAGTAAGAGGCGGCCGCTGGGCAGAGTCCTAGAAGGTGTGAATGAAGCGGATCGATCTCTCACAGTGCTTTCTTCATCGGCCACGAACGTCACCCTCCGGTGGCAGCAAGGCCAATTTATTGGCGGAGGTACCTCCGGTTCAGTCTACGCTGCTATCGATCTCGATACAAGTTATTTGATGGCTGTGAAAGAAATTAAACTTCAAGAGCCGTCTGTTATTCCTGGTGTCGCCCAACAGATTCGGGACGAGATGGCTGTTCTTGAGGTTCTTGACCATCCTAACATTGTTTCGTATCGCGGTATTGAGGTTCATCGTGATAAGGTTTATATATTCATGGAATACTGCTCTGGTGGATCTATGGCCACGCTCCTTGAACATGGCCGAATTGAGGATGAAACCGTTATCATGGTTTATGCACTTCAAATGTTGGAGGGTCTTGCTTATCTGCACCAAGCGGGAATTGTCCACCGGGACATCAAACCTGCTAACATTCTCCTGGACCATAATGGGGTCATTAAATATGTTGATTTCGGGGCGGCCATGATAATTGCCCGCCAAGGCAAGACTCTAGCTGCTATGGATCAGTATGGAGGAAATCACAAAGATGCTACGAAAGAGCCCCACGCCCAACGCAAGAATCAAAAATCTGTCACGGGCACTCCTATGTATATGTCTCCGGAACTCGTCCGTGGAGAGGTTGGGCATGCAGGGGGCCGGCATGGCTCCATGGACATATGGTCTCTCGGCTGCGTCATTCTAGAGATGGCCACCGGGTTACGTCCATGGGCGGGTATCGACAATGAATGGGCGATCATGTACAAGATTGCACAAGGAAATCAGCCTCATCTTCCGACCCCAGACCAATTAAGCGAGCTGGGCATCGATTTTATTAAACGTTGTTTTGAGCTTGATCCCGCCAAGAGGCCCAGCGCGGTAGAACTGTTGCAGCATGAATGGATTGTTACCATTCGACGCCAGGTTGTTGCTGAGCCGCCAACCCCAAGCAGCGAGGCTGCAAATAGCCAGACGTCTAGTTCGACGAGCAGCAGACAAAATTCAAGCATGTTTTGATTTAGATCCTTGTTTGATGTTGCTACCCGTTATATATACTTCTTTGGGGAAGATTTACTATCAGATCTTTGACTCTCGATACTCCACTTGCTCAGCACAAAATATCCCATGAGCGAAATTATATTTTTGTTTGCTATTTTATACCACAAAAATGCAGCCAAATACTCCATACCCCTCGTCCCTCAATACTCTTCAATTCCGCATCAGTGTATATGCCTTTTGCTTTTCCGACGACTGTTCCTATCTATCTTTAAACTGGGTCATCTTTATTTGCTAGTCACAGTACATTGCGTTCCATTTCTTGATATTCCATGACTTTTTAATATTTCCATGTGTATAATCCGTACGCGGAGCTCTCTGTTTTTCTTTAGCACAATGCGCTGATGGGACTTTAACAATGCACGCTTCTCTGTGACCATTGTATGGCAACTGACCAGTGCATTGATATCCATTTTTCCTTTCGGGTTCTAGATATAACATTTGACATGACAGATATGAATGTAAAGAAGTTTGAAGTGTGACTTATATCTACATTTTTGGTTGTATTGTACAGAAATGCCCTGGAGCCAAAGCTAAAGCTGCACAATGAGAGATTTCAGCCTAATTTTGAAGAACTGACCAAAGCTTATTAACCATGTAAGAGAATAAAATCCAAGTTAGAAGGTTTTATGAAAGACTATATGTGGTGCTTTCAATAAGCAATAGAGCTAAGAGTGGAAAAATGAGGCACAAACGGGGGTCCAGCGTACTCAACAATGCAGGAAAGAAGGAACACCAATTCCCCAAGCAATTATTTACCTGCAAGTAAAACAAAAAAGGCATGATCAACTGAGATTGAACATCAACCGGGAACGAATAAGTCACATAAAACAAAAGCAGAGGCCAGTGGATTGACTGAAAAGAAACGACATGGATATCATCAAGGGAAACAAAGTGTTAGAGAAAATGATCTTCTCGCACATAGATGTGGTAGAGCTGGTGCACCACTGGATATGTAAACTGCACCTCACTTGCTTCAGCAACAAAAGAGAGGGAAAAAAAAAAAAAAAAAAAAAAAAAAAAAAAAAAAAAAGAAAAAAAGAAAGAACTCCATGTTCGCCCCTTTTAAAGTTGGTCCCTCCAAGTAAGACATTCCTAGCATAAATCATGAAACGCTGCCACATAATTCTTCGATATTTAACCCAATTGCGCTTTGAACGCCAGGCATAAAGGTCTTCAGCGAAATTCCATGGCGCCGAAACACCCGCGATTATCAACATGCTCAAGCTCGAGTTGCTGATACCTGTACATTTCAAAAAATCGTTAGCGGTGCACATTTACAGGACCCATGGTAGATCTCACTTTTCACTCTTCGCATGGAAGTAGATACCGCTAACGGTACCCTTGGACTGATTAAAGCAAATATAATAGAATCCTTCAAAACTTGCACCGTTTATGGTTTTGACACGATGATCGGGGACCAGGAAATATTCCTTCCACCTCATGAAGATATGCTCTCTCTGCGCAAAGTTCATATCTGTAAAATCGGGCTTCCTAGCCATTTTAGAGACAGAACGCCACGCAGGGAAACGATCCCAATGCTGCAGGTCAGTTTTATCCGTCGCACCCCAGGATGGGTTCCGCGTTTGGAACTTATGCTTTGTGCCTATTAGTTCGCCTTCAAAGTACGTCGTGAGCGTAGGATGGTCTTCGGTAAGGCCTAGTGTGCGATTGAAAATTAGTGAAGGAGCGCGTGGGAGTAAGACGAAGCTAGACTAGTAATTCATCAAACGCACCTTGGATGCGGAGATAGCCACAAAGAAAGGACTCCTCCATGTTGACGTTTTTGATTTCCACATCCACATTGTACTTTTGACGGTCGGACTGCTGCGTCCCAACGAACTTGCTACCTGCTCTAAGGTACGAACAGGGGTGATCGGGAAGCAACTGAGAGCGAAGTGAGTAAATATGTCCTTCTAGCTTCTGAAACAATTCATTCAAGGTAGTCCTACCCTGACGTTGGAAAAATCATGACTGAGTGAAGTCATATACGAAGGTGTAGCCACGGTTGAAGATCCGGCCGGGGAGAGCGGTGGTTCATTCTTGATTTCCGTTGACTGGGTGGATACGGACGTTGTAGGACTTGAAGCTTCGTGTTCACCGTCCGATCGGGCGTCTTTATTGTCAGTGGAAGAGGCGTCTTGTAGAGTAATAGGCGTGTCCAGCTCTGGCCGCAACTCTGACGTCGCAATTAGACCCGGAACATCGTATGCATCATGCGCGAGCAGGTTGATTTCTGTAGGCGTATTCCGGCCGTCGGTTCGATCGACAATGTCTGGAGGGCAGGTTCCTCGCGCAGAGAGCGCATCCAGGGAGAGCGAGGCTAAATGTGGAGAGGTGACGCTCGGGGTCGGCATGGGAGGCAATCAACCAGCTGCTATTCAAGCGAGACACGAGGACATCAAGTATGGCGGAAAAGAACCACAGTTAGAAGTGAAAGAGAAAGAAATATGATGAAATTCAATTCAAAGTAAAGAAGTAGACCATTGTGCGATTCATGTGGTCATTCAGGCCGTAATGCTGGGAAGAGGCGAGTTCGGCGAGCTGAGCGCGGCAGTTCAATGATGGTCTTGGATTGCCTTTGGTTGAACGGGGGAGCTCACTAACCTCTAGTTGGCCCACGTACGCTAAAAAAGTAAGGCGGTCATGCGATGATTGCGGGGAAACCATCAAACCTAACCCTGTCATGAAGATTATTGCTTCGGCTTGCAGAAGTCCAAGAGTAGACCTGGATGAAGATAATGCATCTAATGGGGCAAAAAGATTGCAAATACTACAGCTCAACTGTGATTTGTGCCATGTTGGTTCACAAGTTGGACCCTACACCTGCTTGTTACATGCTAATATGTGCTGCTTGACATGGAATGGAAGACCAGACCTCCTTTTTGTGTGCTCAAAAACCCCTGACAACTCCAGGAAACCCATATTCTTGCAAATTATTCATACCCATGAACAAATACCATTTTGCCACCCTCATAATCTTCTTCATGTATTTTAAATGGGTTTGATCTATCAACCATGGTTAAATCATGGGAATACTGAAATAACATTGCGAAATGGCCAGACTCACCTTGAAATGCAAAGAGATCAAGGAGAAGATAAAAGCTTTCAGGTCTTGGACGAGATAGTAAAATACCCGTAGACCTTCTGGATCCGCAGACTCGGTCACGTCGACAAGAGATCCTATCTTTGCTGTCTATTTGTGAAGGGTTGTCAGTCTGCTTTCGCGCAGCATTGATAGAGGCTGGCTACTGTACCTCAAACGAGATATGCTCATTCCCAAGCTTGATCTCTAATTCCTGGCGCCCGTCCTTATTTTTCTGTGGCCACTTCGAATCATCTTCCCTGATGATGTTTCGTTAACAGATATACACTCGCCCATGCAGATTCGTCTCTGCGTACTTCATTATCTCACTCTCCTTGATAATCCGTTTAAGCTCTGCAATCATAAGAGAGCTCACGCACACTGCAAAAAGAGAAAGTGATAAGAGCTCAGTTTCACACCCCAGACCACGAAAGGAACTTTGGTAGTCTCACTTTCTTTACGGATCAACGAGTCATTCCGATAATTCGAGTTATTCGCATAGCGTACTGCGGCACTGCGACCGTCGCCGAGAGTGCGAAAGTCGAATTCTGATCGCTGTCAGCTGCTAAGAACGATAGAAAGACCTAGTGATGCGGATTTCTCACCTAGAAACTCATGCCCAAACCGCCCAGAATGCCCTGAGCTTGACGGGGAAGTCAGCAGCTGGGGAGATCTGGGCATCTGTGGGGTCACATCTTACTAGTAACGAAGGTAGAAAGGCTCGCTCTGATTGTTTAGGTTCGACATCCTGCCTGATTTTCCAGACGCAAGAGAAAATGCAGCGCTTCGAGATTGTTCGTCATATTCCCCCAAGCGGGCTCGATGGGAGATTGATAGCTTCTTGCTTAGTCATCCGCACCGCGAGTCTGGCTGATAACAGCGCTCGTCAATACTGGCCAGGTGTGCAGCAACGACACTCGGATCAATTCCCCTTTATCGCAATTGTCTTACGGATACGCAAATGGTGCTCTCAATGCCGAGAGAATTATATTTATTACCACAACGTTTCTCTTAATCTACAAAATAGTCCAGTTTACAACGTTGTTCAGCGGGCGATATATTCGAGGAACCGTTCTCATCACGGCTGACGACCCTCCGTCCCTCCCCCGGACCACATCACCAAAAGACACTTCCCCGCGCGTGTGGACGTCAATATGGCGTTATACCTTGAAAATGCATACAGCCTGGTGCACCAGGACAATTCCGCCGACCAGCCCACATTGCAGGAGCTGAAGACGCAGTTGGAGAAGGGGACAGACGAGTCGAAGATGGAGACTATGAGGCGGATTTTGACAATAATGCTCAACGGTGATCCGATGCCCCAGTTGCTCATGCACATTATCCGCTTTGTCATGCCTTCAAAAAGCAAGCCTCTGAAGAAGCTCCTTTATTTCTATTACGAGATATGCCCGAAACTCGATAGCAATGGAAAGTTGAAGCAGGAGATGATTTTGGTCTGGTGAGTAAAATGCTCCTGTTCCGAGTATCGCTGGCTGATGAAATGTAGCAATGGCATCCGCAATGATCTCCAACACCCCAATGAATATGTCCGGGGAAATACTCTTCGATTCCTTTGCAAATTACGGGAGCCCGAGCTACTAGAGCCTTTACTCTCTTCGGCGCGACTATGCCTGGACTATCGACATGCGTATGTGCGAAAAAGCGCTGTTTGGGCTATTGCATCAATATTTCAGCATTCCGAATCTCTTATTCCCGACGCTCCAGACCTCATCTACACCTTCCTCGAAGAAGAAAGCGACCCAGCTTGCAAGCGAAACGCTTTCGCTGCTCTGCTTACCATCAGCCATCAAAAGGCTCTTGAGTATCTCAATAAGACGCTTGACAGTATACCAAATGCCGATGAGCTGCTTCAGCTCGTAGAACTGGAATTTATCAGGAAGGATGCTGTGCAGAATACGCAGAACAAGGTTAATATTTCCTCCACGCGACGAGGACATGGATGAGAACTAATTTATTATAGGCCAAGTACCTTCGTTTAATATTTGATCTCCTTGATGCTGGCGATAGCACTGTTGTGTATGAAGCAGCTACCTCTCTAACAGCTCTTACATCGAACCCAGTGGCAGTTAAGGCGGCTGCTGCCAAGTTGATTGAACTGAGTATAAAAGAACCAGACAATAACGTCAAATTGATCGTTCTTGACAGAGTGGACCAACTACGGATCCGCAATGAAGGAGTTTTAGACGATCTTACCATGGAAATTTTACGAGTTTTGTCGAGCCCCGATATTGACGTCCGACGGAAAGCTTTGGGAATTGCGTTAGAAATGGTATCGAGTAAGAATGTTGAAGAGATCGTCCTGCTTCTAAAGAAGGAGCTCGCGAAGACCGTTGACGAGCAGTACGAGAAGGTAAGAGAGGGTTCTCTAATTACCTCGTTCCAGGCTAATTCAAGCGATAGAATAACGAATATCGACAATTGTTGATCCAATCTATTCATCAATGTGCCATCAAATTTTCAGAAATTGCAGCAAGTGTCGTTGACCTTCTTATGGACTTCATTGTTGATTTCAACAATAACTCTGCAGTTGACGTTATCACGTTTGTAAAGGAAGTGGTGGAGAAGTTCCCTCAACTCCGTCAATCTATCTTAGAGCGCTTAGTGTCGACACTGGGCGAAGTAAGAGCTGGAAGGGTTTATCGCGGAGTTCTATGGGTTGTCGGCGAATACTCTCTTGAGCAGAACGATATTAGAGAAGCCTGGAAAAGGATTAGAACTAGCTTGGGAGAGATTCCGATCTTGGCCTCGGAGCAGAGGCTGTTGGACGAGGACTCGGATGAAACCGCAGAGAACAATGAGCAGCTTAATGGTCACCCGAAACCATCATCCGGCCCGAAGGTTTTAGCGGATGGTACTTATGCACAGGAAACAGCCCTGACGAGCCAATCTGCGGCAGCGGCTAAACTGGAAGCTATCAAGGCTGCTCGGAAACCTCCACTTCGCCAACTCATACTTGATGGCGACTACTATCTTGCGACAGTGCTTTCTTCGACATTGACTAAATTGGTGATGCGTCATTCCGAGGTCTCACAGGATGTTGCCCGAACCAACGCTCTTCGCGCAGAGGCGATGTTGATCATGATCTCCGTGATTCGTGTTGGACAATCTCAATTCGTCAAAGCTCACATCGATGAGGACTCGGTCGACCGTATCATGTCGTGTGTTCGGTCTCTGGCGGAATTTACAGAACGGAAAGACCTTGAGACCACGTTCTTGGAAGATACACGACAAGCGTTCCGTGCAATGGTTCAAGTAGAAGAGAAAAAACGGGCCACCAAGGAAGCCGTTGAAAAGGCGAAGGCAGCGGTACAGGTCGACGACGCGATCCCCATCAGACAATTCGCAAAGAGATCTGGGGGTGACGAAGGTGATGAAATTGAATTGGACTTGGCCAAGGCTACTGGTGGCGATTCGACTGTCGAGGATATTTCTTCGAAGTTGAGTAAAGTTGTCCAACTGACTGGTTATTCCGACGCAGTTTATGCTGAGGCCTATGTCAACGTCCATCAGTTTGATATTGTATTGGATGTCTTGCTCGTCAACCAGACGACGGAAACTTTACAAAACCTATCCGTCGAATTTGCAACACTTGGTGACTTGAAAGTTGTCGAGCGGCCCACGACACAAAACCTGGGCCCGCATGATTTCTTGAATGTTCAGGCTACCATCAAGGTCTCATCCACAGATACGGGTGTCATCTTTGGTAATGTTGTTTATGATGGGCCTAGTTCGACCGAGTCCCACGTTGTTATTCTCAATGACATCAAGGCAGACATCATGGACTATATCCAACCCGGGAGCTGTACAGAAACTCAGTTCCGAAGCATGTGGACTGAGTTCGAGTGGGAAAACAAGGTTAATGTCCATTCGAAGGGCAAGAGTCTAAGAGGCTTCCTACAACAAATCATGGAACGCACCAACATGAGCTGTTTAACTCCGGAGGCTTCGCTTGAAGGGGATTGCCAATTCTTAAGTGCAAATCTCTACGCAAAGAGTATCTTTGGTAAGCTAGCATCCTGTTTGCCATTTTCAAGTCCATCTACTAATCGCTATCTTTCTAGGCGAGGATGCTCTTGCAAATGTAAGCATTGAGAAAGAAGGTGAAGAAGGCCCGATTACGGGCTTCGTGAGAATACGAAGCCGATCTCAAGGTTTGGCATTAAGTTTAGGGTCCTTGAAGGGATTAAAGGCGAACGCGTAGATATCACTTGAGGCATGCTTTTGATATTCGATACTAGTTTAGATGGCGGAGTTGCATATTTTTCTCTTTGAATGCTTTTCTTTTACTCTTCAATATGTAACAACTTCTTTTAATCCCAGTTCCAGTTTGTGTCCGAGGATCGCCTTAAAAAATGAAGGGAGCAGCTGACCATCCAACTGGTTCCAAGGCACAGAGTTTTTGCCTCTTCAAAATTCTCCGTAGATTTATGTACGGAGTACTCCGTATTAGCAATCAGTTGCCCAGACATCCGGGACTGGCAGCAACCAAAAAGAACAGCCTTTGATTGATCCAGCATGCTATGGCCAGGGGTAACTATGTGCAGGCACAGTGAGTGGAGGCTCGGTTCGTTCTTTCAGTTTCAGCCGAGCTACAGGCAACTGAGTGACATAACATATGGTCAGCGATTTCGCTGCGTCAACATTGACATGTGAAACCAAATATCACTCACTAACCGTCTCCTGACCTAAGGACCTTTTACACTCTTCCTATATTACCTGAGTCTGCTCTCCTACCCCAGGAACCACAGTTGCCATCAACATTCCAGGGCTCCAATTCGGAACTTCGGGATCAGACCCACCCGCCCGCTTTCGGCTCCTGGATCTTTTCAGCCCCAGGCGGCACTGATACGCCTTCAGAAACCTTTTAATCGGCTCTTCTGGAAAGCTGCAGACTGGAGGGGAGGAGAATCTCGGCTCCTAGGATAACTACTGAACTAGTCTTTCCCCCCAGGATGGTGTAGTACCAAGCCGACAAGACAATGACGCTCAGTAGTTTGCTTGATTGCGATCGCTCGCCAGATGGATACTCGTCGTCTGAAGAGGAACAGCTGCAGCGTGTGGATATAGGGAAAGATTCTGTCCTTGCTGTTGGACCGAAAACATTGTTGATTTTGACCGCTAAGTCTCTTGTCATCGCTGGCATGTCTCCCACCTTTTGGACATGGCGCATTTCTGCGCTGTCAGCATTTGCTGGATGGGGCTAATCGAATTACAGATGAAAACGCGAAGAAAAAGGATTCCCGTAGCTGCTGTTCCCCATATTGGTGCTGTATGCTTACAACTGCCTTTGTCCTTCTCTCCTTGACTTTTATAGCCGCTAACTTGCCTTCTCTCTGTAGCTGGGAAATTGCAAAGACTATCTATTCCGTATTTTAACGTCTTATGGGCGGACGTATCCCACGAGTACATCACCATAAAATATGCAGAATCAACCTCAAACGACGATGTCTCAGTTGCGTCAGTGTACTACCCAGTTGATCCGGCGCACAAATCGAAAACTAAACAATGGCTCGAGGAGCTTATGAACGCGGCTTACGGGAAAGCACAGCGCGAAAAGAAAGTCAAAGTGCTTATAAATCCGTTCGGAGGGAAAGGTCGAGCTCAAAAGCTGTATTCCAGGGAGGTTGAGCCTGTATTCGCAGCAGCACAATGCGAAGTTGATGTTGAAATAACTACTCATCAGGGTCATGCGGTAGAGATTGCACAGAATATTGACCTTCAAGCGTATGATGTGATTGCGCCTGCATCTGGTGATGGTGTTGCCTACGAAGTTTTTAACGGATTGGGTAAAAGAGCTGATGCTGGCGAAGCACTCCGCAGTCTTGCGGTAGCCCATATTCCATGTGGATCCGGAAATGCAATGAGCTGGAATCTTTACGGTACGGGTTCTCCGAGCATGGCTGCACTTTGTATAGTTAAGGGTTTGAGAACTCCCTTAGATCTCGTCTCCATCACACAAGGAGATAGAAGAACGCTGTCGTTTCTGTCGCAGTCATTTGGTATAATTGCTGAGAGCGACCTTGGAACGGACCATATCCGATGGATGGGTAGCGCTCGCTTCACATATGGATTTCTAGTTCGGCTTTTTGGGAAAACAGTGTATCCGTGTGACCTTGCTGTCAAAGTTGAAATTGGCGATAAAGACGACATCAAGGATCATTATCGAGCCGGGTTGGAACAAAAGTCTTCTCATTCACCCCGAGGTTCTAAATCTGAAACCGTTGGACTCCCGCCTCTCCGGCACGGTACGGTCGCTGATCCCCTCCCTGACGATTGGGAGCTTATCACGCACGACAAAATGGGTAACTTTTATGCTGGAAACATGGGATATATGGCACCAGATGCCAATTTCTTCCCAACTGCGCTACCAAATGATGGGATGCTCGATTTGATAACAATTCGCGGCGATATTTCTCGGCTAACTGCGCTTCAGATGCTTATGGCTGTTGAAAATGGTACGCTGTTTGACATGCCTGAAGTACACGTCCAGAAGGTTTCCGGCTATAGGATTATTCCCCGGGAAAGGGAGGATGGCTATATTAGTATCGATGGGGAGAAAGTGCCATTTGAGCCTTTTCAAGCGGAAGTCCATAAAGGACTCGGGACCGCTATTTCGAAATCCGGCCACAGGTACCAAACACCGGAAATCCGGTGATTTTCCGCTGCCTTCTTTGAAGATGATACAGGAATCCCGCCCCCGACGATTCACAAAATCCTGTGGCACCGATACTATGTTCGTGGAGCTATCCGTTTTATTTCCATCAGCATTCCTTTTCTGCCTTGGCTTGATGGCATATTGGAGGGTGCTGGCGTCAAGAGATTCAGATTTTGTACTTTTATTCCGTTGGTTTCTCCTTTCAAAATCTCCGCCCAAGTCTTCCACCTTTCCTTGGCAGAGCCCTTTTTAAGCTCTTTTCCCTGATTGTCCAAGACCCATCATGGTGGTTCCATTGTGTTGTTGTTGGACGCTATCACGACGTGTTAGAAATAAATTTCATTCTTACAATCTTCAGGCCTTTTGATGCCTCCTAGCTGGGATAATGGCGTTTTCCCAGCGCCCAGCAGGTGCATGTATATTACTGCAAGGCAGGGACGAATTTCTTCGACAGATTTCAGCCTGATCGCTGGATGATGTGGCTTCTGTTAACCTCCTGGCACCCAGATATGAGATATTAAGGGCCAGAAACACATAGCATTGTATGTAGGAAAAATACATTTCTTTCTAAGGAGAAATAGCCTAGTTCTGTTTAAATGCTTTAGATAGTCGCGGTTTTGCTTGTTCAAATTCTCAAATAAGTACGGAATAGAGCATGCCTAATCCTCTATCCCTCCCCACCCTTCCTCATCCTCGTCAGAATCTTCTATCCCTTTTAACTCTTTCACACCCCACATCACTAATCGGCCATCTTCAAGAGTCTCCGCTGCCCTCTTCCGAACTGTCTTATTTGGACTCTTCTCCTTTAAACGCTCAATAGGTCGAAGTATCAGCTCCATTGGTACCCCATCCTTCAGTTTTGTTCTCGGCAAATCCTCTTCAGCGACATCGGCATTCTCATCATCCTCAACGGCATCGGTGGCGCATTTTTCAAGCTCATCGAGCCAAATGTCCATAATATGATAGCGGATGCCGTCCGGACCTTTTGGCATGGCTGAGGAGTCCGACTGCTTGCTATTAAAATTGATGGGACACAGTGGGCCTTCTTGAAGCAGGTCGAGATAAGTTTCCAAATCAGCCCAATTATCCACTTGTTCTTCGTCATCGTCCGTTCTTTTCCTCTTTTTGCTGTTTTTGCTATTGATTTTCTCCTCCTTTCCCGTGGTCTTCTGAATCCCTTGTTTTCTAGCTTTGAGGCCCTTTTTAATGAATATCTCAAAGGCAACACCCACATAACAACGTATTAGATACAGGTACTTGTCTAGTCTGAGTCGGTCCAGGGAATGGAAGTCTCTCGACATCGTTATCCAAAATGCACGGAGGAAAGGTTGTAGGATTTGCCCAGGTAGACTGGGTACGAGTGTGTATGAGAGTGAACGGGAGAGAGATTGCTGGTTTAGAGGTCGATCGCAATGGTACATACCTGTTTGTTATACAATCAGTAGTGGTCGCAATATCTTTACTGCATCTTTGAAGCATAAGGCGAAGACTGAACCATGTAAAAGGTATATCTAACATACAAAAGAATAAGCCCTTCCATATCTTTAAAAGATCAATCAACTGCAAATCGCGACGGCTTTTCAGGAATAATGTTAACGAGTCGAGGGCTTTCTCACGGGTCCGTCGATCTGAGACGCAGTTAGACGTGAGCCAATCTAGCTAAAAACAAAGCTAGAGCACAATAAGAACGATGACAAGCTTACCACTCGACGTGAGTTCCCTTAAAAACGGAGACTGCTGTACGTCTGTCATATTGAACTAGCTCCTAGGCGACACCGGGTGCACCGGCGAAAGCGCTTGCAATCGGTGCTTTTGTGGACAGGAAAAATTGAGAAGACCTAGGATATTAAGTACATCAAAGTTCCGCTCTAAACAGTGAGAAATATTTCTATATTCTCTGGATATATAGCAGTAACTATGGCCGTGACCTTGCCTCAAAAATTTTGGTGCCATTCGCGATGGGTGACGGTCTTAACAGCCGAAGTTTGCATTGTTTGTGTGGTTTGTGCGGTTTGTATCATGAACTTGTGTTGCTTGCAAAAATTCCCGGTCACCACAACACCGCGCGATGACGGGCTATGATACTTTTGCTATTATTGTAGCTTCACAGAAAGAAGAAAGAAAATAGGCACCGCGATATACACTTTGGCTAATATTAAACACTTGTTGTAGAATCGAAAGTCACAGACATAGTACAAACTCAGGACATCATCGGAACAGAGCGCAAAATCATAATAGGCATGGCCGGCGAGCTTCAAATCAACCGTAACGCCCGGCACACCACGCTTAAATACCTGATGGAATGACAGACAGAGTGGGAACAGGGCCCTCGTGAATTAGGTGATATAGGGTATAATTGCACAATGGAACAGATCATTAAACAGGATTAGGCGCAAAGGGAAACAAGCAGGAAAGGTAGATCATTACAAGGTGGCATTTGGTGCCGAGGAAAAAAAAACGTAATAAACTTCAAGCACCGGGCGCCTTGTATGCGTTGTGACGGCCAATTTCAACTGCAAGAGGTTGGGAAAAAAGGACATGGTGATTTGAGGATACGGAGCTATCGCGAGGCGAGACTGAGAGGGTGTTGAAAATCGGAGGCAGCATGGTACACTAATTAAGAAGAGCGCTGTAGGACGAGTGCATTCACGAGATGGCCTTCTTTCCATCCCTGGGAAAGCAGTGTTTCGTTCTCTTTCAATATCTTGCCTAAGTATGCGATTCGAAGTCTGTGCTGGCCCGTGAGCTAAAAAGAAACCAAAGATTTAGCATCAACACTCTTGATATGACTACCCAAGATCAGATGCAGATACATACCGCTGCCCCGCTCTGTATCTTTCGCACCAGGACGCCGACCGATTGATCTTTGCCAATCTCAATAGTCAAGTCAGGACCACCTCGATCGCTAAGTCTTGCACAGACTTTGATCATATCTCTCTCATTTCTCTTCCCCTTTTCTTCGCGTTTGTCTTCAATATCTTCCTCTAGCTCGTCGTCCGAGTCGATATCCATTGCCAGCTTGGTATTTGTAACCTCGTCGTCAGCTTCACCGCTTCGCATGTCTTCCTCTCCGCCTCTCGCGTCGACAATGTTTGAAGGATCTGAAACGATAACTTGAGGAAGTCGATACAATGCTCCATTTTCGTCATAACAGCCATCACAAAGGTCACCTGTCGGGACAGTCACCCCAGCAGCATCAATAATGCTCTGTGCTGTAGGTAAATCACCACTTCTCATGAGCGAGATTGCTAGTTTCAATGCCGCCCATACTTCGGGTCTCCCGGTCACTCGGGTGTCAAAAAATTCTTGACGTTCGCGATCTATCTGAGCTTTCGACCATGCGCGACGCTTGCTGCGCCAGACATGAAGGCGGATCGGTTGGTTATAGTGTTCGCTCAGAGCAACAGCATGGTGGCGACGGCGAGTCGAATGTGGCGGACGAGAGGTAGAGGCATTGGAGCGAGAGCGAGATAGAGACCGGCTTAAGCCTGGGGTGTTTGGACCAGCTCCTTCAGTAGCGGGATTGGTGCCTTGAAAGGATTCGGCGTGCTGGCCTTGGTCGGCATGAGCAGCATGCGGGAAGCCAGAAGGGTCTCGCGACAAGCAGCAGCCCTGGATGGAAGAAATCATGGATTAGCAACGAGCAAGACAGACCAACACATTGATCACCCGCGACAATATCCGTGAAAATGCGCCTATCGTCCCGGTACCCGATGTTGGAGGGGCTCTAAACTCTAGACTCGGGGACGCATCTCATAAAACCGCCCTCCATTTTGATGGAAGAAGAATCAAAGTCCATCCATCGCTTTAAAAGAATGGAATAGGCACACAATACACTCTCAAAACATTTCCCCTCACTCCGGGGTTCCCAACATTTGTCAAGTTGATCAAACAACCCACTTACCATGGCTCATGATGCAAATCAATGGTCTATCTGTCCCAGAACCTTCTCCACAGACTGTAACAGGCTAGCACGAGAGGATGAGGAGGAAGGATGCAAGAAGGAGAGAGCAAAAAGTGGGCTGAAGATGCCTCTCCAAGTGAAATGTTCTTGATGGTTTGGGTTTCACTGGTCTCCTCAGAACTGGAAGTTTGGGACTCCATCGCCGAGACCATGCGCAACATACCGACACTAACAACTGACAGCTGAGAGTGTGGAGAACATTGAACAGTAATCAAGTAACTAACAAGTTAACTAGTTTAGTTAGCTGCCGTGTCTGCTGTGGTGAGTTGCTCTGTAACTAATGCTCCGCAGCTACCATTGAAATTAATTCCCGCCATGTGGACTGGATGTTTGTGATTACTCCGTACGTGTAGCTCTGTATGGAGCGACCCTTTACTCTGTACATCTGTCTGTTTGGAGTAGTCAGTGAACTAGCAAGTTTTCCAAGAATTTTTTTTAGCTTGATGCAGTGCATCACTTGCAATTCAACACCATTCTGTTGGTCTCCTTAACAACAACTATTGGTTTTTCCCGGTGGCATTTGGTAGGGGAGGCAACTACCTGAGAGGAAACCAAATACAAAACCTCTCAGTACATATATACACGGAGTATATACATACGTATTGTTCTCAAGGAATGATCTGCGCTAGCTGGCCTCAGTACGGAGTACTCCGTACGTTAAGTGGTAACTATGGAGTACATCCTGAATGTACAGTACTTTGGTCGTTTAAACCCCCATCTTACTCAATAGATCCAGTGTATTTAGCTATGGAATTACAGAGCTGCAACTGCTTCATTGGGATAAGTCACGACAGGTGGTCTGAGAATTCTCTGTTATTAGCGGGGATCTCAAAAGACAGCGAATGGCTTTTTAATGCGTAAGTTAGTCAAAGCTATCGCCGTCTTCATCATCGCTACCAAATATGGCTTTGAATACAGCATCACCAGGACGCTCAGCTTCCAGCACCTCATTGCGGTCCGGGTCAATCGGTTTCTTAATTAACTCCGGAAGAGGCTGGTCCTGCGGCAGCTTCCCTAGGTGAATGCTGGATACATTATTTTGGGATTCCATCATCAGTTCATTCATGGTATCTTTGGAAACGAGCTCGAGATTGCGCTCCTTCACCATTTCTGCCGTCTCCTTGGCATTATCGTTGCCGGAACCAGAATCTGTCCTGCTTGGAGCATATCGAAGGTTGAATCGTTTATACAGCAGCCGCGTCGGGGAGAATTGCAGGGTTATCCTGGTCATCGGACCATACATTCCCAACTTTGCGGCCGCTTCTGCCGGGTCTTCTGGTTTCTTCTCTGTTTTTCTGAGTAACGGCCCTGATGGATCTGCGCCATTGGACGGGGAAAGGGTACTGGAAGTAGACGAAGTAAACCGAGAAGCCATCAATCCAGACATGGGTTTGAACACTTCTGCTGCGCGGGCGAATTCATTAAGCTCATTTAACCAATCATCAGTTGACGCTCCTGGGCATTTAGGTGGAAAGTTGTCCGTCAACCCAGCTTGAATCTCAAGGAATGCGCGATAGCGATCTCGCTTGGACTTGTCCTCCGAGTAAGGCATCCACCCACTGGCACCACGGTTAAGTGCTTGTATCGCAGTTTCTTTGTCAAGACGGGGAACAAGATTCCACAAGTCTCTTTGTTTTTGAGACTCCGACCTCTCGAAACCTTTGGGTGGCCCTTCGCCTAAAGCGGGTGGTAGGTCGGTCCTCCCCGTGATTTTCACCAGTTTCTCCCGGCCCTCAGGCGTTATATAATCGAATACCGACTTCCCGGGAAGCTGGGCTTCACCAAGAATGGCGGCTCTTGATTTAGGGTCCAGGGTTGAGGATTTTGCGGCCTCTGCTACTGATATATAGCCAGCAACATCGCTGGCAACAGACTGCAGTTTAGAGGATTTCCAGTCTGCAGGAACCTCGGGAGGTGCATATTTAATGGCATCCGTGGATAGAGACAACGCCGACATGCGATTCCCCAGCAGGAAACCATCAATTGGAAAGCGACCATCGTAGCATTTTCGAAACCCCGGTTTTGCTTTCTCTGCTGCTGCCTTTTTCGAAATAAAAACAGGCTTTTTGTCTAAGAGAGGGTTGGAGGACCTGATCGCAGGTCTCGATTCTTTTGATTTTCGGTCATCCACGAGGACTCTATTATAAGAAAGTTGGGGCCCCATTTCGTAGGGATCTTCCTCATCTGAGCCTGTGTCATTGAGTATGCCAACCCCAAACCCACCTCGTTTTGGAAACTTGTTTTTTTTATTAGCTGCCATTTTACCTAGTGACAGATTTGGGCCGCTGAACGTCCCTGCGCCACCATCTTCATCGTCCGACCTTATTTCCCGCTTCGACCTTGACGAATATTGTAACCGAGATTCTCTTTGAAAACCAATTCCTTTATAGTCATCTTTCCGATCAAACGATATCATCGGCGAATTTTCGGGGGCAAAGAGGTAGGTCTGATCACTATCATCAACTCCGTCGTGTAAATTGGCCCTTCGCCTGACTTTTGGCCCGACTCCCTGGCCTTCTTTCCAGCCCATCCTTTTCAGAAGTTTCACTCCCATAGTTTCCCCGCTCACTCTAAATATATCCATAAGGCCAGCCTTCCTATTCGGATCCGTTGCTGTTGACCCAAAACCGGCAAACTCGTCTGTAGTGTGCAGCTTCCGTGCCTCTTCAGCTTCGCGAAGGTCTTCTTCGTCCATGAAATCTTCGGGACGCTGTTGGACCGGCTGTTTTCGGTCCTTTGCGCGATCCAGACGTGAGGAGATGTACGTTGAAGGTGTCCATCCTTCCTTCGAACCCACAGTATTAAAATACCTGTTTGAAAAAGTCATCAGTGAGAGATTTCGCTGATAAACCAGCGGAACTCACCCTGCGCTGAATCCACCAGTAAATGCACCGTGGAGCCGTTTCCGGCCGCGTTCATCAGTCACTTCTTGTTTCCAAACTGGGACGTACGAGCCATCATCCCGGGATTGGCGATCCGCAGCCGGCAATGGGGTGCCATAAAAAACAAAAGGAGAATGCGACGACTGAAGAGAGTCCTCTTCAAACACATCCCGTGATCTTTTAAATGACATCGTTTGCCGGAATGTGAAGAAGGCCAAAGCAAGAATCCGGTTATCTGCCGTGTTTTCCGCTTTTACTGCTTCGCTCCACTGCTGGAGATCGGAGTATCAAAGAGCCGAAAGATCCTACCGTCATATATCTTTCTTCAATTGTATTTCGGGGTGGCTAGGCGTGGCATTTGGAATTGTCAGCAGGAGAAGCGGCACGGGAATCACTGCAGAAAGGTATCTTGCTGATACTTACAAGTGACGAACTTGAACAGTCCGTGCTCCGTCAAGCATATGTACTCTGGAGGTCATCTCCCTTCCAGGGTTTAATCACCGTCGTTCCATGCCAACACAGCTGATCAATTCATCGACCCGCTTGACCGCTCTCTGGCAAAAAAACTGATTATATAATACAAATTAATGATCGGCGGCGATCACCTGGATGATGCAAACGTGACAAACATCTGGGCAGGCGCTGGAGTCACGGGGCCGGGAGTTGTTCCCGCCTTGGGGCAGTGGCAGGAGCGACGCTTACGGTACGGAACGCATACTTAAGTTACATCCCCAGCAACGTCCCTCGATCTCTCGATACCCCCCAGACGAGTTGCCAGGCATCGTGTTGCAGCACGGGCACCCAAGACTCGCCGTCAGATTCGACAATCCTCCAAATTGGCTCGCATCGCCGCCTTCTTCATTCCGTCTCACCTCGCATATGTAATCTTTGCAGAGTGAGAGGCGAGTTCAGTATCGCATCTGTTGGGGACCATGGTTCTGTGAGGCGGTTCAGACTTTGGACCATCGTTTCCTCTCGTTACTTGCTTACGCTCTCTTACCGACGAAAACAGCCTCCACCACTTCTCCACACTTCGTCCTAGTGTATGTAAGTTACCCCAAGTGACGAACCTGGTTCAGACCAGCGATTCATCGAAAGCTTTTGAGAGCCTAATAATACTCGAGAAGATATGCAGCGCCTACCTTTGAACGAATTGACGAGCACTCAAAAGCTGCGTGAATGACATTCTTTGCTGTCGACAGCTGACCCGTTATTCCTGCAGCCTCCACTTCTCGCTCCCTTGTTCAGTTTCAAATCGCTTGGTCCCTCCCCTCCCTCGTTCCCAGCCAGCTGGCCGGGTAGGGCCCGTCGTATCCATTTCACCACTGGACAACCCGCGGAGGCATTACGGGGTTCAGTGCCTCTGTGCCCAGTCTAGTTTCAATTATTCGTCGCAATGTCCACAGCAGCATCGCAAGCTTCTCCAGTCGTAGTTCGCAATCCTGCTACTCAACACCCGCATCCATCCTATCGACCTCCTGCTGCTGACACCCCCCAAAGAACTCGCACCAGCGGTGGAGGGGCGGCACAATATTCTCATTCCCAGAGTCGTTCGGGCTCGCGATCTTACGGGCACGATCGTTCGGCGTCAAATAAAGGCCCTCCATCTGGCCACCCGCGACGCGAATACGAATCGCTCAAAGCCGCCACGGCTCCTCGCAGCGCATCCCGCGATCGCACTCAAGAACCCAATCTGCCATACCGGACTGATTCTCGTGTTCATCGTCGCCAGTCTTCCAAACCTACATACTCTCGGAATAGTACCGACATGACCGGCCCAAGTTCCGGAGTAGCCGATGGATATGGTTCTGTGCATACGTCTCATCATCCGCCAAACGGGTCTGGTATCACCAACCAGACGAGACGACGCACTACAATCACTGCTTCATCGGGCCAATGGGCTTTAGGCAAAACGATTGGGGCTGGGAGCATGGGAAAGGTGAAACTTGCTAAAAACGTAGAGACTGGTGAACAGGTATCGTGGAAGCCGCTACAATTACGAAGACATGAGGAAAGTCCCGATACTAACGCTTCCCTCTTTTTTAAGGTTGCCGTAAAGATCATACCGAGACATTCCACCGAAGAACATAGAAGCACTCGGGAGAGTGAACGCGCAGACCGCTCGAAGGAGATTCGAACAGCAAGAGAAGCGGCAATAGTCACTCTATTGAACCATCCTTATGTGTGCGGAATGCGCGATGTTGTGCGAACGAATCATCACTGGTACATGTTTTTCGAGTATGTGAATGGTGGCCAGATGTTGGACTACATAATTTCGCACGGAAAGTTAAAAGAAAAGCAAGCACGCAAATTTGCTCGCCAGATTGCGAGTGCTCTTGATTACTGTCACAAGAATAACATTGTACACCGAGATTTGAAGATCGAGAATATCTTGATCAGCAAAACTGGGGACATTAAAATCATCGATTTTGGTCTGAGCAACCTCTTTTCTCCAAAAGGCCAGCTCAAAACATTTTGTGGAAGTTTATACTTTGCGGCTCCTGAACTGCTTCAGGCTCGACAATACACTGGTCCCGAAGTTGATGTCTGGAGCTTCGGGATTGTTCTATACGTGTTGGTGTGTGGCAAGGTGCCGTTCGACGATCAGAGCATGCCGCAACTCCATGCAAAAATCAAAAGGGGCGTGGTAGAATACCCGCAAGGGCTTTCATCTGGTAATTTGGACTACTTAACTTTTCTTAGAAAACGGTATCACTGATATCTTTTCCTCATAGATTGCCGAAATATCATCTCCCGAATGCTTGTTACCGACCCCAAGCAACGGGCTAGCTTGACTGAGATCATGAACCACCCTTGGATGACAAAAGGATTTAGTGGGCCACCCGAAAACTACCTTCCGCACCGCGATCCACTACAGCTCCCGCTAGATTCAGAAGTGATCCGTAGAATGACGGGATTTGATTTTGGGCCCCCAGAATTCATCTCTGCCCAACTCACCAAGGTGATTGAATCAGAGGATTACCAAAGTGCTGTTCGTGCGTTTGTTAAGGAGCACCATACTCCGAATCCTGTGAACGACAAAAAAAGAGGCGTATTCGATTTCTATAAACGCCGAAACTCGACCAGCAAAGACACGCTTTCCAACACCTCGCTCGAAGCAATGCCCCATGGTCTCGATCCAGCTAATGGCTACCACCCACTTATTGCTGTTTATAATCTTGTCAAGGAAAAGCTTAACAGAGAGAAACAGGAGGTGCATCCTGGTGGCTTGGCTATCCCACATAGCCCGGGCGAGGCACCCGTTAAATTCCCCGATATCTCAGCACCTGAGGCTGCCCATACAAACCAAAGATCATATGAAATTCCTGGAGAGAGGGATACTGGGGGGAGGTCCCGGCCAAGAGCTCGGACACACGGCGACGACGAGATATCCGAAGGGATCAAAAACCTCAAACTTGCCAAACCTTCGGGCCCAGCTTCCCCTGCCATCGTTACCCCGCAGATTGAGCAACCCCCAAGGAAGGAAAATGCAGCTGTTGGTTTACTACGACGCTTGAGCACTAGAAGAACCCGTGATAAGGGCCGTGACGAGAAAACCACTGCCCATCATGCGCAAGCTTTGAATGTACAGTCACCAGATAGTCTTCCTCCACCGCGGAAGAGTTTTAGTATGAGAAGGACTAGACGAGGGGAAGCTTCACCTGCTACTATTCACCACGGGGGAAGTCAGCCTCAGCAACAAGAGGTTTCCCGTGGGGAGCTATCTTCCAGAGCTATTAATCTACTGGGAAGGTCTACCAGCGTTAATTCGGCAGATTTTAGAAGCCGAAAGAATCCCAGCCGAGGAGGAACAGATACTCTCTCTCCAGCAACCGCACATGATCCGCCATTGACAAGTGGCTCAGATCGGTCGAGCCTAAACGTTCAAAGATCCAAAGCATCCGATAACGCCAACTCGGATTCTAGGTCAGGGTACAAGCCTCAGACGTTGAGAACAAAGTCTTTAGGCCATGCCAGACGCGAAAGTATTCAGGCTCGGAGGGCTCGCCGAGAGGAAGCGAGGGAAGCCAATGTACCTGAAGAAACCGATGCTGAGCTGGCGCAGGCAAGCACCAGCATCGAGAATGGCACTACCGCCGAGGAGTCCCTCAAGCCTGTGTATCTCAAGGGTCTTTTCAGCGTGTCTACAACGAGTAACAAACCATTACCGTTTATCCGATCTGATATCATCCGAGTCCTGAGACAGCTGGGCGTTGAATACGTTGAAATCAGAGGCGGATTCAGTTGTCGACACGCTCCCAGTATAGATCTGAAGCGTGTTATCGATGCGCGCCCACCAAGCCCAGAGCAGCAGGGCATGGTCGCGGGCCACCGTCGTAAAATCAGCTTTGGAGGTCTTCGTGGGCACGAACGTGAAGAGAATAAAGATGATGCCAAGAGTCAACAACGGTCCTCTCGGCGACATGCTGATCAAAGCTTCATCAGTAACTCGGATGGATCCGAGGACTATGCCGCCAACCGTGAACACAATGCTGGAGAACGCGTGTTAGGCGAAACAACGACTAGGGTACAGAGTGATACCGGCGAAAACTTAGTACTTCGATTTGAAATTCTCATCGTCAAGGTTCCTCTCTTCTCGCTTCATGGAATTCAGTTTAAAAAGGTATCTGGGGGGATGTGGCAGTACCGGGAAATGGCTAAAAAGATTCTTGATGCCTTGAGACTCTAAATCCGTGCATCGTCACTGCGAGCGTTGCTCCAATGATTTTACCAGTCTCGGTTCCGCCGATTGTGTTTCCGCAGTTAATACTCGGCACTCATCGTTAAATTGGTTTTGTTCGAGTCCCAACTCGAGCGTTCCTCCGGTCCTCTGGCAGCTGCGATTTCTATAGCCACTTTGTCCTCACAGGGCTTGCAACCCTACCGTTTAAAGCCTGACAAATGATAGCATACTTTCAACTGGTTTCGGCTAATTGTGTCGAGTCGAATCCCCTGGACAGCGAAGCAAGCTCACTGTCACCGTCGCTGTCAGCACAGATTCCTCTAGCGACTCTTTTCTTCTTTTCCCTCAAATATTGACTTTTCTTCGAACACAGTTATTTATGGACTGTCAATGTGGGCCTTATGCTACCTTAGCAGTGTATGATTTTTAATTACCCATTTTCGCCTCATGTGGTTTATTTGATGAAACGGAGTGCTTAGTGACTATATCCACCCATACTACATCAGCCTTTATAAACGTTGCTTTTCCCATGATATTGTCTGTTTGAGAAATGATGATTTAGCTTTTCATTTTTGTTGAAGACTTTAGCCTCTTGATGTTTGTACCGTATCTCATGCTACAATCAGAAGTCTTGATAAAGATTTGATTGTAACTATTGTGTCAAGCATGCATAAAACAGTTTCAAAAGCAGCATTGGTCTGAAAGTATGGCAGGTGTGTATTGGCATTTGAATGAGCATAACTAGCAAAAGCTATAAGGCGCATTCATATTTGTCTGCTTGCTAGTTTATTCTTATGACCTGTGTAGTATCTATCTCAATACGTACTTGAATGCTGAGTGCTCTGTTGGGAGAATTCTATAATGATCATGATTGAACAACTGGGACAGCTACAGGAGTTGACTCAGCATATATTTTTGTGATTGACATTGGACTGTTCTTGTCTTCAGGACTTCATCTTCATGCTGGGCTGAATAAAATACCTAACATGACAGAAACCTAGGCTCCAGCAAGCGTATCTTGCGGATGAGGCTGAAGCAAGCCCTGGACAATAACTATTTCTCAGGTGTAGTTAAGGCTTAACCTTGTTGGTCAACCCGGAACTTTGTACCTGGAAAGGGAGTCTGTGCGGGGCACGGTGCTGCAAGAGGCCCAAGTACTGTGCAGCATGGTTAAGAAGAGTTAACCCAGTCTCACAAGGGAATTTCCAACTGGGATGAGTGACGCACAATAAGAAAGAAGAGAAGAGAAGAGGAAGAGGGAGCAAGGAACAGGATTTTTAATATACAAATGAGAGGTTTAAGAGAAAATGCTGGAGCAGAAAACAGCTATTCCTCACATATTGTTGCTCTTTAATTCTTAATCAGCCAATGACTGGAATCTGGTGCAAACAGATGTCTGGGCAACTATTGCTTATGGTGTTTATTTACCAGCTGAGTGAGACTTGAACCTCATTCATACTATTTGAATTGGGTCTATGCAAGATCACAGTGAAGCTCCGCTCCTTTTCAGATAGAATGTTAAGATGTAAGGATTCGCCCGCGAACCCCTTACACAGATAAACAACACTCGCGAGGGCTGGGAGCCACTCACAAGATGTTGGGAGTGGATGTGTACCTCGCGAGATGCTGAGTCACATGCTCGCTAGCACACACAAAAAGGCAGCCACTGCGCGAACCCCTTAATGGAGACCAGTGGCAATCTTGTCTACAGTCATACACAGTTGCTAGAAGAATATAAGACTTTTTACCTTGTGTATTCCTTTTCCACGTACAATTCCTACTAGAGATCCATTGTCACGCTGATCCGCGAAGTACAATCCTCACATAAGATGTGTGAACCTGCATTGAAGTACTTCCTACAACACTAATTACAACCTGAAACCCAGCTGATGAACTGATCATTGTAACAAAAGAGAAGGGGAAAAAAATGAATAAAGCAAAAAGGGACTGTGAAAGCATACAATCTGTCAGGTATAGTACATGCTGCTGACATAGTTAATCAAAAAGTTCACAAAAATAATCCTTGTTTGATACTGGGGATTTCTTGATATACTTATAGTGAACATGACCACTGTCATTCATTGCAAGTGTATGTGCAATCAATATTAGATTTTTGATCTGACTCTCAATCTTAGCAGGGAACTCTCAACTGACCGGACAGACTTACCTCCTGCCTGTTGAGGCCTAAAATCATGAAGCAATCTAAGTTAGTATCGTCTACCACTACCAGTTCTTGATGTATTTGTGCTCAGAGGATAAATTGCGTTTATATCCTTTTGTGGTTGTTCGCTCAGGTTTTCATCTTTAATCTTTAGATGAGGTCTTCTAAAGATTGCCTCTCTCATGAAACCTGTTGCCAGTGATTCAAGTTCATCCAAATTTATTGGAATTCTCTGTAAAATCTGTCGCTTTTCACAAGCATAGTCTCTTCTCTCATGGAAGTTGCTGGGTGCCAGAAGTTGTAGCAGGATGTAGTGGCCTTTCTTATAGAATCTATCACCCTGTGGAATATCTTCCTGAAGATTTCGCGTACTACTATGGCCCTAGAGGTAGATCTTATAGATCTACTTACTCCAAGGACTATAACTTCCTATAAAGTAGTTTGTTTGATAACCTTGAGTTTAATAACAGTTGAAGTGCTTCACCTATGATATGAAATAGATACCCTGAAGAATGCTTGAAATTAGGGTTTTTTAATTCAAGAACAGTTCTTCTGGAACCTTTCTCTCTTTGAGTCCTTGGCACTTGCTAGTTTGGCAGTTTCAAGTAACTTACTATAGATACTACTACAGTAGATCCCCGCTATAGCGATTTAAATTTGGAAGCTTGTTCGATTCGTTATATAGGGGAATTCGCTATATAGGGGGTGCGCATTGAAAATAGGCACAAATATCTTGCTGCTGCTGAGTTTGAAGCCTCCTTGCTGCTATTTTGCTCTTGTAGCTGTTGAGCTGCTGAATTAGCTGTTGATCTCCCTGATCTTGCTGCTCTTTATACAGCTGGAGCTATTTAACTAGATCTAAAGCCTTCAAAGATGTAATCAGTGGGAGCATCTCTGTAGCCAAATCCTTATTCTCTTCACTCTCATCTGCTGGATCTAGCAGTGCAATAACATGCTGCTCAATAGCCTCAGAAGAATCCTCCACTACTTCATTGCTGGATTGAGAAATTGCTGAATATCCATCAGGTTTTGAATTACTGAGAGAAGACAGAGTCTTTGGAACTCACTGGTGATCTCCTGTAAGGATTCGCCGCGAACCCCTTACACAGACAAACAGCACCCGCGAGGGCCAGAGGCCTCAGCTCGCGAGCTGCTGGGAGTTGCATGTGTCCTCGCGAGGCACTAAGTCACGTGCTCGCGAGCACACATAAAAGGCTGTCACTGCGCGAACCCCTTGCTGGGAGCCAGTGGCAATCTTGTTTACAAGTTGTACATAGTTGCCAGAATACAGACCTTTTACCTCGCGTACTCTTTTTCCATGTATATTCCTCCTAGAGATTCATTGTCACACTGATCCACACGTACGATCCTCACATCTTCATAATTGAATCATCCTCAGGATCCAACCGTACAGGTCTTTTGGGAAATAAAGCTCTGTTAAAGCAGTGAATAATTAAGGCTGTAGACATGTTTATATGCCATGCCTTGATTCCCCAGCACAGTGCCATCAAAATATTGACTGTAGCAAGAGACTGCAGCTTGTGAGCCCAGAGGGCCTTCTTTTGCTCAATTGAAATAGTGGTCTGGCGCAGCATTGGGTCTCATTATAACAAATTGCCTATAAAATATTCAAAAGAGTTAGCAAATTTTAGTTTATTGGAGATTAACGAATTTTGTAGGGAGATTCAAATTTGGGAAGAGATTTCGTCCGTTATATAGGGGAATTCGTTGTATGGGGGTTCGCTATAGCGGGGATCTACTGTAGTACCTACTAAGGGAAGCTAATAATCTGTGGCTTTTTGATTAAAAATTTAATATTATTTAATATTTGTAGTCTCTAAGCTTTCAATATTTTTGCAGAAGAACCTTCATCTTTTGATATCTTTACCAGTTATTAGTATTTTCATCTGAAAATTAGAGTGTAATATTAGGAAAAAGAGAGCTTTCAGAAATATAGTTTCATATAATTTAAACCTGAGAGAAGTTGCTAGTGTTGTGAAAAGAGGAGTTGCCTTTGTAATTTGTAAATTTTCTGAAAAGATATTTGTTAAATTTTTCATAAAGTTTGTAATCTTTAAAATTGTGTAGAATTCAAAATTGATAAACTAGTATAGTGAATATTCAGTCCTCTTGCAAAGTTTTTCTCTGACTAGGCCAGAGTTGACCACGACAGTTTTTTTCCCCACACAAGCATTTGACAGCATCAGGATCAATATCTTTTCCATCCTTTATTGGATTCCAATTAGGATGATAATCAAATGTAAGTTCTGTACCTGCTGGGATATTAGTTAAAGCAAAAAAAGCCAAACCAAATATACGCTGGTCCGCATGCTTGTGGGACACGGGAAACATTTTGCAGTTAGGGTTGCAAGAATGATTCATAAACCGAGTAACAGAGCCAAATTTCCGCCCATCAACTACATACACATCCTCATCATCAACGAGAAAGTCTAGTGAAAATAAGTAACTAGCTTTGTTGGAGATAGCTCTTTCCCGATTATCGGCTTCGGATTTTGTAAGTAATTCTCCAAGATAGCAATCAATGTATTGGCCTGCTTGAATAGAATTCTTTGATCTTAACCCTGCAGTTTGTTGCGCGTAAGTAGCTAAGTCATGATGTTATGCTGTTAGATTCATAGCACTGCACTTACCAAAGCCTCGATTCCGAGTTTCAAATATTTCAAGCCTGACTCTTCGTCCTCTCTCAACAACTCGATTCATACAAGTCGAGCTGCAGCTACACAACATAGAACACTCATAGATCATGGACATTCGCTCCATGAAATCTTCTCGTAAAACAACGGCGCCATTATCGCCAACTTTGTATGGCACAATTCTTTGGTCCGACCCCTCCTCTTGCGAAGGACAAGTGCATATATTCAAATCACATTTTTCTGCGAAACAGCTGCAACCGGCATGGAAACTAGCATCCACTGGGGTGACACCCTTATGCATTTTGTAGCAACTGACGAATTCGAAATTGAAATCAACGTCGCGGGTTGCGCGATTGCAGGCAAAATAGACCGGGGGGCCATCTATTGACAAAAGCTTTTCGATATAAAGATTTTGCAAGTCGAGAGCCGTGTGGTTCGCGGGCTTGCCAGGTCGAAATGTCCGTGTAGCACGGGGAAGTTTAGTTGCGCTACGTTTGCCCTCTTTAGCTTTCATATACATAACGGACATGCATCTCTGGACGTCATTGACCAAGTAATGCTGAGATAACCCATGGTGAGGGGGCAGCGAAGATGCTGGGGAGTCCTCTTCATCCCGGCGTCGTTTTTGGGTGCTGCAGAAGCTCTCTGTTTCAGAACTCGAGAATCTTGCAGCGGCGATGTCCAGTTCCAGAAGACTTTCACGGGTCTGCTTTGGAGCAAACAATTCACGCTTTCCGTTTGTGATGTTTCTTTCTCCTGGTTGTGTGAAGGCAGTTAGAAGTAGCTGCGAGGTACGCAGCGAAGTGCCAATTGCCTAAACCAGTTAGCGCGCTTTGCGACCACAACAATCGTGGGCAGATTTGGGGAAAACAGCAATGGTCCAAACCACATATCAAAGCCTAAGCAATAAAATGATTTGAAAATTTTTTTGCTTGAGCACACCAAAACAATATTTTATGTCATACCTTAAAGGGATAAGAAGTTTGCTCTTCCTCAGAAGTTGTGTCAGCGGTCAGGTCTATCACCATATTGTGTGCTACAGCAGCTTCAAAAACTAGCTATGGCTTTAATCTTCATCAATTTCATAAATTAGAGCATTTTAAGATAACAACTTTTAAATTTTTCCATTAGCATAGACAAACATGAAAGTTCATTGAAAGCTGTTCTTTTTATAAAAGAATAATATGTTGCTTGAATTTTTAAATGTGCAAAGTTAGCAATACTTATAAAAAGTCATGTTAAAAAAACTCAGCAGTAGTAAACTTTAAGTTAACTTACTATTAAATAGCCAGTGTTTAGTACTATAAATAATTAAAAGAATTTTTTTAAACACTTGAAAAAATAATATAAAAGATTTAAAAAAACTCTTTTGCAAAAGCTGAAATTTTAATAATAATCAAATTTAACTAAATTTTAAATTATTAAATTTTCAAATTTAGTAAAGAACTTAAAATATTAGAACTTAGAAATTGAATTTCAATTTCTCTCATACCAGGCTCTTGGTACCATACTATGCTAAAAACCTTCATACTATTTCTCTTTTGGCAACTTAGTATTACAAATGTAGGCCTAGTATTATAAATGTAGATCTAGACCAATCAAGTATCAGACAATGTTAGATGTTCAGGGGTACTCACATGATTCCAACTCTAAATGTATAAGAATCACATGATCTGCACAGATTATAAGAACTTCAGTGTTTAGTTTTCTAGTTAGAGAACCTTTACATTCTACACATAACTTTCTCTCATCAGTTGCAGACATCATATCTACTTAGCTCTTTTGTATCTCTAATTCTGGGAAAATCTACATAATCTACAACCAGTTCTTCCAACATTCTAAATACTCTAACATATAATTACCTAAGTTAGTACAATGCCACTAAGATCTATAAGATGAACCACAACAACACCTCATATTGCAGATCTGACAGAAATAAATATCAATGTGAAGAAAATAAATATTAATAAAGATGCTGGTAGCAGTGGAGCCATCATCAGTAAGATATCAGCAGATAATACAGATAATAGAGATATATCTCTCAATACATTAAACAAAACTTAAAGAGAGAAGATCTTTAAAGAAAAGAAGATACATCTGCAAAAGAATCTAGCAGACTGTTAGAAGAACTGGTTGTAGATCATGTAGATTTCCCCAGAATTAGAGGTACAAAACAGCTAAGTAGGTACAATGCCCATAACTGATGAGAGAAAGTCATGCATAGAATGTAGGGGTTCTCTAACTAGAAGACTGAATACTGGAGTTTCCATGATATATGTAAATCATATGATTCTTATATATTCAGAGTTGGAGTCATGTGAATACCTCTGAACATTCAACATTATTTAATGCTTGATTGGTCTAGATCTACATTTATAACATTATCTCCCTTCTCAGAGATCTCAGACTCTGAGGTATAGAATTATCAAAGTGGTCTTTCATACATTATTATAGCTTCTCTATCATTGGTGGAGTATTGTAGATTCTTGAATATGCAAGCTTCTGCATTACTACTGCTTGTCTATATAGATATTCTGCATGTGTATTGCTGCTGGTTGCAGTAGACATTCTTTATTATAGAATAGTAATTATTTTATTATGAAAGTTCAGTGTTTTGTCATGTACTTATTTCTTTGTTTGTTTGCTTGTCTGGTTGCTATATTATCTGTTGTCTGTTGTCATATTGTTTATTAACAAGTTGTGAGACTAGCAATCTTAGTGTATTATAATATAAGTATAAATAGAGATCTTCTTATTCTTGTTCTTCTCTTCTTCTTTTTCTATTATGTCTTGATGAGAGTGTTGTTGTTTCTTCTATGCTACTCTTTGTTACCATGTCTTCTTTGAAGAATCCTGTCCCTGATGTTGAAGAGGAGGTGTTTTCCTGCTTGGTATGTATATTCAATATTCACTAATTGTTTGAATGAAGCAGAGCCCTGTATATAAGACTCTGAAAAAGAATCTTGTGCTTATTGTTTAGAGTACCAAACCTGTACTAAATCTGCTTTTAATATTGTACATCAGCTCTTACATTTTTGAAAAAAGTATTACTTCTTTGATACTGCAGACCCTTACTGTCTATACAATATAAAATGTATGAGCATACTTGTATGAGAATTTTATAAGCTTAACTCTGGAGCTACCAAATATTATTGTTGTCAGACCACTTCTGTTCTTAAAAAATCTTTTATGAAATATTGTTGTTCTGCATTATGTTAACAAACTAAAACTGTAGATCTTGTGTCTGAAGCTGGGTTTGTCAAGAATAATCTGTCTGAACTTCTTTGTTTGCCAAGTCCAGTTTATGCTATCTTGTCTTGAGTTAAGAATAAGATTGAAAATATCTGTGTCTTACTTGATTATTGTAGTAGGGATTCTGGTACCTTATTAGAACAAAGATTGTTCCAGTCTGAGGTGCAAATCATCTCAAAGCTACTATTTCTGAGCTATATAAATCATCTATAGCTTCTGTATCTTGCTTATTATCTTTACACAACATTGCTCTTTTCTACACACTTATTTTTTATTATCAGTTCAGTTATTAGTTAGAGAATATGAAGATTTCTTGTTTATGAAACTTGCTACTGTTTCTTATTAGAGCTGCCTGTGTTAGTACAGGGCTCTTTAGTACTATTACTTCTTATAAGCTTAGACATCCATTAGGACATACTTATCTCTACACTTACTACTCAACCATACTCTTACTATGTTGTGATTTTTCATTTTTCTTGCACTATCACCATATCAATCAACTTGTCTATCTTGATGAGGCATTCCATCATACCTCACTTCATTTGGTGACCAAGCTAAGACCTGAAGATAATGATACAGTGATTTGATGACTGCCAAGAAAGAGAAAAACAAATTCTGAGACACATAAAGCAATACACTATTTCAAGATAAGATCTTATGAACTAGGAACACAGTACTAATCAGATTTTTTTATTTAAAAATAAGATTAGGGAGCTTAGATTTGAATGTCTCTTATCTAGAGCTTGTCTGATAAACAGGTTTTTGGAAGATATTGACTAATAGACAGAATATACTGTGTGACATGACCAAAGATCAAGAAATCAAGAAATTGAAATCAGAATCAACTATGGCTGAGGGTACAAGATCATATACTGTTAGAAGAACTGGTCATAGATCATGTAGGTTTTCCCAGAATTAGAAGTATGAAAGAGCTAAGTAGGTATGATGCCTGTAACTGATGGAAGAGAGTTATGTGTAGAATGTAGAGGTTCTCTAACTAGAAGACTGAATGCTGGAGTTCCCATAATTCATGCAAATTGTATGATTCTTATACATTCAGAGTTGGGGTCATATAAATACTCTTGAACATCTGATGTTGTCCAATGCTTGATTGATCTAGATCTATATTTGTAACACTATCCCCCCCCCCAGAGATCTCAGACTCTGAGATATAGAGTTATCAAAGTGGTTTTTTCTATGTTGTTGTAGCTTCTCTATTATTAGTAGAGTATTATAGACTTTTGAATATGCAAGCTTCTGTATTACTACTGCTTATCTATATAGATATTCTGCATGTATATTATCACCAGTTGCAGTAGATATTCTTTGTTGTAGAACAGCAATTATTTTATTACAAAAGTTCAGCATTTCATCATGTACTTATTTCTTTATTTATTTGCTTGTCTGGTTGCTATATTGTCTGTTGTCTGTTGTTATATTGTTTATTAACAAGTCATGGGACTAGCAACCTTAGTGTGTTATGATACAGATATAAATAGAGATCTTCTCATTCTTGTTCTTCTCTTCTTCTTCTTCTACTACATCTTGATAAGAGTGTTGTTGTTTCTTCTATGCTACTCTTCATTACTATGTCTTCTTTGAAGAATCCTGTCCCTAATGTTGAAGAGAAGATGTTTTCTTGCTTGGTATGCATATATTCAATATTCACTAATTGTTTAAATGAAGTAGAGCCCTGTATATAAGATTCTGAAAAAGAATCTTGTGCTTATTATTTAGAGTGCCAAATCTGTACTTGTTGTAATGTAAGTGTGTTTTCATCTGTTCTTTCTTGTTGATCTGATATAGTTATAGATATCTGAATCTGCTTTTAATGTTGTATGTTGGCTCTTATATCTTTGAGAAGAGTATCACTTCTTTAATGCTGCAGACTCTTGCTGTCCATACAATATGAAGTGTATGAGTGTACTTGTATAAGAATTTTATGAACTTGATTCTGGGGCTGCCAAATATTATTGTTGTCAGATTACTTCTGTTCTTGAAGAATCTTCTATAAAACATCATCATCCTGCATCATGTTAACAAACTAAAATCATGAATCTTGTATCTGAAGCTGGATCTGTCAAGAATAGTCTGTCTAAACTTCTTCATTTATTAAGTCTAGTTTATGCTATCTTATCTTGGTTGAGAATAAGATTGAAAATATCTGTGTCTTGCTTAACTATCTTATCACTTGTTTGATAAGTGAGATCAAGACTTTTTGAGACAGTACAAAAGCTGGTCTTGTAGATCTTCTTTACTGTCTTTATCTGTTCTCAG